AGTCAGCCACAGCCCAGAAGGTCAGTGAACGCTAGGAGCTCCATGTGAGCCAGCAGCGGGGGCTGGGAGGATGGTGATATGCAGGGGAGCCTGGCTGCCAGCCTCACCTCCTCCAGGGCAAGTTAGGAAGCCTCTTCTGCCTTTCCTGGGGCTTCAGTTCTTCATTTGGAAAAGGAGGTGATACAATCTACCTCACAAGATTCTTGTAAAGATTAAATAAAGTAATACAAATTAGCAAAATTCCTTGGACATAGTGACACACAGTAAAGAGATGTCATCAATGAAAGCTATTGTCATGTGTTTAACTTATATAGAGTGATAATGTTAGGAACAAAGGAAGTAGAAGAATTGTGGGAGCACAGAGACACCCCACCACACCCAGCAGGCGATCAGCATGAGGGTGTTGGAAAAAGTTGGGAGTGCAGATGATCTGTGCTCTAGATGCACTGGCTGTATGTCGCTGCTTGGAGTTGCCCACACGTCTTATTTTCAATCTCTTTTAATTAATGAAATATTTGTAATTAATGCTCTATATAGAACAAATATTGCATGTTTTCACTTTATGCTGATTCATGGCAACTTCCCTTCAGAATGGCGTTTTATTGCTTTGGGACAACATTCAGTCTTTTCCCTGGTTACAAAGGCAGCCCCTGCATTCATTCAGCCTGTGTTGATTGCCGCTTGCTTTGTGTCGAGCACTGTTCTAAGCAGCTGCACAAAATACGTCTATTCACTACCCTCATTAATTTCAGAAAAAAATCATTCTTAAAATTTGGAATGACCTCAAATCCCCCTACCCAGAGATGACCACATTTCACAATTTGGGATCATATTGCCTTATAATTTTCTTTCACGTAACAGTACATCGTAAACACAGTTCCAAGCTATCGTCAGTGGAAATAGGATTTTGTACATTTTGGGGGTGCTGTTCTGCTGCTGCCCTGTCTGTGCTGTTCACCCCTCAACAGATCTGTCCCACCAGCCCTGGGTCCAGGGTGCAGTATGAGTCTCAGAGACTAAGAAGTGTGTCTCTGTGGCCTTCTAACGTGGGTTGGCTTCAGTGCCTGCTTCATCCGTTCCCCACAGTGGCTGCTGGAGTGAAGCATAGCCCAGGGGACCGGTCTCTGTAGCCATGGACCCCTTATTTAGAGAGTGACGCTCCCCACCCTCACTGAGCTCACCTGTTTCTTGCTGCTACCAGACTAAGTCTTGGCTCAGGCCTTCCAAGCAGGTAACAGGCCCAGGGGCGAATCTGTGTAGGCAGGGTCACCCGGCCAAAAGAGTTCCATGGGTCTGTATATACTGATGTGAGAAATTGCCTTTCTTTAGTAAATGAAATTCCTTTCCTTTATTGATTAAATGAAGAAATCAAGCTTAGTCTGATCATATTTTTGCTTGAAACTACAGGTTTTAAACATGAATAATTATGGAAGAAGAAGGGGCTTTTAGTTACTACTTTATACATTTGTAAACATTTTGAATGCTTTACTGTGAGCATAAATTACGTTTAAAATGCTATACACACATGTGAGGAAGGGAGGCAAGAAGGAAGGGTGAGAATCTTAGCATTCTATAACATGTCTTCAGACACCTCTCTGGTTATTTCCTTAGTGTATAATTTTTTAGTAGAATTCCTAGAAATGGAATCACTGTATTTGAAAGTTTCTTGGTACATATTGCAAAATTAATCCTCAGAATGGTTGTACCTCCTTATGCTGATTGCCAGTAAATGAATACCGACGTGTCTTAACCTTCAGTAATTCTGGATAGTATTGTCAGTAGTTCCCACTTTAATAGTCATTTTTGTTCTTGTGGTGTTTCAATTTTAATCTTTTAAGACATTTTTTAAAAAACTGAAATACAGTTGAATTACAGTGTTTCAGATATTCAGCAAAGTGATTCAGTTATACATGTATGTCTATTCTTTTTCAGATCCTTTTCCATTGTAGATTATTACAAGATATTGAATATAGTTCCCTGTGGTCCTTGTTGTTTATTTTATATATTGTAGTATGTATCTATTAATCCCAAATTCCAAATTTATTCCTTCTTCTTTCCCCCTCTGTGGTAACCATAAGTTTGTTTTCTGTCTGTGAATCTATTTCTCTTTTGTAAATAAATTCATTTGTATCATTTTTTAAGATTCCACATATAAGTGATATCATACAATATTTGTCTTTCTCTGTCTGACTTATTTCACTTAATATGATAATCTCTAGGTCCATGTTGCTGAAAATGGCATTATTTCATTCGTTTTTGTGGCTGAATAGGATTCCATCGTATATATGTATCACGTCTTCTTTATCCATTTATCTTTCGATGGACATTTAGGTTGCTTCCATGTCTTGTCTATTGTATACAGTGTTGCTATGAACACTGGGGTGCATGTGTCTTTTCGAATTAGAGTTCCTTTCAGATATATGCCAGTGGGATTGCTGGATCATATGGTAACTTTATTTTCAGTTTTTAAAGGAAACTGCATACTGTTCTCTATAGTAGCAGCACCAATTTATATTCCCACCAACAGAGTAAGAGGATCCCCTTTTCTATACACTCTCTCCAGCATTTATTATTTGTAGACTTTTTGATGATAGCCATTCTGACCAGTGTGAGGTGATACCTCATTGTGGTTTTGATTTGCATTTCTCTAATAATTAACATATATATTAGCATCTTTTCATGTGCCTGTTGGCCATCTGTATGTCTTCTTTGGAGAAATGTCTATTTAGGTCTTCTGCCCATATTTTTATTGGGTTGTTCTTTATATATATATATAGAGAGAGAGAGAGAGAGAGAGAGAGAGCACGCGCGCAAGAGCGAGAGCAAGAGAGAGAGGGAGAGCATGAGAGCGAGAGACCGAGCGAGCTGTTTTAGCTGTTTGTATATTTTGGAAATTAATCTCTTGTCAGTCACATTATTTGCAAATATTTTCTCCCAGTTTGTAGGTTGTCTTTTCATTGTGTTTATGATGTCCTTTGCTGTGCAAAAGGTTTTCAGTTTAATCAGGTCCCATTTGTTTATTTTTACTTTTATTTCCATTACTCTAGGAGACAGATCCAAAAAAATATTGCTGCAATTTAAGTCAGAATGTTCTGACTATGTTTTCCTCTAGGAGTTTTATAGTATCTGATCTTACTTTTAGGTCTTTAATCTATTTTGAGTTTATTTTTGTATTTGGTGTTAGAGAATGTTCTAATTTCAGTCTCTTTTGTGTAGTTGTCCAGTTTTTCCAGCACCACTTACTGAATAGACTGTCTTTTCTCCATTGTATATTTTTGCCTCGTTTGTTGTAGATGGATTGATCATAAGTATGTGGGTTTATTTCTGGACTTTCTATCCTGTTCCATTGATCTGTGTGTCTGTTTTTGTGCCAGTAACATACTGTTTTGATTACTATCACTTTGTAGTATAATCTGAAGAGAGGGAGCATGATTCCTCCAGCTCTGTTCTTCTTTCTCAAGATTGTTTTTACTATTCAAGTTCTTTTGTGTTTCCATACTAATTTTAACCTTTTTTGTGCCACTTCTGTGAAAAATACCATTGGTAATTTAATAGGGATTTCACTGAATTTGTAGATTGCCTTGGGTAGTATGGTCATTTTAACAATATTGATTCTTTCAATCCAAGAACATGGTGTATCTTTTCATCTGTTTGTGTCATCTTCAATTTATTTCATCAATGTCTTAATAGTTTTCAGAGTAGAAGTCTTTTGCCTCCTTAGGTAGGTTTATTCCTAGGTACTTTATTATTTTTTTTGATGCAATGATAGATGGGATTATTTCCTTAATTTCTCTTTTTGATATCTTGTTGTTAGTGTATAGAAATACAACAGATTTCTGTATGTTAATTTTGTATCCTGCAGTTTTACCACACTCATTGATGAACTGTAGTAGTTTTCTGGAAGCACCTTTAAGATTTTCTATGTATAGTTTCATGTCGTCTGCAAACAGTGGCAGTTTTACTTCTTCCTTTCCAATTTGGATTCTTTTTATTTCCTTTTCTTCTTTGATTGCTGTGGCTAGGACTTTGAAAACTATGTTGAATGAAAGTGGCAAGCGTGGGATGCCTTGTCTTTTTCCTGATCTTAGAGGAAATGCTTTCAGCTTTTCACTGTTGAGTATGATATTAGCTGTGGATTTTTCATAAGTGGGTTTTATTATGTTGAGGTATGTTCCCTCTATGCCCACTTTCTGGAGAGTTTTTAATCTTAAATGGATATTGAATTTTATCAAAGCTTTTTCTGCGTCTATTGAGATGGTCATATGGTTTTTATTCTTCTGTTTGTTAATGTGCTGCATCACGTTGATTGATTTGCAGATATTGAAAAGTCCTTGCATCCCTGGGGTAAATCCCACCTCATCATGGCATATGACCCTTTTAAAGTATTACCGGAGTTAGGATGCTAATATCTTTTGCGGATTTTTGGATCTATGTTCATCAGTGATATTGGCCCTTGATTTTCTTTTTTTGTGACATCTTTGTCTGGTTTTTAGTATCAGGGTGATGGTGGCCTCATAGAATGAGTTTGGCAGTGTTCCTTCCTCTGTGATTTCTTGGAATAGTTTCAAAAGGATAGATGTTAACTCTTCTCTAAATGTTTGTTAGAATTTACCCATGAAGCCATCTGGTCCTGGACTTTTATTTGTTGAGAGTTTTAAAATTACTGATTCAGTTTCAGTACTGGTAATTGGTCTGTTTATATATTCTACTTCCTCCTGGTTTAGTCTTGGAAGATTTTACATTCCTAGGAATGTGTCCATTTTATCGTTATATAGTTGCTCATAGTAGTCTCTTATGATCCTTTGTATTTCTGTGGTGTCAGTTGTAACTTCTCCTTTTCCATTTCTGATTTTATTGATTTGGGCCTTCTTCCTTTTTTTCTTGATGAGTCTGGCTAAAGATTTATCAAGCCAAATTCCTAACAGTGATCCTCAAGGCTAAAGGGTCACTGACTGCAGCAGTGACTGATGATGTGAATGTGTTCTTTGGCTGTTTTTCAGTACCAGGCAGCTAAATGGCACCTGTACCAGTTCAGTGGGCATGGAGCTCTTCCTCCATTACTCCCTCATCCCATCAGTAAGTTAAGGCAGGGGAGGGGCGGGGAGGGACGAGGAGGGTATAGAAGGAGACCTGGGCTGCTCCCATACACAGGCTCCCAAAGGAGTCTGAATAGGTTGGCAGAGACTTGCTTTTTTACATTATGCACCAAAAACACAGGCAGAAGAAAGCTTTGAAGATCCCAACAGTCAGGGATACTGACTTTTAGGGGAATAAGAAAAGGCTTTTCTGAGGAAGCGGTGACAGAGCTAAGGTCTGTTGGAAGATGTAGTAAAGAGCATTTTGGGCAGAGAGGAGAGTACACGCAAAGGCCCTGTGGGGGGAAGGAGCGTGGGGTGGGGGGTGAGGAGCTGAGGGGGCCAGCAGAGCTGGAAGGGGAATTGAGGTAGAGGTATCTGGAGAGGTGAGCAGGACCAGGGCCAGTCCCCTTGTGAAGGAGTTTTGTCCTTGTTTTAAACACAGCGGGAAGTAATTCGAGTGTTTCCAGCTTGGGGTGGTGGGGTCAGACTTATGTGTTGAAACGATCACTCTGGTTGCACTGTGGGGATCAGGTTGGAGGCAGGCAAGAGAGATGGCAGGGAGACTAATTGGGAGATGGTTGCAGGGGTCTGAGTGAGGTAGTTTTACCTCCTCCTGGATGATGGTGGTTGACTTGAGAGTTCAGGTGGTAAAAGCAATAGGACTTGGTAATGCATTGGATAGAGAGGAGAGGAGAGGGAGAAGCTGAGGGTGACTCTTGGGTTTCTCACTTGCACAGCTGGACGGATGGTGGTACCTGCCATTCACTTGTTAAGGGAAATTAGAAGAGCTCCAAGTTTGGTGTGGATGAAGGAACAGGACAGAGAGGAAAATCATGAGTTCCATTTAAGACATACTAAAGTTGAGATACTTTCAACACATTCAAAAGAAATGCCAATCATGTAGTTGAAAGTACAATTCTGGACCAAGTCTGGGCTGCAGATTCAAGTTTGTGAATCTCCTGTGTGTTTGGTGGCCCCTGAAAGCATGAGCATGGATGAGATTGCCAAGAAAGAGAGGCTTGGGGAGCAAGAGGAGTGGTCCTTGGATTGAACCATGAGGAACTTCACATCTAGTAGTTGGATAAAGAATGATCCAGCAAAGGAGCCTGAGAAGTACTGGAAGAAACCCAGCAAAGCATGGTTGATGGAAGAGTAGCGAAGAGGGTGTTTCTAAGAGGAGGAAGAGGTCAGTGCTGTGGATGCTGCTGAGAGGTCAAGCAGAGTTGATCTTAGAGTTTACATTCAGATTGAGCAACAAGGTGGTAATTAGTGACTTTGGCCAGAACTGCTTCTGTGGCATCATGAGGGTAGAAGCCAGGTTAGGGGGTTGAAGAGCAAGTGAGAGATGAGAAAATGGGAACAGCAAGTGAGTTCATTTTCAGGAAGTTTCTAGTAAAAGAAAGTGAGGAAAGGGGCATCAAGTCTATGAGAATATGACTGAATCCACAGGAGTAAGAAGCAAAGAAGGGTTTGCAACCTGACAGGAATTACCTCTTTTTTATAGATGAGAACAATGAGGTTCAGAGAAGTTGTCTCCCTCCCAGCCAGAAAGTGGGAGAGAATAGATTTGAACCCATGTCTGTTCAGGGCAACACAAAATATTCTGGAAGCTCACGGGTGCATTCAGCCAGCTCCCTGAGTCTGGAGTTTGAGTCCCAGACGTTCTGAGTATTCTTCTCATCCCTACACTTTCCATCAACAAGGGCACTGACAGGCTGAGGATGAATATCCCTCTGACAGACTCATCTTCTCTTTCTACAGCTTTTCATCATTTTCGTCTTATCCCTTCTCCAAAGACAAGAGCACTGTAGACAGAGAGATGACACTTCTCACCTTCTGGGGAACCACTTCGGCATGATCATGTGAGTTGAGCTGAGGTCCATCACTTCCGCTTGGGGTACTCTGTGTGGGGCCCACACCATTTGTAAGGCCAGGACAGCTCCCAGTTCCCTCCCCACGCACCTCTACCCCACCATGGACAGCCCTGCCCCTCCTTGCCCTAGCCTACCCAAAGCTCAGAGTGCAAAACTGGCTTCCAAGCCATTGTGCTCTCAGCACCCAAGGCTGCCCAGATGTACTTAAGACATTTCAAGAAGGCTCAGCTCACTGTGAGAAAGGCCTGCCCACACTCAGCACCATGGCTTCCCCAGGAAGGAGCAGGGAGAGTTCTCTGTCTCTGGTGGCAAGAAGCTTTTTTGCTGGGATGGAGGCAGGTGTCATGCCCTAGGAGAGCCTGCTGGGCCAGGGAGCTTTCAGGGCCCTTCCAGCTCTGCCAATCTGAGTCTCTGCTCCCTTTACATTTTCCCTTGAGTTGTAATTGTTCATATCTCTGCCTAATCACCTTCTAATTAATAATAATAGTTATGATGCAGTTAGCATCTGTCACACACTGACTGTGACCCAGGCACTGAGCCATTTGCTTTGCCTACATGACTAGGATGGACCCCAGCATGGCAGAGGTTGTTATCTTCCTGTAATGGATGAGTAAGCTCAGGCTCAGAGAAGCTGAGTAACCTGCCCAAGGCCACAGAGCTACCAGGCGACAGGAGTTTTAACCCAGGTCTGGTTGCTGTTGCTCTGAATTCCCCAGTGTCATAACCTCAGCAGACTCATGGATATGAACATGCTGAGATCTCAGCCTTGGGCTCTGGAGAAGGGAGGGGAAGCCAGGATGTCAGGGCAGAGGCTAGGGGTGACCCTGGCTTCAGGGTGAGAGAAAAGCCAACGGCGATGTCCGAGGACCACATATACCAGCTCCGAGTAGCAGACGTTCTGGATCCCGCTCATCAGAGCAGTCAGACCCCAACTGCCAGGTCTAAGCACATTGGCTGAAGCACAGAGTCTGAGGCTGGTGGATAAAGAAGATCTGCAGACTGTCCTGGGCATTTGGATGTAGGGCCTAGTGCAGGACTTCTTAAAGTGAGACCCCTATATGCATCGTGTTAAACTGCTTTGAGTTAAGTGGATAATGGCACAGTTTGCTTGCTCTCTGGTCACCTTCTTATCCAAACCCCTGCTTTTCTGAGTAGTTTTGGCTCACCCCTTCACTCATGAATACCCCCTCGCATGTGCATGGCACTCCACAGTTTATAAAGCAGTGCTTCATTTGCCATCCACAGTGTTTCTGTGATACGAACAGAGCTGGGGTGTCATTTCTGTTCTAAAGATGGGTGAACTGAGTCTCAAGTAGCACTTAATTCCTACAGGTGGGATTCATTGGAATCTAATTCAGTTCAACAAAATGTGTGTCCATGAACATACAGTGAGCACCTACCCTTTTCAAGGTCCTGTACTAGGCTCCCACCCCAGAGGAGTTTATGGTTCACTAAATGAGCAATCACTAAAGCCTAGATATGAACTTGGCCCTGAGGAGCCCCAGGCAGGACCCTACTTGACATGACTTTCCAGAACAGAATTTTAACAGCTAACTGGCTCCTGTCCTCAGACAGAATAGAAGACCAGGCATCTGACTGGCTCATCCAAAGTCCAGTAGTCACCCATAGTCCAGTCAGCTGTGGCCAGGAAGGTGTGATCACATGTAACCAGCACAGCCAGTGATACCCAGACCTTCTCAGGGATGTTGGAAAGAAGAACTCTCACAGACCATGGCCAGGGGGTGGGGCAGGCACCTCCACTGTCTGGGACATACTTCTAGTTTTGGCCCCCAAGTCATATGCCTGTGTCTCTTGTGGATGAAACTCATCCTATTTCGCTTACTGTCATGGCTCCTGATGTCCTTACTGTGTCCCCTTAGACTCAGAGCTTGTCAAGGACAAGGATTTTGTCTTCCTTACTTCAGTACCCTGAAGCCATGCCTAGCCCGAGAATCAGCACAGAGGGCCTCAGGATATGTGAGCTGAAATGAACAGTCCACCGCCCAAGAATCCCCCCTTAGAGTGGGGTTGATACTTGGAGGTGAACTGTGGGAATGAGCCACCTTTTGGTCTCATGTGTTGCTTCTCTGACTCACAGACCTCTGGACTTCGTGGGCACTTTTAGTAACCGATGGTCCTATGGAGTCGCCTTTGGGGCCACAGCCAATAAGGTCATGTTCTTGTTCTCAGAAGGCTACCAGCCCCTGCAGGTCCCGCAGTGGGCCCAAGGTATGTGGGCTACCTCACACCTGCTAGGAATTTTGCCATGGAAATTTGTGCTTTCAGAGACCTCATGGCACGGGTTCTCTGGGATCAGGGGATGACCTTTGTGAACTGTCAGTCACCACCACAATCAAGATAATGAACCCAAGAAGTTAACCTTTTCCCCATTGTACTCTCTCCCACCCCTATCCTGTCACTGCCCCCCATCCCCAGACAACTATATAAATGGAATCATCAGAATGCACTTGTGATTTTTTTTGTGTGGGGGAGGGAGGTCTGTTTTCTTTCACACAGAATAGCTATTTTGAGATTGACACCTATTTAGCATGTATCAGAAATCACTGCTTTTTCATTTCTGAGTAGTGTTCCACCATACGGAGATAACAACAGTTTGTTTATCCATTCACCTGGCGATAGGCATTTGATTTATTTCCAGTTTTTGGCTATCGCAAGTGAAGCTGCTATGAGCGTTATGCATCTTTATGCATTTCTATTTTTCTTGGGTAAATACCTTTGAGGGGAATGGCTGGATTATATAGATCATATAGTAGATCGTACTTTTTAAGAACCATCAAACTAGTTTCCAAGTTATTGTTCCATATTAGATTACCACCATTGGTATATGAGAGTTTCAGTTTCTCTGTGTCCTTGACAACACATGGTCAGTCTTTGTTCATTCCTCCTGTGTCCTTAGTGCCTAGCCCAAGACCCAGCTCAAAGCAGACACTTAGGAAAGGCCACCTTGTCCAATTAGATTTTACTGGATCCTGTTAGATCATCTCAGAGCTAGTCAGTGACAGCATGAATATTATCATTGTCTTGTGTATAAAGTACACATCAGTTTACAAGAGGTTTTAGAACACAGCGCATCACTGCTTTCTGTGTTGCTGTGGGACACTTTATAGTCCTTTACCTCCCAGTGATTTTTGTTTGTTTATTTATGTTATCTGTTTCTGCCCAACACACTGTGAGCTAATCAAGGGCAGGAACCAACTCTTCATCTCAATAGTGCCTGGCATGGAAGAGGTACCAGAAAGGGTCTGTGGTGTGTATGCATGAAAGACATTCCCTGCATTCTTTCTTGGGCTGAGCTGGGCTTGTCCACTTACCTCCTCGAGTCCTGAAGTCTGTGACTGCAAGTCACATGAAGCCCCATACCTGCCCTGGGACTCCCCCGAGCCCAGGAGAAGAAGAACTCACAGCGTCTCTGGTCCTGTGTCTCCCAGCCTTTGTGCTTCTGATTGGAGGCATCGAAGTCGGCCTGTCCCACTTCCCCTTCTTTGCCTGCCTTTCCTCGGAGTTCCGGCTGGTCAGCTCCGTCCTGGGCTTCGGCTACTCTCTCACCTGGTAAGATGGACTCTGCCTGCCTGCCCTCCTCCAGTTCCTTTGGCCGTGGCTGAACTCTGGACAGTGGGCTGGAGGTGACCCGAGAGCTCTCCTTGGAGGGCACCTTGCCCAGAACTGAGGGAGGGTGGGCGGAGTGACTGGTCCAAGGTCCCACTGTGGCCTCTCCTTGGGGCTGCACTTGAGGCTTCAGAAGGTCAGGCCAGCATTCTGTCTGCTCCATAGGAGGCTGCTCATGATTAGAATATTCCCAGAAGTTAGGGTTGTAGGAAAATTCATTTCTGGAGGCCTGGGAACCAGCCCTCCTAAGAAGTGGGGGGAGGGGTAGGTAACTCCAGGCTGGTGGGATCTGGGCTATTTTCACAGGGGCTGTGCCGGGAAAGACCCTAGGGCCTCAACCCTATTTCTGTCCTGCAGGTTTGCTGTCACTGTCCTTCATATCACACAGTGTCCTCACGGTCAGGTGAGTCCCCGCCTAGATGTGGTTAGGGTGTTCAGTCCTATCACCATGGCCAGCTTGCTGTGTGACCTCGGACAAGACTTTGCCACTCTGGGCCATAGCTTCCTCATGTGGACAGAAGGGGGAGCTGGGGCCATTCATGATTCTTCCATTGTAGAGCATCTTATGTTCGTTAGCTCCTCATTCACAGAAGGTGTTCTCTCAGCTGATGCCCACAGTGGCCCCTCAACATAGGGAAGCTCTCAGCAAACCTGTTTTACAGGTGAGGAAACTCAGGTGCAAGTGTATTATATAACTCTTGAGAAGCAGCAGATTTGGGAGGTGAGACCAGGTCTGGCTGACTCCAAAGCTCATTTCTTTCCACATCTTCAAATAGCCTCAGTTTCTCTGTCTGTAAAATGGGTGACTCAGACTAGATGAATCACTTTTCCCTTTGCCATGCATTGTCTTTCTCAGAATTAGAGGAAGCTAGTTCATTTGTACCCCAGGTAAAGGAGCAAAATGAAAGAGGGGTGTCACATTGCACCTAGAAGTGTTACTAGGCTGGTGAGGGGAGTACAAGAAGGCCACCTGGGCCAGGAGCCCACGGGAGCCTTGCCAAAGCCTTTCCTGGGCTTTGGTAACTGTGGAGGATTAAAGGGTATAATAAAGAGAGTCTGGGAGAGTCAGATTAGAAAATGAGACTTGGAGGCTGGGCCTTCCCTCTGCATCTCTGCTCTGGGATTGAGATTATTTTGTCAGATTTTCCAGATCATAGCTACTTTTTTTGGAGTCTTGGAAAGCTTTCAGTCTTCCAGTGTGTTTTTTTTTTTTAAATTCTAAATATTCATGGTGAATTGAGGGAGGGGGCAGGGTCTCACTTGCATGCTGAGAATCACTAACACTAAGAATTGCTGTATGCCAGGCGTTTGTTCAAGGTTCTGTCCCAATCACTAACTGGAGAATCCTCAAGACATTTTGGCGACAGTGTGTCAGTGCCATCCCAGTTCACTGCTAGGGAAGCAAGGCTCAGGGGCTAACACGACTTACTAGTTAAAAATCATGGCCTTGAATCCAGGGATTGGCTACTGACCTCCAAGCTCTGAGAGAGTGGGCCCTGGTGGCCGCGGGCTGGGACAGGTGGATTCCTTCACCGGTGGCCTGGCCCTGCCCACCTAAGGCCCGTGCTCCGTGCTCTGCTTCTGTTGCAGTTTGTGGGGAAGTATGAGACTGTCATGTTCTACTGGCCCTCACTGCTGTGCCTGGCCTTCCTGCTGGGCCGCTTCCTGCTCATGTTTGTCAAGTCTCTGAGGGTCCACCTGGGCTGGGAGCTCCCGATGGTGAGTACTAGGTAAAAACACAGTGTGTGTCCTGACAGGTTACATTTTCACAACAGCCTTGTGAGGTAGGTCCTATTGTTATTTCTCCCATTCTGCATTAGGAAGCTTGGACCCACAGATGTGAGTTGCAAACCCAGTTTAGTTGTTGAGGCTCTCTCTCACCCACTGTGCTTTGTTTTCTGGTTCTTTATGGTAAAAAGTTAGGTGGTTTGTATGAGATCTTTTTTTTTCCCTCTTAATGTAGGCATTTACTGCTGTACACTTCCCTCTTAGAACTGCTTTTGCTGCATCCCATAAATTTTGGTATGTTGTTTCTCTATTTTCATTTGTTTCAAGACATTTTTTGATTTCCCTTTTGATTTTTTTTTCTCTGACCCATTGGTCGTTCAGGAGTGTATTGTGTGTGAATTCCAGTTTTCCTCCTGTTACTAATGTCTAGCTTTATAGCATCATGGTCAGAAAAGATGCTTGACATGGTTTCAGTTTTCTTAAATTTAAGAACTTGTTTTCTGGCTTAATGTATGATCCATCCTGGAAAACACTTTAGAGAAGAATATATATTCTGCTATTGTTGGATGGAATGTTCTATATATGTCTGTTTGGTCTATAGTATTGCTCAAGTCAGCTGCTGCTTCGTTGAATTAGCTATCTGTTGTTGAAAATGTGGTGTTGAAGTCCCCTACTATTATTGTGTTGCTGTTTATTTCTTCCTTCACTTCTGCTTATATTTACTTTATATATTTAGGTGCTCTGATGTTACATGCTCATATGTTTACAATTTTTATAGCCTCTTGATGGTTTGACCTTTTTATCATTATATAATGACCTTATTTGTTTCTTGTGATAGTTTTTGACTTAAAGTCTGTTTTTGTTTGTATAGCCATACTTCTCTATTTTGGTTGCCATTTGTATGAAATATCTTTTTCCATCCTTTTAGTTTCAACGTGTGTGTGTCTTTAAAGCTAAAGTGTGTCTCTTGTAGATTGCCTATCTGTGGAATTTTAAAAAATCCATTTAGCCACTCAGTGTCTTTTGATTGGAGAATTTAACACATTTGCATTTAAAGTAATTATTTGACAGATAAGGACTTAAAACTGCCATTTTGTTCATTGTCTTCTGACTTTTGTAATTCCTTCTTCCTTTCTTGCTTCCTTTGTGATGTGATGATTTTTTGTAGAGGTATGCTTTGATTCCTTAATCTTTTGTATATGTAGTAGTTTTTATTTTTATATTATATAAAATTTTATATTGTTTAATATGTTAGAGATATAATTTATTAATACATAATATATAATAATACAGTAATTTATATTGTTTAACCAGTAACAAATCGTTATAGTTGTAGTTGCTTTTCATACTCTTGTCTTTTAACTTTTATACTAGAGGTAAAAGTGATTTATGCTCCACTATTACAGTATTAGAGTATTCTGAATTTGACAATATACTTAACTATTATCAGTGATTTTTATACTTCCATATATTTTCATGTTGCTGATTAGCATCGTTTTATTTCAACTTGAAGAACTCACTTAAACATTTTTGGTAGACAGATCTAGTGGTAATAAATTACCTCAGTTTTTGTTTGCCTGGGAAAGTCTTTATCTCTCCTTTTCTGAAGGACAGTTTTGACAAGTGTAGTATTCTTTGCCGGCAGGTTTTTTCTTTCTGTGTTTTGACTATATCATCCCACTGTCTCCTGGACTGCAAGGATTCTACTGAGAAATTCCCTGATATCCATAAAGGGGTCCCCTTGTATGAAAGAATACATACTTTGTACTTTCAAAATTCTCTCTTTGTCATTGACTTTTGACATTTTGATTATAACGTATCTTGGTGAAGACCTCTATGTATTCAGTCTGTTTTGGATTCTTGGGGTTTCATGGATCTGGATGTTTGTTTTCCTCCCCAGATTAGGGAAGCTTTCTGTCATTATTTTTTTATATGAGCTTTATGCCCCTTTCTCTTTCTCTGTTCCTTCTGGGACTCCCCTGCCCCATTTCCCTGATCCCAGCTTTCCCCAGAGTGTTCAGCCATGCTGACCCCCTCAGTGTTCTGAGTGGTGTGATACAGGAATGGACCAGCTGGGCGTGACCCACAAGGCTGGGGAAGCTGGGCCCTTACTTCACTTTAACTCTCCCTCATGGGAGAAATTGCAGGCTAAGAGGGGCTTCTCCCTATGCACTGAGCTATACTGCTTTGGAGGAGGAGTGATGTTGGTGAAGTGAAACTGTTTTTCTTACCCTTTTTAATGCAACTATTTTGGGGTTTTTGCTTGACTTGAGTGCTGTAAGGTGAACTCCCCTTGGGCCCAGCTGGACACTTGAATCCCCTCAGAGATACTCTCCCCTGTGAATGGTGGTCAAAACTAGTGTTTCTGAGGGGATGTGGGGGCTGGAACCTCCTACTTCTCCAGCTTGCTAATGTTGCTCGCCAGGCAGAGTCCTAACCGGACTCTTTGTACTCTTGTACTCTTCCCAACATCTGCGATGTATAAGATTTTGTCTCATAGTGTATAAAATTTACATATTCAGTTTATGGGCAAAAAGAATGACTATTGCGGAAAGCTCATTACACTTGGAGAAAACATAAATACTGCAGAATAAGAAATGAGCAAGAGAAATTCCTACGCATAAAAAATAAAAACCTGGGAATTGAGGTGTTTCATCCCTGAAACAATGTTTTGGACTATGATGAGAAATCACCAAATCTCAAAGTGAAAAAACAACTTCACAAAAGCATGGCTGGTGTGAGCAGTGAGTCAGAGACCCCTAGCATTACTTGGAAGCAAGTGCTTGCTAAACAGGAGATGGGTCCCTACTGTCTCTTCCATAAATGACAGGTGTCTGGGAATGACTCAACCCCGAAGAGCACGTTTTACCTCTAATCCTGGCCTCTATGGCAATAGCCCCTCAAAGAGACCAAAACCCTAACAAGAATTTGTGGGCCAAAGCATAAACCTCTCTCCTTTCTCACAGGAGGAAAAGCCTTTCCTGGAAGCTCACCAGGCAGAGCGTGTCAAGCAGCTCCTGAGGAAGCGGCCCCTGCAGTAAGCACAGTTGTGTTGGTTTTCCCCCCACCCCAGTGTTTGCACCAGCGTACATGAGCCCTGATGGTATCAGAGACCCAGAGGTGACTGGAAGGGCACTCTTTGAGATCTCTTGTTTGCTAATAGCAGAAACGCAACTCAAACAGGATTAAAGGGAAAAAGGAAAGTTATGGCTGTACATAATTAAAACGTCTAGAGTTTCAGACCCAGGTGGATGGGGGCTTAATTGATCCCATCAGAACTCAGTCTCTTTCCCTCCTCTCTCAGCTCTACTTTTATCTGTGTTAGCGTCATAGTTAGGTAGGCTTCCTCCCCATGCTGGCCCCCAGAACCTCTAAGCTTATGTTCTCCTGGTTTAAGCTCACAGAAAAGAGAATTTTTCTTTCTAATAGTTCAAACAAAAGTCTCACGATTGTGTTTCATTGGATCACATTGGACCACATGCCATCCCAGAACCAGTTAACTATGGTTATTGGAGTAAACTGATGGTTAGACCTGGGTCACATGTTCACCACCAGAACTAGGAAATGGTTCTGCCTCACTGAACCACCAAGACTGGTGGTGGGGAAGAGTAGATTCCCTGAGAAAAACTGAGGTGCTGTCACCACTAAAAGAGGACAGAGCTCTGGCTAGGCAAAAATACCTGGTTTTCAGTGATCGTTCCGGTCACCCTACCCCTGCCACTATGTACAAGGGGATAATCCCCAGAAAAAGGACATGTCTAATCAAGGTCATATGGTAGCAAGGCTAGCTCTTTGGTTGGAACTACGTTTGACTACATATAGCAGAAAATGCACAATAATCCTGGTGCAAATAAAAGAGAGATTTCTTTCTCATGTAAAAGAATCCTGGAGGCAGGCAGTCTTTACTAACCGCAGACTACCTGCCATGGCTGTTTACCCATTATCTGTCTTTCTGCTCCAGTAACCTAGTCGTTTCCATCATGAAGGCTGTCCAAGGTCCCAGATAGATACTGGGGCTCCAGCCTGGACCAGCCACCATGACTGCCTTCACATGGCAGGTGGGAGAAGAGAATGAGGGTAAAAGGGACCCTCCCAGCTGTGTCACTTCCATCTGACCAGCCTCTCCCAGGTCCCACACCACGACCTCTGTCACTCCTAAGTGGCATGTTTAGTCTTGGTCACTCTTAGCTGTAAGACAGGACAGGAACTATAGCCTTTTATTTGGTGAATTGCTGTACTGAATTAAACTGAGTCTCTGTTCTTAAGAACAAGGGGAGAATGAAAACTGTGCAATCAGTGCTCTTTTTCTTCACTAAACTCTAAGATAAAGAAGGAGATATGATGTTATTTTCAGGAGAATCAAGCCTATGTTTACCAACCACAACCTGTCTTCTCTTGGTGTTTATCCATTCAGAGAGAGAAAAAAGTCTTGGTTCCAAACCAAGATATATGAGTGGGACCCCTGCTTTCAGTTCCCGAGCAGAATGATTGGAACCACTGTGTTGGCTTTCATCTGCCTTTACCTTGTAAGTAGATCTAAGCAAATCCTTTTCTACTTTATAGATGGGGTGGGGCTGGGATAGTAGTTGTTCTGTAAAAGCTGGGTCAAAATTGAGTGTCTGTAAATCAGAGAAGTACAGTTCTTCAACTCCACCATTTCAAGGACACTTTTACCCACATGGTGTATATTATTCATAAATAAAATCAAATTATTTATGGAGACTTCCAGTTGCCACTTCCATATGTAAAGAGCTTGCAAGCTGCCACTCCATATTAACAACAAGTAAAAATCTGAACAGGCTGAAGAATCAACAACTCTTTTTGGATCCCTAGGAGAAGTGAGGTCATGTAGCAAACCTTTGCCCCTAAAATTAGAGAGATGGACAGGATCATGACAGAATGGAGCAGAAACCTCATGGGAACCAGTGCTGAGGTAGGAAAATCTGAGCCGTAATCAATGCCATCAATCAGTTGGGTGTTTTGGACATCCATAGACTACTTCACCAGCAATAGCAGAATACACAGTCTTCTCAAGAGTATCCAAAATAAACTATATCCTGAAACATAAAGCACACTTTAATAAATTTTAAAAAATTAGAAATCATGCAATGTCTGCTCTCAGACCTCAGTGGAATTAAACTAGAAATAAGTAACAGAAAGTTAATTGGAAAATCCCCAAACAGTAGATATTAAACAGCACACTTCTAAGTAATATATGGGCCAAAAAAATCTTAAGGGAAATTAAAAATTACTTGAACAAATGAAAATACAACTTACCAAAATTTGTGGGAGGCACCGTGCCTAGAGGGAAATTTATAGAATTGAGCATATCTATTAGAAATGAAGAAAGATCTAAAATTAATTATTATCTAAACTTACACCTTAGGAAACTGGGAAAGAAAAGAACAAATTAAATGCTAAGTAAGCAAAAAAATAGTTGTAATAAAAATTAGAGCAGAAACCTATGAAATTGAAAACAGAAAACCAGTAAAGCACAGAATCCAGACATTTCATGTGGTCAGAATTATCTGGGGTAAAATGTCTGAGTCAAAAGCAGAGTCAAAATGGAGAGATAAAAGTGGCCAGGTTGTCTTTTGCTCATTTTTAATGTACTAGGGTGATACCTGTATAAACTAATCCTGTGATCAAGTTTTAAGTGAACGTATTAGGTTATGATGAAGTACCATCTAAACTCCCAAAGTTCAGTGACAATACTGTATATATTTTTGTCCACGTAACAATGTTGAGTGGCTGTTCAGGTTTGGGAGGCAGCAGTCTTCCATGTGTTATTCTGTAACTAGTTTCTTTCATCCTGTGCCTTCATCATCCCTGAGAACCCTCACCACCTGCATTCAGTCAGCAGAAGGGGAAAGCTTGTGGAGAAATGCACGTGGGAGGTTTTCAAAGGCCATGTGGACCCAGAACACATTCCTTCCACTCTTCCCATTGGCAAGAATGTTGTCATGTGGCCACATCTAACTCAGAGGAGGCTGGAAAGTGTAGTCCAGCCTTGTGCCCAAAGAAGAGAGAATGGATTTTAATGGACAACTAACTAGAGTTCTCTGCAGCAGTGAGTAACTCAACTGGCATTACTGTGTTTCTTAAATCATTATTGGTTGTCTACTCTATGCCAAGAACTTTGCTAAGACCTGGAAGAGAAGAGAGAACTGAGTCAGCAGAGTCTTGCCCTAGAAGTAGCCCAGGGTCTAAGAGATAAGATTTGATATGAAGAACTGCTGTCTAAAGAGAGAAAAGGAAAGGTAACGGTGCTCTGGAAATTTAGTGAATTACTCTGGATCAAGAAGATACCTGAAGATGGGTGTATTTGAGCTCCACTTCAGAGATTAGCAAGGTTTGGTTGATGTAGTAAAATGGCCTCAGGAACTCTAGACGCTATGGCGCGATGATGGTGGCACGATGGCAGGATGATGGGGGGAGAGGAGGGGAGCAAGCATGACATGCATACAGAGACCAGGACCTTCTCCAGTTTGGTCATTGCCAAGATGCAAGAAGGGCAACAGTGAGAAATGCGGCTGGAATTGTCCCCAAGGTCACCCCTCATTCAAAGTTAGGCATACATTTCACTCGGATTTAGTTACTGTTTGAAGAGTTCCTTGAGCACTTGTGGGGACTTGTCTTGTATGCTGTTATGTGAAGGACAGATTTTAGGGTGACTCCTGTCTCCAAAGAAGTCACAATCCCATTCATCCCAGGATAGCAAGTGTCCAGAGTCTATTTCAGATGAGTTTTGAGCTGCAAAGAGTTTTGACCTTGAAATCAAAGAGAAACCCATATGTTATTCATATACTGAGCTAGACTCCGGTGAGACCTTGAAACATTTTCTCTGTGTCCCCAGTTCATTGTCATTGAGTTCTGCATATTTGTGTGTGTGAGAGATGAGCTGGACGTGTTTGAAGGTGAATTGGAGAACTACGTTGCCTCCATGAACCAGACGGGGACCCTGACCCCAGTTCTTCTGCAAGTGAAAGAGCTGATTAGCGTCACCAAAGGTAAAACCAGCCTGCCACCTTTGTTCCTGCACCTGTGTGGGAAACAGAGAGGGACTTGTGACTGATGGCATGTGCACACCTATAGTAATCATTGCTGCCAGTCTTGGTGTGACCTGCATTACAATTGTTCTATGCCTCCCTGGGTTGATTGGAAAGAAAAAGGGATTAGAACACAGGCTGTTTTGTTAAAACCTCTTTGGGGCTTAATCAAACATGCCTTGAGAGAGCTTTCTCATCTTAAATAGCCTGTTTTGCTTAATGCCAGTGGAAACAACTAAGGTTATCATATCTTACTTTATAAAAGATAAAACAGTAAGTCTTGACTTTTTGTGATTATATGAAAAGTTTATTTACATCATTCAAATTTAATTTCTGCTTAGTTCAGGCTGCTATAACAAATTACATAGACCGTGTGGTGTGAACAGCAAACATTTACTTCTCACAGTTCTGGAAGCTGGGAAGTTGAAGATGCTGGCAGATCTGGTATCTGGGGAGGGCCTGCTTCCTGACTTGCAGGTGGTCACCTTCTCTTTGTATCCTCGGAGTGCTGGAGAACAGGGAGGGGATGCAGGCTCTCTCCTGTCTCTTCTCTTCAGGGCACTAACCCCATTGTGAGGGCTCCACCCTCCTCATCTAATTACCTCCCAAAGCCTCCACCACTAAATATCGTCACATTAGGGATTAGGGTTTTAATACCTGAATTTTCTGGTGGGCTGGACAGAGGGCCAGAGGGATGCACACATTCTGTCTGTAGCAGTCGCTTTACCTTAAAATAGCAGCTTTCTTTGAAAATGATATATTCCAATTACATGTTCTTTGTCTACGAAGGGAGGAAAGTTCTCCACTATTCCCTGTGGAGAAAGGGCCTGCACAAGATGGTAGGATAAACTCTGTCATTGGACGAGTTAGGTCCCTTCTCTATGCCTCAGTTTTCTCACCATTAAAATGGGGCTTGGATAAGGGTACCGAATGGTTTCTAAAAGCCTTTGTAGCTCTGCCCTTTGATGGCTATAAATTACCAGATGCTTTTTAAGCCATGAAACAGGTGATGCAGATAACATTTTTCACTTAAGACTCACAAGCAAGTAAAATATCGAAGCCAGAGGGGAATAGATCTACCATGAATTATTTGACGAAGAGTCTCTTACGAGTACGTGGCATGGAAGGTTACCTTTGGGGCAAACACTAAGGCGAATACTGCTTCTTCTGTATTGCCATACTTTATTGTTGCCCTTGAATGTTTTTATTCATCTTTACTGTAGATTTATGTTCAGCCTGATGAGTCCCTTACTATGATACGCAGTGAGCATATTCTAGTATTTAATTTAGTAATCCTCATTTTAAGTCATACTTTTGAGAATTCACATTTCTACTCCTCTTCTGGGCAACCTCAGTTACTTGGTCTAGGGGGATTGTAGTGACTATTACCATATCCACCCATGTTTTATCTCCTCTTTGTTGTATTTCTCACATGTTTAGACACTTTAAGAATCAAAACATAACATTTTCACTTTGTTTCCATCTCTTCTAGTTTTCAAAAGCTACCCTCTTGCCGAGAGAGACTCTTAGGCTGAACATGCTTCACCTTTGGGATGATAAAGGCATTAAATTAAAGGTGTGCAGTTGGGTTCTTGCTGCTGGCCCCAGCAAGTCTGCACTCACTCTTGTGGCCAGATTCCTCCCGTCCTTTCCTCCCAAGGATGTCTCCCTGGCATCCCCAGGGGTGAGACTTACGGCGCTTTACCTGCATCCTTTGTGCTGGTGGAGGTTTGGGATATAGCAATTGCCTAGTCCTGTTGATCCTGGGATAAAGACATATTTAAAACTTGAAAGGAATGGAAATCAGCTTTCTTTTCCCTTCCTCCAAAAACACCTTAATGAAGGTGTTACTCACATACCATACAATTCACCCTTTTAAAGTGTATAGTTCAATGGGTTTTTAATATATTCTCTAGTGGTGCAACTATCATCACAATCAAATCTAGAACATTTTCATCACCCTAAAAAGAAATCTTGACCATTTTCAGTCACTGCCTGTTTCTCAACTCTCCCAGCCCTAGATACCCACAATTTTCTGGCTCTATGGATTTGCCTATTCTGGACATTTTATATAAATGGAATCAGACAATATGTGGTATTTTTTGATTGACTTCTTTCACATAGCAAGATGTTTATAAGGTTAATTATGTTATAGCATGTCTCTGAACTTCATTATTTTTTATTGCTGAATTTTATTTTGTAATAGGAATATACTACGTTGTATTTATCCATTTATCTGTTGATGCAACTTTGGGATGTTTCAACTTTGGATTAATATGAATAATACTGCTATGAACAGACATCTATAAGTTTTTCATATATTTTTATATATCTTGAGTATATACCTAGGAGTGGAATTCTGGATCATATGGTACCTATGTTTAACTTTTGGGAGGATTTGCCAGACTATTTTCGAAGGTAGCTGCATCACTGTGTATTCCCATCAGCAACGTATGAGGGGTCCAGTTTCTCCATATCTTCACCCACATTTGTTAGTATCTGCCTTTTCTATTGCAGCTATCTAGTAACTGTGAAGTAGTGTCTCATTGTGGTTTTGATTTTCATTTTCCTGATGGCTAATGATGTTGAGCATCTTTTCATGTACTTATTGACCATTTTTACATCTTCTTTGAGTAATGTCTATTGAAATTCTTTGTCCATTTTTAAATTGGGTTATTTGTTTATTATTGAGCTGTGAGAGTTCTTCATATATTTTATATACTAATCCCTTATAAGAGATATAATTTACAAATATGTCTTCCATTCTGTGGGTTGCCTTTTCACTTTTTTGATGACATCCTTTGAAATACAAATATTTTTATTTCTAATGAAGTCTAACATATCTTTTTTTCCTGTTATCACTTGTGCATAGCTAAGGAACCACTGCCTAACCCAAGGTCACAAAAATGTACTCTCATATTTTCTTCTGACACTTTTTTTTTATCATTTTATGATTTACATTTAAGCCTATGATCCATTTTGAGTTAATTTTTTGTATATGGTGTGAGGTAAGGGTCAAACTTCATTGTTTTACATGTGAATATCAGCCCCCCCCAGTACCATTTGTTGAAAGGCAGATTCCTTCCCCTTTAATTGGCTTGTTATTCTTGTTGAAAATACATGAACAATGAGAGTTTACTTCTGGATTCTCAATTTATTCCATTGATCTATTTGTCTGTCTTTATGGCAGTACCATTCTGTCTTCATTACTATAGCTTTACAGTAAGATTGAAATCAAGAAATGTTAAGTCCTGCAATTTTGTTCTTCTTTTTCAAGATGGTATAGCCTGTTCTGGGTCCCTTCACTTTTATATGAATTTTAGGATTAACTTGTGAATTTATGCAAAAATTGCATTGGAATTTTGATAGAAGTTGGGTAGAATCTGTAGATCTATTTAAGGAATATTGCCATGTTCACAAAGAACATCCAATACATGAAAGTGGTGTGTTTTTTTCCATTAATTTAGGTCTTCTTATTTCTTTCAACAATCTTATAGTTTTCAGTGTACAAGTTGTATACTTCTACTAAATTTGTCTGTAAGTATTTTACTCTTTGTGATACTATTGCAGATGCAATTGTTTCTTACTTCGTTTTCAGATTACTCATTCCTAGTGTACAGAAATACAGTTGATTTTTATATATTGGTCTTGTGCCTTGCAACCTTGCTGAACTTGTTTATTAATTATTTTTATTTTTGTTTGTTTGTTTATTTGTTTATTCCCTAGGATTTTCTATACATAAGACCATGTCATTGGTGAATAGAGATAGTTTTATTTCTTCCTTTGCAGTCTGGGTACATTTTTCCTGCCTAATTGCCTGGCTAGACCCTCCAGTACAATGTTGGATAGAATTGGCAAGAGCAGACATTGATTTTCTTGTTCTTGAACTTAGGGGGAAGCAGTCAGTTTTTCACCAATTAAGTATGATGTGAGCTATGGGGTTTTTCAGATGCTTTTTCTCAGATTGAGGAAGTTCCTTTCTATTTCTGTTTTATGGAGTGTTTTTAATTATAACAAGGTGTTGGATTCTCTCAAATGCTTTTTCTGCACCTGTTGAGAATCAGCTCTTACAAAAGCTTTTACTTCCTTCCCTCTTTTTCCATCCCTCTCTCACGAGCACACAGAATCACTTGGAAAGCAAATTAGATACGAGATGTTAAAAACATACTGAAAGATGGACAAATGAATAGTTGAGACCTCTGATTCCAGTTACTCTGGCACATGGTGGCTCTTTACTGGAGACGGGTAACCCCCACCCCAGAAGGGGTGATTAGAAGTTCAAGTATTAATGCTGTTTTACAAGGATGGAGGCTCCCTACAATGTGTACACTCTGTAATTTTCTTTCTCTATTACCTTCTGTGGATTGAAAATACTAATACCAAAGGACAAAATTATAAATATGCAGGAAATAAAGGATATGAAGGGTGTGTGACTAAAATGAAAGAGCCATATAAGCAAAACTTTACTTACACAAAAGTTGTGTTAAAGGAAGTACAATCGACTTTGTCCAGACCTTTCTGTTGTGAGTTTCTGCATTTTAAAAATAGTTTCTGGTGCATCTTTTGAAGCTTCTCGAATCACCTTTTCTGTTCCAGGAGTCTGGATGGTGACCATTTTGCCCGCCTGTCTCACGTGTGTGAGCTATCTGTTTCACATCTTGGCATGTTACAGGTAAGGGGGTTCTGGGAGTCATTTGTGTGTCTTCAGCCAGGAAAGCAGCTGACAGTCTTTTCTCGGAATTCCCAAGCAGTGCTCTCAGAGCCCAAACTGGGAACAGCAGTATATACAGGGTCCAGGGACAACCACATTAAATTAGTAGTAAAAAACAAAAACAGACAACAAAAAAATATTGATTTGCGCTTCCACTGTAAGCTTGACATTGTGATTAGAACCTTCTTTTGGTTTTCATCGCAACCCTAAGGGGTACTTTTGTCTCCATGTTTACTGCTAAAGAGGCGAGACTCAACAAAATCACTTTACCCAAGCTATTAGCAGCTGATTATATCGTCTGACCCCTTCTGACCTTGTCATTTCTCATACACTTCAGCGTCTCTTTGGGTGTCACACCCGCCTTGCTCTCCAGGACTAATCACACCAGGCTCCCAGCAGGTGAATCTGGCTCCAGGGGACATCACAGGAGATTGGGTCAAGGGAACCGGGTGCGTCAGTCTCTAGAGCAGCAGTGCGGGAGGAGGGGATGGGCTTCAGTATGTAGCCCACATTTGCATGCAGATAGAAGTTGAATTTTCTGTATCTGTTCCTCCCTTTTCTCTCCATCTCTCTGCTATTGTCTCTGCCTGTCTCTCTGTCTCAGTCTCTAATTCTCACTCATGGGAAGCCCATGGTTGGTTCCCACCCCTCCAGATCCTAACCCTGCCTTTACATCCTCCCCTTCTGACTGCCGAAAGGGTAGGTCTCCTGCAGATGGCATCCATGAGAAGACTCTCCTGGCACAAAGAGGGCCCAGCTCTCCATCCCATCCCAGCCCTGCCTTGCTCCCTCTCTCTGCTTTCTTCTCCCTGGACTCTGTGGGTGGACTAGACACAGCTGCCTCCCCCGTCCCCACCTGATGGAGGGATTTGTCTGCTCCTTCCTTCATTAGCCTACAAGCGGCTGGGAGATTCTCACTGAGGCATTTGACCTGCGGTGACGCAGAGCTGGCTGCATGGATGTGGGTGGAGGACAGCTGAGGGCACAGGGGTGAGAGGGCATCTGTGGTGGACTGGCCTCATTTCTGTCCAGGATGGCCCTTCCCTATTACACCTGTCACCCAGGAGTGATGATCCCTGCCCTGCTCCTTTACAGGACCATGGGGCAGAGGAAATAGTGGATGAGGAAGCACCCTGCAAACTGGACAGCACCAGCACTGTGCCAGTGTTGTTATTTTTCTTAGAATTATTTCAAACTATACGCAAGCTCTTCTTTAAAAAAAAAAAAAGGTAAAAACATGTTTAGTGTAAAGTAAGTCTTCCTCCCATTCAGACCCTAAGCCAGGAGCTAAACATTATTGTTCAGTTTCTGTGCCTCCTTCCAGAAATTTTCCCTGCACCATGCAAATGTGTCTGTCTGTTTGTATTCCTCGTAGCACTCTCTACTCTGGTGCTGCCAAACAGAAGCACGATGAAAACCACAAATGCAATTTTGTATTTTCTAATAGCCACTACTAAAAAACTAAGGGGGAAGTGAAAATCATTTAATAATATATTTTGTTTAACCCAACATAATAGAAATACCATCATTTCATCATGAAATAACTATACAAACTAACAATGAGATATTCACATTCTTGACTTCATACTAAGTTTTCGCAATTCAGTGTTCATGAAATGCAAAACAACCTGGAAATTGCTATAGGTAGGATGTTAAGGAAAAAGTAGGACACAGATGTGAATGTGGACTGTGAACGAAACTATGCCAACCTAATCTGTAGGCAAAGGGCCAGGCCAAGACGGGCATGTGGAAAAGCATGCAGTGATTTCCTGGGGTGCCAGGATTGTGAGGGGTCATGGCCCCTTTTTCATTTCCCTTTACGTTGTTACAAGGTAGGCGCTATCATTAAAAGTGGTTTTCTGTTTTTACCTGTTTTATAATATTATTACATGAAACAATAGATACTCATTGTAGAAAAAATAAGACAATAGAACAAATTAAAGAAGATAAAAGCTACATACACAGTCTCAATTATCACATTTAGTCACCATTGTGATTAGGTAGCTATATGTTATTTTTACAAAATATATTAGATTTGATTTTTAAATCTTCAGGGAAATGCTAATCAAAGCCACAGTGAGAGATCACCTCACATCTGTCAGAATGGCCATCATCAAAAAGACAAGAAATAAGTGTGGGCGAGGATGTGGAGAAAAAGGAACCCTCATACACTGTTGGTGGGAATGTAAATTGGTGCAGCCACTGTGGAAAATTGGTGTAGAGGCTCCTCAAAAAATTAAAAATAGAACTTACCGTATGATCCAGCAATTCCACTTCTGGGCATTTATCCAAAGAAAACGAAAACACTAATTCAGAAAATATATGCACCTCAGTGTTCTTTACAGCATTATTCACAATAGCCAAGCTATGGAAGCAACCTAAGTGTCCATGGATGGATGAATGGATAAAGATGATATGTGTGTGTGTGTGTGTAAAAAGGAATACCATTCAGCCATAGAAAAGAACTAAGTCTTGTCATTTGTGAAGACATGGACCGGACTTAAAGGTGTTATGCTAAGTGAAATGTCAGATGGAGAAGGACAAATACTGCATGATTTCATTCATATGTGGAATCTAAACAACAGAAAACAAAACAAAAACAAAACCCATAGATACAAAGAACAGATTGATGGTAGCCAGAGGCATGGGCTGGATGACATGGGCGAAGGGGTCAAAATGTACAAACTTTCAGTTATAAAATAAGTCATGGGGGTCCTGGGGCTATAATGTACAGCATGGTGACTGTTGTTAAAAAATGGTGTGTTGTATATTTTACAGTTCTAAGAGAATAGATTAAAAGTTCTCATCACAAGAAAAAAAATGTTTATAACTGAGGTGATAGATGTTAACAAGACTTATTGTGATCATTTCACAATATATACAAATATCAAATTATTATATTGTATGCCTGAAATAATAATCATGTTGTATGTCAATTACATCTCAATTTTTTAGAAAGTGTTAAAGTATTTTTAAGGCTAGTTAGCCCCATGCCATAAGCTGTGACCAGTACGGGGACTGAGCCATCTCCCTCCACGGGCCTCTCTGTATACATCTTCTTATGACTCTGGTCATGAGTGTTACTGATCTCCCTCTTCTTCTCTAGAAAGCATATAAAGAGGTTGTGGGCAGGAGATAAACACTTTCTCCCTTTGAAATTCCATAATCCGTCCTCGTCGGAGAGTGTGGTAAGTCTGCAGAGGCCTCTCTCTCCCTGCTCCGAGGCCAAAGCCTGCTGTCCTACGCCTCAAACAGGGGCAGTGTGCTGGGGGAGGAAGGGCCCTGGGCTAGGAGTCCAGAGTCCCCAGCTCTAGTATGTTCTGCTGCTAAGTGACTCAGGATCAACACTGTCCCTATTCAGTCCTCGATTTTCTCATCTGTAAAATGGGGACAATCATGACGCCTGCCTTCATGGGTTGGTGGGTGACCCTCAAATGAGACACGGAGGCTGGACTCGTGCATTAGAGGTAATCAGGGTTTCTCCCCTCTGTGACCCTTTTTTCTTTTTAAATCTCAGGTGGCCATTGCGCGGTACTCTGGCTGGCAGATAGCCTATATTCTGTGGGGTGAGTGTCACCACTCAGTTCAGCACAGGTTCCCTGGGCGCTGCGGAGAGCCGGGGAGAGCCGGCTGTGGGTAGGGAGAAGCCGGGCGGGGCAGAAGCAGCCCCAGCTCTTCCTCTAGGGCCCTCTGGGAAGGAGCAAGAAACACAGCTCCTGTAGGTCCTCGTCACCATCTGTCCTGGGCCCATGGGGCGAATGTGCTAAGGGTGGTGTTGACCCAGAGGAGGTGACTGTCCAGACCCAGGACAGGGAGTGAAGACAGGAGCTGGCATTTGAACTGCGCCTGGCAGGGTGAGCCGAAGGTCAGCAGCCATGCCAGATAGAAGAAACAGCATAAGCAAAAGCGCCGGGACCTTCGGTCGGAGGAGGCTAGAGGCGGGATGGCAGGGATGGACATGTGTGACCACTGGCTCCCTTGGCCCACAGGCTACCTCATCATCCACGTGATGCAGAGCCTGTGTGGCTTGGTGATCATGTACAGCCTGGTGCTGCCTGTCATCCACAATCAGGCCCTGAAGATGCTCCGAGGACTGGGCATCGGGACGTGAGTTGTAGGCGGGCTTCCTGTCAGTGCCTGGGGCCTGGGAGATGGTAGGCCCTCGCAGCCGCTGTTTGAGATGCCCCTCCCTTGCTGGGCTCTCACCAATCCCAGGACCCATGCTCTCAGCGCTGGCCCAAGGATGGGCCAAAATAGCAACTCACTCTGCTGGGAACCTTACAGTTTACAGAATGTTTCCGCTCTCACTGTTCAATGGTGTCCTCACGATTGTGTCTGTGGGAGATACATGGATGTCCATTAATAGCTGGGAAGACTGAGGTTCAGGGAGGCGGAGAGGAAGGACAGTACAGTGGAAGAAGAGAGGGAATCTGAGCTTAGGTTTTAGATCAGCTGTGTGACTTGTGAGTTGCCTCTCTGAGCCTCAGTTTAGCCATATGGAAAGTAAAAGTGAATGCTAACACTGTCGAGAATTCACTATGCATATTTTCTCGTAAGGACCCTCCGAGGTTGAGACTTATCTTAGCTCCTTTTTTTCAGATGAGGAAACAGAGGCACAGAAAGGCTGAGCAATCTGTCCAAGGAGGAGAGGAGGCAGGATTGGGAGCTGGGCCATCTGAAACCAAAGCCTCATTTCACCACAACCCCCGATAGGAGACTCAGACACAGGATGTGGTGCTCTCTGGGGACCTCCCTGCTCTGAGCTCCTTGGTTCCAAACTCACCTAGAGCCTCCCATGAGTCTAGGGGCAGCACCTGCCCTATCCGGTTTCCCGTGGCCTTCATGAGCTCTTCTAAAAACCCCGTTCCTTTCTTTGATTCCCATGCCGTTAAACCACTCATCCCAGCTGCCACCTCTCAGCAAAAGGACATAATTAAACACTGGAGTTCTGGTCTGGAGCCAGAAGACCTGACAATGCAGCTTTGAGAAAGTCATCTCCCCTTTCTGAGCCTCAGTTTTCTCATCTGCACAGTGGGCATGAACATGCTCTGTAGGCATAAAGGGAAGAGCTCATGCTACTGTTGTCCAGAGGGCAGTCAGCATCTGTCTCCTCTCTGTCACTGGGCATTCAAGAAGGCTTGGGAAGAGTGGACAAGGCCACCTCAGGATGATCTCACTCTGTGTTTCAGCCTCACCATATCCATCGTCTTGGGTCTCATGATCCTGCAGGTGTGGATTGCCGCCAAATTCTTCTTGCAGCCAAAGATGGGAACAGCTGACAAGCAGAAGCCCCTGGCTCTCAACAATAGGTGAGGGCACAGAAGGGAGTGGGGCACTGCAGGGCTTCGGCCTCAAGCCGTCTCTTTCCTTCCTCTTCACCTTTGACAGGTTCCTGGGTGGACTCTGCACTTTCTGAGACATGAGGGGCAGTGGTTCAGGACTGAGCTCTGGGGCCAAACTGCCTGGGACTACGTCCTGGCTCCTCCCCTTATGAACTGTGTGACCTCGTGTGACCTCACTCAACGTCTATGAACCTCTGCTTTCTCATTTTACAAATAAGTGTACATACCTCAGAGAAGTGTTCTGAGAGGAAAGGTATTAGGATATGAACTTAGAACAGTCATACCTGGCCCATGGTCATCCTTTCTAGTTCAGTCATTGAAGGACATTCACTGATGGAGGAGACAACACAGGTGCTGAGGGTAAAGAGGTGCCCCACACCGTCTGGTCCTCAGGGGCTGACGGACATATAGGGCCCATAGAGTCCAGCAGGTATGAAAGCATTACCAGAGAAACTTGAGTAAGGAAGGAGAGGCAGGGGTAGGGGAGAGGAAGAGTGTTCATTCAGCTGCAGGGGGGCTGTCCGAGCTGAGGTCGGCAGGATGGTAGGATTCCTACAAGCAGCAGTGAGGAAACAGCATGGCTGCAGCTCCTGCTGCACAGATGCAGGGAGGAAGTCATGAAAGGGCTCAGTGCCCTCCATGCTATTTCTCAGGTAATGCTGGGAGAAGAGTGAAAATCCAATACAGTAGCATGCAGTGGCCTTAGATGGTGAGGGATGGGGAGGGGACACAGTGTGACAGTGCCAGAAAGGCCTGTTACAGAGGGCCCAGAAATTCAGTATGCAGAGTTTGGGCTTTATCCTATCGCCAGTGGAGGACCACGTGATCAGGTGGTCATTTGGGAAATTTCACCTGCAGGACTTGGAGTAGTTCTAACTGGGGGCAGGTCACTGTGCAACAGGCAGTGGGGAAGCCACACTTCTGCTGTAACCTCGAACCCAGCTGTAGCCACATGAGGTTTCTTTTCTTTCTTTTTTTTTTTTGAAAAATGAAGTAAGAATTTATTTTAAACTTAATTAATATTATCTGAAATTTGCTACATACATACAAAAAACTAACACTCAAGAACACAAGAAAGAAGCAGTTTAAAATGAACTATTTTACATAGTTCTAGTTTGTTTAGGCAGAAAAACATCAATTTTTCTTCTCTTTGGGTTTATCTATTCTGGATATTCTTTTTTTTAATTTACATGTATGTATTGTTCTTTGTTTCTAAGAACAGCTTAGAGCTTTAGCATTTTATTTTTTTAACTTTTTTTTATTGAGTTATAGTCATTTTACAATGTTGTGTCAAATTCCAATGTAAAGCACAATTTTTCAGTTATACATGAACATACATATATTCATTGTCACATTCTCTTTCACTGTGAGCCACCACAAGATCCTGCATATATTTTCCTGTGCTACACAGTACAATCTTGTTTATCTATTCTACATTTTGAAATCCCAGTCTGTCCCTTCCCACCCTTCTAGAGCTTTAGCTTTTTAAACTTACATAATCATCAAAGGAATAAAGCCAACCACAAAATAAGAATCAACAGAATGCAGTAATCCAATCATAAAGGACAGTCAAATGTGCTTACACAAATTCAAGACACATGAGGTTTCTTATCATACAGGAAACCTCAAAACCACAGGATCCTGTGAAACTTTGCAGTGCCCCCTGACATTCAGCCTGCACTGGGCTCAGTGCCCTCCATGCTATTTCTCAGCCAGTCCATACTCCAGCTGTTAAGTGGGGACAGTCAGCTCCTGCTCACAGCAAGAGTTTACACAGCTAGGAGATGGGAGGTGTAGGACTCGACCACAGGTCAGCAGGGGCCCTGAGCCCACCTGCCTAGCCACCTTCTCTCTCACTGAAACGTACCGCCCCTCCACCTGCTTCCATTTGCAGGAGAGCATTCCACAACTTCAACTATTTTCTGTTCTTCTACAACGTGCTGCTGGGCCTGGGCGCCTGCCTCTCCAGACTTCTCATCAGCTGCATCCTGGGCACATGGCTGATTGCTCGCATCGACAGGACCATCCTGCAGAGTGGCTATGAGGGAGCAGACATGGGTACGTGGCTCTGCACCTGGGGAGCGCTGGGCTTGCGCCTTTGCAGAAGCTGCCTGGACGCTGGGTCCCAGAGGCCTGGCAATCATACTCTTCTTTTATGCTTAGAGCTTATCTTCCCAAGAAGGCTATCTTAAAGATGAGTAGAAAAAGAAAAAAGAAAAAAAAAAAAAGATTCAGCGCCATGGCCACAGGGAATTCAGGCTGCTAAATACCTGCATGTTTGAGAGGCCTTTGAGGTAAAATGAGGGACAGTAAGAAATAGCAGAGTTCTGTTAGAACAGTTAGAAGGCAGTTTATGAACGCATGCCTCTGAAAATTTCAAGAAAGAACATCTTTCACAATTACTGGTGGTATTAGCTGGACACTTACTTAGTTAAGAAAATAGTCTGTTTTGTTGAAATGCTCCAAAATCAAAGCTGTTTCTGTGGAGCAAAAATTGGTTTTGTTCTATTTCTGACCCATGTCGGTTAATTGCCTCATTCATTCAATAGAGGCTGATGGCTTCTCCGTATAAGCCACAGAAGCTTCTAGACCCTGTGACCTTCAAATGCCCATAAAATGGATGGTAGGGTGTGACCCTTCCAGCTCTTTATGCTTCACTTTCTAGATTCTCAGCAAAAACCCGGGCACTATTTGGGAACAAAGTAACACTGCAGTTTTGTCAGAAAAAGCATAAGCTGGGCCATCCTGGGACGTACTGCATGGCTTGACTTGCCCTCTGGATTTCAGGGTTCCGTGCATGGATTGGCATGCTCTACGTGGATCATTATCACACCAACCCCGTGCTCGTCAGCTTTTGTCACATCCTGATCACAGGCCACAGGGAGAGGAGGCTGCAGCAGGCCATCAAATGCTGGTACCTAAATCAGTCAGCAGGTAAGTCTCCTGTTTGAACCTACACTGGGGTCGGACACCAGGAAACAAGTATCTGAGGCCTCCCTGGGACCCCTGAGATGCCCCCAGTTCCTCCTTCCCTGCTCCCCTTCCTCCACACTCCATGCCCCAGGAGCCCTTCTACCCAGGAAATCAGGAGTCTTAGCCCCCAGTCAGCCAGGCTACAGGACCCCTGAGGCCTGGTGTCCTTGTCCTGCTAACTGGGCTCCTTCCTTGTTCCCGGAAATGAGCTCTAGTTTGCTAGCTGAGTCATTCATTCAGCCATTTGTTTGAGACTCCACCCACATCCCAGGCTGCAGGCCAGATGCCCTTCAAGATGGTATGCAATTTTGCTTAGTTTTCCCCATTGCTTGTCACAAACTCTGCCAGCCACCAACTTCTGCCCACTCAAGTCTCTATACTGGCTACCCCCACCCCTGCCACCCCTATTACTCTGCTCTGCCTTCTGCTGGAAGGCCCACCAGTTAGTCATGTCTCATCAGCATCAGTCTGGGCTGTGTTGCTGCTCCCAGCACTTATACCCAGATCATCCCTCCAGTTGTCCTCATGTCCCCAGGAGTCCTGGTTCAGCTCCTTCGTCCACACCTCACACCTTCTGGGCAGCTTTCCCTCCAGCCTCTGAGAAGGACAGAGACTAACTGCCCCCTCTCGAGTCTACCTGTCTTGATTCTACCCTAGGTCCCCGCATCTCAGCTAGGTCCAGGACAAGGTGGCTCCTGCTGCAGACCCTGATCAACAACCCCAGACTGGTCATGCTCAGGAAATCAAAGCCGGATCGTGGCTCCCAGGAGTTTACCCAGATTCTGTTGACGAGCTCGGAGATCTGACATGGACCTGCAGCATTACGATAAGGCCATTGCAGGATGAGTGCCGCCAAGAAGGCCCAGGCGCCCCTGCAGCTGCATCCTGCAGTGTGACAGGACGCACAGCCCTGTCCACGCAGGTGGCACGCAGACCAAGCCATTCATGGGACGGCACCTGGGCTGAACCATGAAACCTCAGATCTATTCACTCCCTTGGTAAGCAGATCAAGAACTAAAGAGAATTTTTGTTGAACAAACTTTGCCCGGTAATAATTTCCACTATCCCTGGTGAGGAGGCAGCCTTGGGGCATTCTGTGTTGAGACGCACTTAAGTTGACCACAGGGCAGAATTTTGTGTTACTGAAAAAAGTGGTAAATTTTTTTTCTTTTGTTTTTTGTTTGTTTTGGGGGGAGAGGTAATTAGGTTTATTTATTTATTTTAATGGAGGTACTAGAGATTGAACCCAGGACCTCATGCATGCTAGGCATGCACTCTGCCCCTGAGCTGTACCCTTCCCCCCAGGGTGTTTTTTTTTTTTTATCAGGTTTTTATATCAGGAGAGCTGAACTGTTTGATACAGTTTTTCTCTGGGAGAAAGTATGGCCTTAATCCAATAAGGTCCTCATTATTTCCTCCTTTCCAGGCCGTATGGTGGTGGGAGACAAGGAAATCCATGATCCCAGCCTCCAGTCCGGTGGGAGAGCAGAGCGGGACACACTGAGCTCTCTCTCCCATGGCCACTGGGATGGGAACAGATCAGAACTGACCTGCGCCTTGGTCACAAGGGAGATGTATAGATGCTCTTGCCGAGTGGGAGGGGTGATCTCCTGAGAAAGCTACCTGGCTGAGGAGGCAGAGACCGGATGGGCAGGCATTCAAGGTGGGGGAAAACAAGAGCAAAGGTGTGGCGGCAGGAAAGCCCCAGTTCGAGGCAGGTGAACCCTCTGGTGTATGCAGTGCATGGCACTGGAAGCTGGCTAGACCATCCAAGAAGGTCTCTCTTTGTGCAGAGGGCCCAGTACTTAATGCAAATTATTTACGCCCAAGCATAAGGTCTCTGATGGCCTGTCTCTCACGAAGCCTGTGCAGGTGCCAGGAGGACTCACCAACAGGTAAGAGAAGTCCCTGCCCACCTCACAAGTCCCAGAGCCACTGAAATTCAGTAATCAGTATTAAGTATCTCCTGTAAACCCAGTCCTATTGCTCGATGTGTTTGCCAGACGTACCTCTTTTAACTTAATCTCCGCAAATTTTGTCATTCTACTTTTTGAAACTAAGAAAACTGGGACTCAGAGTATTGGGATCCCCACACCACCACTTTCTAGCTGTGTGACATCAGCTAAATTCCTTCACCTGTCTGTGCTTTCTTTTCCTTACATATAAAGAGAGGGGTAATACCTGCACCACTAAAAATTATTTTGAGGATAAAATGAGTTAATACACAGAAACACTCCTAAGCCAGTGCCTGACATGTCCTAAACTCTCAGTAAATATCAGTCATTGTTATTTGTAATGTTACACTTCATGGTGATCTGATTAATGTCTGCCTCTCACTATGCTCTCAGCTCCAGGAAGAAAGAGGCCCTTTCAGGTTTTACTCACCATTACCAAGTACTTGTAGTAACATAGTAGGATCTTGGAATGAATAAAAGAATGAGGCCATGATGAATAAATCTTTCAGCCATGAATTCAATACTGGAATCAATCCTGGCATCATGATCGCGTGACCACTAAACAGAAGGTCAGGAGCCCTGGGTTTCGGTCCCAGCTCTGTCAGGAGCATGAGTCTCAGTTTTCCTAAATGAGAGCTAGTGCTGCCCTCCCAGCCAGTGCTCCTCATTTGTACCCAGCCAATGCTGACCAAGTACCTGCTACGTGCAGTCACCACCCCAGGGACACAGGACACCAGGGAGATGAGGCCCTGCCTGCAGCACAGGCCTCTCAGCTCCTGCCATGATTGTCTCCCAGTCTCTTCCCTGAACTGCCTTGTGAGCTCCTCAAGGGCAGGGATCAGGTCTCTGTCATCCTTGAGGACATTACATAATGATAAAAGGTATATTCTGTCAAGAAGATGTAATGATTATAAACAGAAACATATCTAACAGCAGAGTTCCCAAAACATGAAGCAAAAACTGACAGAGTTGAAGGGAAAAATAGACAGTTCTGTAATAATAGTGGCAATTTCAGTAGTCCTCTTTCAATAATGGATAGTAAAACCAGACGGAAATCAGTAAAGAAATAGAGAACTTGAACAACACCATAAACCAGTTGGACGTAGCCCTCCACCTAGCAACAGCAGAATATGTATTCTTCTCAGGTGCATATGGAACATTCTTAAGGATAGACCATGTGTTAGGCCCCAAAACAAGTATTAATACATTTTAAAAAAATTAAATCATAAAAAGTATCATTTCTGACCACAATGGAATGAAACTAGGTAACAGTGACAGAAGGAAAATTGAGGTAAAATCACAAATATGGGAAAATTAAACAATTCTCCATTAAACACCCAATGAGTGAAAGTTGAAAACAAGGGATATTAGAAAATACCTTGAATCAAATGAAAATGAAACTACAACATACCAAAACTTATGGCATGCAGGAAAAGCAGTACTCATAGGGACATTTATGGTTGTAAATGTCTACATCAAAAAGAAGAAAGATCCCAAAACAATAACTTTACACCTTGAGGACTAGAAAAGGAAGAGTAAACTAAACCTAAAGCTAGCAAAAAGAGGGTAATAATAAATATGAGAGCAGAGATAAGATAAAGAACAGGAAAATACAGAAAATCAATCAAACCAAAAGTGAGTTCTGTGAAAAGATCAACAAAATTGACAAACTTTTATCTAGAATCACTAAGAAAAAAGAGAAAAGACCACAATATTAAAACCAGAAATGAAAGTTGGATATTACTACCGACTCTACAAGAGTGAAAATGATCATAAGAGTATAGTGTGAATAGCTTTACTCCAACAAGTTGGATAACCTACATGAGATGGACAAGTTCCTACAAGCATACACACTAGCCAAGTTGACTCAAGAAGAAATAGAAACTGAATAGACCTATAACAAGAGATTGAATTCTTAAAAATTATTTTAAAAAATGCACACAACCTACAACAAAGACAAGACCAGATGGCTTCATGAGTGAATTCTACAAAACATTTAAAGAAGATTTAAACTCATTCTTCTCAAACTCCCCCCAAAAATAAAAGAGGAGGAGACACTTCTTTCACATTTGATGAGGCCAGCCTAACCCTGATAGGAGAGCAGACTAGAACTGGAAGACTTAAGGTAAAATGGCAATATTCCCTCAAGTAAACCACACTTCCAGTGCAATCCTTGTAAAATACCAACAAATGTTTGTTGCAGAAATGGAAAAGCTGATACTAAAATTCAAATGGAATTGCAAATAGCCGAAACAATGTTGAAAAAGGTGAACAAAGTTAGAAGGCACACACATCCTGATTTTAAGTTTTAATACAAAGCAACAGGAATCAGACTGCATCTCTGGCATAAGATAGGCATATAAACCAGTGGAATAGGCTGAGAGTCCAGAAAGAAACCATAATCTATGGTCACATGATTCTCAAACAAATGGTTGAATTTAAACAAGTGGTCAAGACCACTGAATGTGGAAAACAGTGTTTTCAACAAATGGTGCTAGGAAAACGGGAAATCTGCATGCAAAAGAATGAATTTGGATCCTTGCCTTATACCATATACAAAAATAAACACAATGGAGCAAATCTAAATTTAAGAGCTAGAACTATAAAATTCTTAAAACAAAAGGATAAATATTATGATCTTGGATTTGCTAATTCTTAGGTATAACAGCCAAAGCACAAGCAAGAAACAATAGATAAGTTCATAAGACTTAATCTATCAAGACTTCATAAATCTGATAAACTTTTGTGCATCAAAGGACAGTATCAGGAGATGTAAAGACAACCTAGAATGGGAGAAAATATTTGCAAATCATATATCTGATATGAGACTAATATTCAGAATATATAAAAAATTCTTACAGCTTCAGATGGTCTTGCCTGTCAATTTGGCTAGGTTATCGTTCCTGATTATCAAATACGTCTACAATCAGTTGACTTGTGGGGATGATACCCTTTAAAATGTGGATGAGTCTCAGTCACTCAGCTGAAACCTCTAAGAGGAAAAATTGAAGTTTCCTACTGAAGAAGAAATCACGCCTGAGATTGCAGGATAAAATCCTCTTGAGTTTCTAGTCTGCTGGTCTATTCTGTAGGCTTCAAATTTGCCAGCCCCACAATAAGAATAATTTCTTGAAATAAGTCTCTTTATATGTGTCTCTCTCTGTGCGTGTACATATACATACACAGTACATACATATATATACACATATACATATAAATGCACACACACATATATGTCCATGTTTTATATGTTCTTTTTTTTTTGCAGAACCCTGACATACAAAACCAAAGATAGTTCTAGGGCAACAGAATCTTAAAGGCTGTTTTCTCAAATTGTTCTGGGGTTTCTGGAATTGGTTCTCTAACTGAATAAATTCAAAGGCACTCAACTCTCTTTCCCTTGTTAAAGAGGGCACTGATGGTCCATGGATATGCACAGATCATCAGTTTGGTGGCATTCCCCTGCTGGACCCCTACCCCCGCCCCCCATATCTCATCATCCAAAGCTCCAGCAGGGAAGGTTCACACTCTCCATGGCATAAGCAAAGCACACGACTATGGAAAAGAACACAGCCATCCCAGAAAGCTCTAGGGGCACAGGTTAGCTACCCCTTTAGGGTGCGTAGATGACAGCAGTAGGACTGAGTGTGTAAACTGGATATTGTCTGTGACTGTGGACCGCAGGTTAACATGGCCCCCAAAATCACCTGGGTCAGCAGGGGGACTGTGGGGGTCTTTCACTGAGCAGGAAATGACCCTGATCCTGATAAACCAGGTAAACCAGAGCTCACCTGTGATCCATCAGGTCCCAGCCAGGGAGGATTGGCTGTGGTGTCCCCGACAGAAAGGCTGAGGGCTTTCTAGGGAATTTGTGCCTCCAAAAGAATTGTACTGGTGGGTCTCCTTCTACACCCAGGGAGAGGGGCTGGCCCATCTCCCTCCTGCCCTTCTCCCACATACAAAAAACTGAATGCGAGAAGTCTCTATCTCACTTAAATTAGCGTCGGAAGTGAAAGAACCAAACCAAAACTTGAAGGCCGTAAAAGAAACAGGATTTTAGTATAGTAAGATTCAAATCTAGCATTTACTATTTACAATAGATTACCTCTCCCCCAGTAGGTAAATGGGTGCTGGGGACGAACTGTCAGGGAGATGGGGTGGGGTCATCCCCTCTTCTCCTGGCCTCGAGGGACCCCAGGAAAAGGCTCACAATATTCTCCTTCACCTCAGAGCTGAAGGAGCTGGCTCAGTGCACCCCAAGTGCCCCAGCTGTGTCCCCACTGCTGAGGAAGGGTTGCACTTGAGCTGGTCTCAGGAGTGTAATCTTCCACAGGTAGTGGGTGCTGTGTTGGGGGCCTGGTGGTGGGAGAGAGGAGAGGTGTTACCTCAGGGGGCCTGTCCCACCCTCCTCTCTGGGCCCCCACTGCACTCTGTGCTCTCAGCCTGTGCTGAGTGCTCAGCCCATCAAACAATAGCCTAGTTGTCCCTGCCGCTAGAGCCATCCTTTAGCATCACCCATTTCACAGAGAAGGAAACTAAGTCCCAACAAGCTGAGGTGAATCGTCCAGGCACAGGACTGGGCAATTGTAGAGCTGAGCTCTGACTCCCCAAGACCACACTTAGCCCTAGGATTCAGCCACTGCCAGCCTGGCCACTCTCTTACCCCTTGGCCTTGAATGTTTGCTGGCCGACTAGGACAGGTGGCAGGATAGGCTGTAGCTACAGGGTAGGGCGGCACCTGAGAGCCTACCAGGCACCACACCTCAGGTGTCCCTCCCAGTGCCTGCCCAGCGACTCAAGTCCAGGTGCACCAGAGGTCACCATGCACCAAGGTGTGGGGCTGACCAGGGAGCCACAGCTGTGCACAGGCTCTCAGAGCCGACCACCCGGAAGAGTTGGCCATGAGGGTGGAGTCTGTACCTGCCTTCACCCCACTCCTGCCTGGCCTCACCCCTCATTCTCACAGAGCTGCTCCACGTCCTGGAACCAGGCCCCAGATTGAAGTTGTAATGATTTGCAGCCGCCTGGAGCAGCAGGGGCTCTCTCAATATTTTGGGTTCCTGGGGCCAGAGGGAAGGACAGAACACAGACACTGGCCTTGGCAGGGTGAGGATTGAGGCTGGGGCTGGTCCTGGGTCTTTGCACACATGGAATCCCTCCATCTCTCCAATTCCATCCAGGTCCTACCTGTTCTCAGAGATGGGTGTAAAAAGCCCCTCCTCCAGGAAGTTGTCCTTGATGCCAGGCCCCTTCCCCCACCCACCAATTCAGCGGGTCTCCCACTTCTCTTATGAAACTCTCCCAATAAATGCAAAATGCAGGGGACAGAGCAGGGAGTATCTGGCCCAGAGGGTGTCTGATTTCCACTCACCTCCCCTCCCTGCTGTGAGTGTACCAGCTCTTCACCTTATTCCTTTTCTAGAGGAATATTCCTTTTCCGGAGGTTGATCTGATTCCTCTAGGAGGCAGACAGCCAAAGTCCCTCAGAAAGAGCCCCCTAGTCCGTAACTAGCCCTCCATCCTTACCCCTCCTCTTGTTGCACTGCCACCAGAGTCCTCCAGAGGGCAGGGCACACACAGAATACAGGGCTTGGACCTGGGCCAGGCTCTAGGCTCCCTAGTTGCCAGGGACAGGAGAGTTGAGCCTCAGGGACCTTTTAGCTCAATCGTCTCTGATGACAGATGGGCAGACTGAGGCCTCAGGCAAGAAGGGTCTTGGAGGAACCCGACATCTCTTTCTCTTCTATGGGCACCATCTGAGGGGGTGGCTGACTTGCTCCTGACCAAAACCTTCTAAGCTTTGCAGTCAAGCGGCTCTGCGACTTCACTAGCTGGGAAACCAGGATGGGTATCTTATGCAGAGCCTTCGTTGACCCATTCCTAAAATGGACATGGTGCCCGGCTCACAGGAGGGCTGAGGCTCTCAGGACAGGAGGTTTGCCAGGTGCTGAGAGCCTAGGACCCTTAGTGGCCCTCAGTTCCCACTCTCCTCACCTTCTGAGAACACCAGACTCCTCCTAATCACCTTCCTGGGTCTGCTTTTGGCAAATTACAGGGTATGTGGCTTTTTTCCACCCCCAAATCAAGCCCTTCCAGGCTCCTGGTCACTTCTAACAGAGGATTTGAGGCACTGTGGCAATAAGAGGCAGGGCTGGAGGAGAAAAGTCCCTCCTCTCTTGGTTTGGAGGCCTCCTGCTGAAAGGGGTGAGCCCCCTCCTCTCTGACCCTGGAGCCCCTCTGCCACAGGCACACTCGCCTTCTGCTGCTGCTGCCTTTTCTGGGCTCTAGGGGATCATCTCCAGGTCCCCCTCCTGCCAGGCTCAGGGACAGGGTCAGTGAGGTCATACTCCCCTCAGCCTATTTCCCCCCAGAACCCCTAACCTCTGACCCCAGACATCTGACCTGAGTCTGTTGGTACCAGTGCTACTCTGTCCTCCAGTGTGCTCTGATTCTAGAACAGTCCAGCTCCCATACCCACTGGTGTGCGGCTTGGGCCTGCAGCCTGGCCTCCCTGAGCCTGTTCCTTATCTGGAAAGTGTAGGGAGAACTTCATCTACCTCACAGGTCTCCTTAGGATGCAGTGTCATATAACTATCACTGCTCACTCCACCAGCACATTCCTTCCCTCCCTGGAAACTCATCCCCACCCTGTGAGGCCTGTACCACAGGATCGTTACCTTACTCTTTCCAGACGAGGAGACAGAGGCCCAAAGAGGGGCAGCGACTCGCTCAGAGGCCCACAGAGGAGAGGCCCCTCCCCTTCCAGCCACAGGCCCTGTGCCAGCTGCCTTTGCCTCACCCAGCCCCACCACTGACCAGAGTCCCGTGGGCTGGATTTGGTAGGGTCTGCAGACCTGGTGAGGGCCTTCTGAGCAGGAGAGCGGGTAGATCAGAGCTATATTTTTAGTAGGATTATGTGGCACTGTGGGTTGGATGAATGTAACTCAAAGAATCATACAAATTAGCCTTTTTATTATAATTCCATTCAAGCCTCAGAACCTGGATTCTGAGCCCTGCAACTTCTTTTAATCTGAGAAAGAGACGGTCTCTTTTAGAGATGCTTTCTCCTTCATATTTACAGCCAAGCACTACTCAATGCTACTTTTTGCAGAGGCTGGTTTTAACACGACAGAGAAGATAGGATGGTTTTTCTTGACCACAGTGGCTCAGAGCTTCATCTCCTTTCTCCTACTGGTTTTCAAAACATTCATTGTGCTGCTCTGGATGTTCCTACCAGCCCTGGGGTGTCCCCTGCACCAAGGGGAAACTGGCCTGGAGTTTCACTACTCCACTGGGGGCGGGGCGTAGGAGAAGGGGCGGCTCCCGTTGCTAAGGGAAACCCCGCCTCCTCCTCGGAAAGGAAGTGAGGGCGGGGCCAGCGGAGCTCCCGCCCCTCTGCGTTGCCCTGGGGACCAAGTGTGTGCTTTCGCAGTTGGGGCTGGAGGATCCCGGGCTGACTTGAGTGGTGCTTTCTGCAGGTAGGGGTGCGGCAGGGCCCTTGGGAGCAGGGCTTCCCACCACTTGGAAGGGCTTAGAGGGCTTGTCCTGAGACTGCCGCCACCCTTGCTCCTTCGTGGGCTTGGGGGGCTGGCGTGAGAGAAGCCTGCTGGGTTTCTCAGCATTCAGTGGGTGCCTAATTAGCGTAACCAAGAGCAGGTTGCTCGCTCGCTCCCTCCCTCCCTCCCTCCTTCCTTCTACTTCCCCCTACCCAGGTGTCCACTGTTGGGGGCGGAGGGGGTCCTTGAACCGTGTTCAGCGCCAGTTTGGGGGTTCAAGGACGAACTGAAATCCCAGCTGACACCTTGGGTAAGTTGACTTTTTCTAGAAGAGCTTGAAGAGTGAAGCACAAAAACAGTAACTTATTCTTCACCCCCTTGAAATCAATCTCAGATTTGCTCCTGGCCCAGCTGGGAGAGCGGGCCTCCACAGTGAGTGCCAGTTCAATTCTTGCCTGAGATTTCCTTTTTGCTTTTTTGCTCCCTCCCGCCTTCTTTTTTTCTTTTTTTTTTTTTAGAAGATGTCACTTTTCTCATAGAATTTTTTTGGGGGGTGAGGGGTAGGAGGTAATCAAGTTTGTTTATTTGTTTATTTGTGTTTTTAATGGAGGTACAGGTGATCCAACCCAGGACCTCATGCATGCTAAGCACACACTCTACCACTGAGCTATACCCTTCCCCTCACCTCCTGCCTTCTTTTAATGTAAAAACCCTGAGGCCTGAGAGGGGTCCTGATGCTTCCCTCCAGAGTAGAGGGGTCTTAGCCTGGGTGTGTCCTTCCCCAACCTGACTGCCTGGGAAGCCTTGTCCTTTGGGAGGACTTCTCCTTGGAGAGGAGTGGGGAGGTTTCTCAATATCCATCCGGGTCTAATAGAGACCAAACCCCAGACCTGATTCCTGGACAATGACTTCCCTGCAGCGGTGTCCAGCCAGAGGCCAAGATGTCCTCAGTGGGGAAGGTGACCCAGATTCCCTGTGGGAAAGTCTACCAGCAGATCTTTGAGGCAGAGGTAAGCCTGTCTTTCTGTTCCCCCTTTTCCTGCTCCTCTTTCTCTCTGCTCCCCAAACCTCCCTCTGATCTCCAGGAAACTTCCCTCTCTCTGAAGACTTCCTTGCCTAGGAATCTAATGAAATGCGAGCTTTGAAATTGCTTTGATTAAAAATAATTCTTATTGGTTCCCAAAGTGGAGGAATACAAAATTAGAATGTCTACTCTTGAAAATTAAAAAATTTAAATTAAATTTTTAAGTTAAATTTAAAATTTTAATTTAATTTAAATTACACTGAAATAGCTAGAATTAACCATTGAGTGTCCAGGATCTTTTTCCTATACATGAAAACATTTTAAATTTTTCTATTTAAAAATTGGGTTTGATTCTATAGTAGCGTTTTAAAACCTCCTTTTCCCCTGTTCACACTGTCTTGGAGGTCTTTCCCATGTCAGTGCACATTCGTGTGCTTCATGATGTTTAGTGGCTGCCTAGTTTTTGACCTAAGACTTCCCATAATATATTAAAGTAATGCCCTCTTGACAACCTTGTAGGTTACTGGCATTATTTCATCTTCTATAAGAAAACTGCACAGACAAAATGAAATCTTAAAAGAAACACAGAGACTCAAACCCTTCCTTTGAAGTTATGTACTGCTTATTTAAAAGGCATTTTTATTCCTACTTTGAGCCCTGAATAATGCTCTCTAGAAGGCTTGGAAATTGTAACAGTACAAATAGACCAAAGAATCAAATTACTCATGTGATCCTGCTCCCTGGAAGCAACCATTCTTAATACTTGGCACATTTTCCCCTGGTCATTTTGCTATGTATTTAAAATTTTGAGATCATAATGTATAATTTTGGTTATAATTTTAATTGATGCTCTTGAGTGATGTGTTTTATGGTATATCACATCATAAGCATTTCCTCATGTCATGAAAAACCCTTCATCTCATTTTTACTAAATTCCTAGCATTCCATTGAAGGGAACATACAATATTTACTCAGCCAATCTCCTATAATTGTACAATTCCATTTTTCCAATTCCTTGTGATTATAAAAAATACTGGGATGAACAGCATTTCATCTGTTCATGTTAACAAGGAACATCTTGGTCCTTGTTAAAGATTTCTTAAAAGATGCCCTCCTAGAAGTGACTGAATGACTGTTATGAGGAGTCCCTCTGCATGGGATGTGCCCTGGGGTTGAAGGCCTCCCTCAAAGTGCCTTCCTGCTGGCAGGCTCCCACTTGACCTTCTAAGACAGCACAGTCAGCCTGAGGGTGCTGGGGGTCTGTACTTCGATCCCCCTAACTGGGATCTTCCGTGGATTCAGGTGCGGCTGGTCTGTTCCCTGGCAGCCACCAGGAAACGGGCTGTGGAGCGGTCCATGACCCCAAAGGATGGCAGGAAGCCCTTGATGAAGAAAACGGATATTTATGAAGGAGAGATGATATCTCCTCGGCAGCGGAAATGGATGCACAGCCTACCCAATGATTGGGTCACCGAAAACCCTGTTCTCTACAGGTAGGACCTGCCATCCAGGCCACACCTCCACATGCTAGGGGTATATCAGAGTTTCCAAAAATCAAAAAGAGCTCACACAACATGAGTGCCAGGTAGGAATGAAGTCCCAGGAAACTGCCCTGAGAGAGAGAGGTCAGAACGCCTACTTTGCGGGATTGTTTGCTTCTCCCTCTCTTCCTCCCTCTTCCCTGAGAGGCACCGGATATGCTTATCTCAACCTCCTGGAACTTGAAGCCTCAATAGTAAATAAGTGAGCAGGTCTCTGCAAAGGTGGGGAGGCTCTGACACAGAGGACAAGGTGGCGAGACGGGAGTCAGGAAAGCTGTCTGAGGGGGAACTCGCTGAGACCAGAGGATAGAGGGGAAGCCTGGGGTGAGGCTCCGAGAGCAGCAGCTTGGCCCGCTCCTGAAGGCTGGGGAAGTCAGCAGGCCTGGGCAGAGGTGGGGACAGGAGACTAGGAGAGGCTTGCAGGCCACAGTCAGTATTTTGGACTTTACTGAAGTGAGCAGCTGACTTGCACTTTTAAGACCTTCAGGCTGTGGTGTGCGGAATGTGGGGAGCAGTAAGAAGAGGCAGGGAGGAGGCCACCGCAGTCCACGTAAGCTCAGTGGGACTGTGAGAGGGACAGCAGGGCTCTCCGGATTTATTTTGGAGGCAGAACTCACAAGCCCAGGGTACAGATTGGATGGGAAGCTTCCTGAGTCCTAGGTCTCTGGCGTAAGTGCTTGGGTGGACAGCGGAGGAGCCATTCCCTGAGATGGGAGCAAGGGGCATTGAGACAGGAGGATCAGGAGTTCTTTCTGAACTTCCAAGTTCAGAGGTTGAACTTGAGATTCCTGAGCATGCCATTTCAGCTCCCTGAGCTCAGACAACTCACGGAGAGAGAGAGGAAAGGAAAGCAGGGGTTGCATCTTCCTCACAGGGCACTTTGGAGAGTAAGGCAGGAACTGGGCTTCCCTTCAACTCTTCAAGCTCTGCATGAGCTGTCAATCCTTCGGGTCTGGGACTCCAGGACAGGAAGTCGGTCCTGCTCTATCTGCCTTTGTGATCCTTTAACCCCCGTTGGAGCAGGGATTGACCCAATGCTGGTGTTGATGAAAATAATCAATAAACAGTCTAAATAGCAACAGAAGAATTTTATTTGAGCCAAACTGAGGACTATAGCCCAGAAGACAGCCTCTCAGATAACTCTGAGGGACTGCTCCAGAGAAACATGGTTTTCAGCACAGTTTTATGTCTTGTCAGAGCAAAGAATATTAAACGAGTCAGGGATAAATTCTTCTAAGATTTCAAAAAAACCAGATCAGCACATAAACAGCAAGTCAGCATGGCCTTGGCACCTGGAGGGGGAATGAGAACACCATCGCTGCCCTGGCATTGTTCTGTGCTGGCTTCCTGGCATAGACAGACAAGGGCAGCTCAGCTCTGGACACACATCCAGAGCACAGCTCCCTGTGGCAGGAACAAGGATGTGTTTGTAACCTGCCGGGCCCTGCCACCCTCAGTATAACTGGGGTCACTAACTCAGCATTGGCACCTCTCTGAGGTGCCTTGTCCCCTTCTTAAAAATTCGGCCAGCGAAACCAGTCAACTTGTGGATTCATTTACAGAGGACAGGACCTCTGGGGTAGGGGTAGATCGCCACTAGTATAAACCAAGCCCCCAAGTCCCTGGAGCAAGTGGCCGAGAAGCCAGAGCTGTTAGCAGCTCCCATAGTCGGGGCATCCGGGCTCCTGTGGGGCCACCTTAGTCCAGGAGCATTTGGTTGTCAAGGCTGAGAGACCCAGCTCTGGAGGGTCAGCCTGGATCCCATCAGCTTCAGCCCAGGCCCTACAGTCTTCTTTGGTGGTAGGTCTGCAGTGAGGACTACGTAAGAAAATGTCTGGAAAGTGCTGCATATGTCGGGGCCCCAGGGAATGGCAGGCATCGCTGAGAACTTGCCCTGTGGACAATGCATTCAGGGATTTTTATTCCATGCTCACCCACTCTGGCCCACCCTATTGAGATAGTTTGTCCTGCTCTCTCCTTCCCGACCCAAACCCCACGGACCAGGGACCTTGGCATCACATGCTGGGTCTGGGAGTCCCAGCTCTGCTTTGTACAGTGACTTCCCTAACTCCTCCCCTGTCCTGGACAAGGGGTTACCCCAGCTGCCTCATAGGGTGGGTTGCTGAAGAAGCAAATGAGGAGCATGCTGGATGCTTAGCCCTGGTCTGGCTCTCCCAGGCTGGCCATGCCCCTTCTGGTCCTCAGTTTCCATGTGTGGAAAATGGCTCCTGCCCACCACGCACACTCGGTTTACAGCCAGAGTGGAAGGAAACTCCTCGAGAGCAGGCCCCAACTTCTCATCTGAAGGCTGTGGTGTCTGCTGGCAGCAGATACGATGCAGTGTGTGTTGGGGACACAGCCTTGGGACATTCTGGAATCGGAGGGGCCCAAGCTTTTGCCAATGCCCAGAGTCCCTCTGGAGAGTCCACCATGTGCAGAGATCCCTGGGGTGAGGGGCAGTGTGAGGGGGCTGGGGCGGTTATTGTTCTCCTCTGCTTGTGCCTCAGAGAAAAGGAAACAGCCAAGAAAGAAAAAGCACGAGAGAGTGAGAACACCATTGCTGCCCGAGAAGTGCGGGGCCTCACAGACACCATTGGTGAGCCTCCGTTCAGCCATGGGGGCAGGCCTGGCCTGGGCCAGAGAGACAGCTCTGTGGGCATCTCCTAGAGGCTCTAATGTAGACGCACCTGAAGGTCCCACTGTGCTCCTCTGCTCAGCCTCATGTGAACCTCTCCCCTGGGCCTTTGTCCCTGAACCTTTTCCCCTAACTCTTCTCTCCTCAGCCTTGTCCCCTGGGCCTTCTCCCAGCACAGGGAGCTGGGGGAGGAGGGCAGGGCTCCCTGCACAGTCGGCGTTTACTGATGAAGCCAGTTGGTAAGGGATGGAGCTCGCTTACTGTGATTTCACAGGAGGATTTTCCGATCTGCATCATCTCCCTGCATACCACGTCACCCTAGTTTGACTTTATCCCGATATGAAGGCTCATTTCTTTGTGATTGAAAAAGTAACAGATGCTCGCTCTAGAAAAACAAAGGAAGGAGATAAAGCAGAAAGTAAAAACCCTGCCTCCACAATAGCACCCCCGTCCCTGGTGGTCTAGTGGCTAGGATTCGGCACTTTCACAATAGCACCCCTTCTCCCCTCGACTGCCCAGTGCCCATGAAACCACAGAGTGCCCAGGTTCCCATGTATATTCAGGGGACAGCAGACCCTAGAGCAGGGGGCCCCCTGCAGACCCTGCTCAGCCTCCGACTGCCGTTGTTCTTTAACCCCCGTGCCTGCATGTCCTCGCGTGTATAATGGGGCCGATAATAGAACTTGCCTCTTGGCTTCATCCCGAGGAGTAGTTGACTTAGAACAATAGCAGGTAAATGGTAAGTGCTGACAAGTGTTGGTTAATCCCACCCATATATGTATTTTCTCCCACAAAACTTTTTTAAAAACACAATGGTCCTATTCTATACTTACCATTTGGAACTTCCTTCCACTTAGGACTTAACTCCCTGTAGCTCTTACAGACTGCCTTCTTTTTCCTTAAGTCTCTGACACTGCTGGCCTGCTCTGGGGTCTATCTGCTGAACCCAGACCCTTTCTACCTTGCTGCCCTTTCCCGGGTTCTCTGCCCTCTCGCTGGTGCTCCGAGGGCAGCCTCAGCCCCTCTGTTGTTCTCCCTCAGTTCCCGAGAGGATCAGCACCGTCACCCTTCAAGGGCGAGAAGACTACAAGAGAAAGGGCTATGAAAGTGCGCTGGGGAGCTTTAAGGAGGAGATCGCTCAGATTGGGATGGTAAGAATTACCCCTCTCACTCCCTTTGTTCCTGGGCTCTTCCGAGGAAAAGGTGGCCTTGGCCCTGCACCCACCACCCCTCCCCCGGGTCCTCAGTGGCTCACCCCCGTGTGGACAGAGTCCCAGTAGCCGTGGTCAAATGGCTCACTGCAGGTGCTGATTATGAGCTCAGCCCTATATGTCAGGTGCTGTTATAACCCCACTTCACTGGTGAGGCCCAGAAAGTGCTGCCTGATTTGGCATCTAAGGGCCAAGTGGGAACTGGACACTGGCTCTGATGCTACAGCCCAGTCTTTGATCTCCCTGCTCAATCCTACTAACAGGGGGCCAAACAGCCTGGCCCTTAGGCACTGCCCTCACTTGGCTCCCTGTTCCTCTCCAGAGATCCTATCTTTAAACACGCTGTCCCTGAAACATTCCCTTTTGCCCTTTTGGGTCCTCTCTGAGCCATGGATTGCAGTCACCACTTTCTCCCTGAGTTCCCTGGATTCCTGGAGCTGGCTGTAGACCCAAAGAACCAAGAAGACTCTCTCCCAGCCAGCTCATCACTTTCCTAATGCGTCCCAACTGGACGTGAGCTCCGCTCTCACCATGAGTCTGAGGCTTTGGTCACACAACCTAACTGAGCCTCAGCTCCCTTGTCTGAAGTGTTCTTGGAATTATTTCATTGGCTACTTCTTTAATGAGTATTTGTTGAGCTCCACCCATGGGCCAGGCATGATGTCAGCACCTACTTTGCAGGTGGTGATGAGGACCAAGTGAGCCTGAGGACATGGGCTCGCGCATGCCATGTGCCCCAAAGGGTGCTGCCCTAGGCTCTATGAACAGTTAGTAAATCCTAGCTCCTTAGGTCTAGGTAAGAGTTATTATTTTTGAGATGGGACCACAGTTGGCACTTCCCCATCATAGGATTGGTGGGGGGCATCATTCCTGTCCCAGAGGTGCTGATACCATAGTTCTTGCCCTCCTGGCTTGTTTTAGGAAATGGAACCTCTCATTTTGGAGCCAGGAGTGCTTTTTTTAAAGAAGCTGGCTGACTCTGATGAAGACATCAACTGTCTCTTCAAAAAGGTGGAAAACGACAGCAACCTTGAAGACTACACCATCCAGGTAGGGGTCCCCTCATGGGGGAGCCCACCCTGCCGGCATCCCGCTCCTGCCCTCCCTGCCACCCGTCCTCCCAGCCCGACCCGACCCAAACTTCTCTGCACAGACCCTGTTGGAGCTGTGGAATCAGGTGGCCGAGAAGTTCCGGCTCCAGAAGCAGGAGATTAAGGAGCTGGACGAGACGCTGCACTCTCTTGAGTTCTCCCGGGCAGATAAAGTGAGTTGGCCTGCAGGTGGGCTCTTGGTGATTTTCACTTGTGGAGTTTCTGAGGCATCACCTGTTTCCCTTTAGTTCTCCAGGAGAGTGTCACTCACTATGGGGCCTTGTCGTTTCTAGCTAAAAAGCGTGTTGAAGAAATATGTGGAAATCATAGAGAAAACTTCCTACCTCATGCAGCCCGACGTGTACAGGCTGATAAATAAAGAAGCCATGGTGAGTGGTTTTCATGTGCAGGGGACCAGCCCATGGGAGCCTTAGAGCCTGGGGTCTCAGGAACGATGGGCTTCTCCTATATACCATCTCCAAGTAACTCCAGGTTCAGGACCAGAGTCTTTGTTGAGTATTTTCAGTGGAAATCTCTCTAGTACACTTCATACTTCCCTGCCGTGTTCATCCCGGGATACCTAATCTAGTCATCGGTCTGAGCACTGCTGCTTTTATGAGCACCTACTGGGCCACGTCTCAGCTGCCACGTGCAGTGTGATATGTATTGCATGACAATACACGACAGAGGCCTCGTCTCACAGCTGTCACGTCTCAGAGAGGTGTGTGCACTCATAAGTGACCTCAGCATGCTCTGCATGTCTAGTTTTTCGTGGTTCTTGTCTCTCCTCCTGCTGTTGCTCAGTGCCTATTGCTGAACCATGCCAGCCCCCTGGCGGTGTCCCCACTGTTTCCCTGTCCACACCCCCAGCATCTCCCAGATGCTTTCTGTGGGATAGAAAACAAGAAGTTCAAGGTTGTTCATGAAAGGACACTTTTGGCTACTCAGAGTTGCTTTTTCTTGCATGGGTTTCCAGGTCCCATACAGAAAGCTAGGCTCTCCAGAGAACGGGTTTCCTTGCAGCATGCAGGGAAGGAGTACAGTGTTCAGAATCACAGGTGGGCTCTGGCCCAGGCCTGTGCCTTGGGGTCCTGGACAAAGCACAGACGGGATGAGCACAGACCTCCCTCTCCACTGCCCAGACATGCAGTTCCCGAAATCACTCAGCCCCTGCACGTGGAACTCCCTGTCCAAATTATGGAGATAATGATACTTAAATGCCAGTAGTTGTTGGGAGGATGACTTAAGAGGGCTCAGCAGTGGCTGCTTTCATTTTGAGACAAGCAAGAGTTTCTGACTTTTATCCATTTAATCCACTGGGGGAGTCAGAGTTAGCAGTGTCCAGTTATGTTCTGATGTTTGACTTTCCTGTGCTTATTGTACACAGAGCGACTGGCACTTGCTGTTTGCTGTATGTGCATTTATCTCTTTTAACTTCATAAATTCCCTGTGCTGTAAATAGCATTATCTCTGCACCATGGCTGGGGAATTGGAGGTTCAGGAAATACTTGCCAGTGCCCTCCAGCTAGGAAGAACAGCGGGCATCAAACCTCAGGTTCCAGTAGAAATTGTTACTGGAATTTCTACCCGCTGAGCTTGGCGGTTCTCACCCCTGCCCCCAGGCGTTGCCTAAACAGCTTAGGAATTGTGGGGAGGCATTATTGGCTGTTCCAGTCCATGGGGGCATGGGAGAGGCTGCTCTCATTTAAGGGAGGAGGGGAGGGAAGCTATGCGGCAGAACAGTACCACACAGTGAAGCATTGTCCCCACTGCCATGCCGAAAGCGCCCTGGTGAGGACCACTGGGAGGGCTGCCAAAGGATGTTCTAGCTCTGGCCTCATTTGATAACTGGGTCTCTGTTCTCATCACAGCCATATGTGGCTGGTCCCTGGTAGCACGAGCACTCTGCTTTCCAAACAAATTTATTAAAAATAAACAAACAGTTACACTGAGAACCCACTGAAGTGGTTAACTCCAGTGAACTTAAAATCACCTTTTTAAAAACAATCTGAGGTGGCCTTGTAGCTGGGTTGAAATTCACAGGTCAGGGTTCATGGTTAAGTTCTCAGGAGGGACCCCTGTCACTGTCCATAGCCGCTGAGCCCCAGGCAGCTTCCTCGCTTGCCCAGTACGGTCCCCGTCAGACACTGCCGCTGCCCTGCAGTCAGCCTGCAGCCCACTGGGCCCCTCTCAAGCACCCACTGGCCCTCTCCAGCCAAGCCTTGTTCTGACCTCAGAGAGTCCCTGCTGCATCTACAGACTGCCCACCTGTGTCTGCAGGTCATAAACCACGCCCTGCTGGGCAACCGGAGGGCCCTCGCCCAGCTGTTTGTCAACCTGATGGAGGCTGCGCTGCAGCAGGAGCTCGACAGCCACCGGCGCTGGCAGAGCCTGGTCGATTCCTGGAAGGCCCTAAAGAAGGAGGACCTGGTCCGGGGTTTCAGGTCGGTGGCTGCCCACACCGCCCGTGGCTCTTTCCCCAGCCCTCCCGGACAGACGGCGGCATGGGCAAGGGGGCACATTCTGCATCTTCCCCATCTTTTGTTGTTACTTTGAAGTGTTGTTTTTCTGGCAGTAAATATAATAAGTGCTCTTGTTTTTTTCTTAAGTTAAAATAGATAAAAGTATAAGGAAGAAATTAAAAGCCATCACTAATGCCTCACCACAGTGAGAAACACAGCCCGTATCTTGGTATATTTTCTCCCGGCTTTTTTAGACCCATACCATGTGTGTAGATTTGTACCTCGTTTTCTTCTTGCACATTTTCTCATAAGCATTTTCTGAGTACAGTGCAAATTGAAAACATTAGTCTGATTATCTGTCCAGTGACCATTCTTTACTACTCCACACAACCCAGTGTTGCTGGACAGAGGCCAATGGCCACCCCTCAGTTTGGGACGCTTCCCGCCCTGTGGTAGCAGGCTTCCCCCATGGGAAGGAGGGTGAAAAGAGGACTCATCACCAAGCTTCCCCCACCAGGTGACACTTTTGTTAATATTGACAAAGGGGTCCTGGAGCTTTTAGCCAACAAGGAAGGCTCGCTTTTGCCTGGGACCACGATGTGTGAGGACACCAAAGAGCATCTGTCTATCTGTGCTATAGGCCTAGGGGTGGGAGGCCCATTTATAAACCTGCATTTCCAGATGGAGAGCCCTAGAGTCTGATGCTGTAGATGAAGGAAAAATGTACCAAGGTCTGGCTCCACTTGACTTTCCCTGTGACCTTGATCAACGGCTTGAGCATTCGGAGTCTTTTTCTGCAGGCCCCATGATGGCCTGGTGCTAGGGTTTTGGTGATGATCAACAAGATGCTGTATTGACAGTGTCTGGCTTGGGCCTGGGCCTGGGCCTGGAAGGGTGTTATAGATGTCAGTAATCACCGACAGTGATGGCAGAAGCTGACATCCACTGGGCATTTCCCAGCGGCCAGGCATGGTGCTAAGGGCTTTGCTTGAGTTATCTGGCTGGGTCCTCACAAGTACCAGATAAGGAAGGTGCTGTCATTAGCTCCGTGACAGAAGAGGAAACTGAGATTCAGAGAGAGGGAGTGAGTTGCCCAAGGTCACAGAGCTGGAGGTGGCAGTCAGGACCCTTACTCTGTCTGTGCCTGCTTGTCCCATGCTCTTAGTGCCAGAGCTTCACTGGCAGTCTCTCCATCCTTCTCTCTCCCATTCCCCCTCCCCCACCTCTCCTCCATCCTTTCCTCAGTGTCCCAGAGGCCCAGATGGGGAGGAAGGGGCTTGGAGTGGTGTCAAGGTGCTGGGGTTTGAATGTTCTTGCTATGGGTCTCATCCCTTCTCTCCTACCCACCCACTTTGCCCCTCCTCTCTCCATGGTGCTCATGTATCTGGACATCCAGTGAGTTCATGGCCAGTGAGAGGATCCAGGCTCCTCCAGCTGTGAAGAAGGAACTGGAGAGCATGCTAAAGAACCAGAGCACCCTGCAGCAGAAGCGGCTGGAACATCTCTGCACCATCTGGTACAACGGGCAGGGTTGCTGGGGAGGGGTGCTTCGGGGGTCCATGAGGGAGGCAGGTGCGGTCATCAGCGTTGACCTTTCCCCTGAGGTGTCCTCCAGACCAGGCCATCTCCCAGTTCTCTGGTTTTGGGCTGGTCACTTGGGCCCACTTTCTGGGGTGTTCTAGCCCCAGCGGCAACAGGGAACATGACACATTTGCTGCAGAAAGAAGTTTAGTGCAACTGTGCTGAAAAGCTTGGAAGCAGGCAGTGACAAGGGGTAAGGTCATAGGAGAGTCGGGGAGGGAATAGCCAGGCCAGGGCAGTAGGGAGCAGAGTGGCTCCATCAGCTCTGCAGTTTGGAGGGTGGATGCAAGGGTGTGAGGCTGGAGGCCTGGAGCATGGTGAGGGGGCTGCTGCCATCGGACAGGGAACCTGTTAGAGGGTGACGATGCTTCCCTCAGACCTGGGTCCACCAGCTCTGACCCCACGATGAGCTGTTTGGCGGGGGTGCACTGAGTGTACTAGACCCTGGAAGCCCACTGCCTGGGGAGCCTGTCGCATTCACCCTCAGCAGCAGGAGGGAGCCTTCGTGGTCCTGCAAGGCAGAGATATTTCACGTGCTGGGACCTGTGTACCTTGTCAGTCCCTTTCACCCTGACCACCCTAGGACACAGGTTCTTCACGTTTCCCACCACAGAGCCCACGTTCTCCTAGGATGTAAATGACTGTTAGGACCCCACACGACTTGAGCCAGAGAGTCTCCCCCGGGATGGGCATCTCCTGCCCCACGCACAGCCACATTTTCATGCAGGTTTGAAGTTAGCAAGGTGGATAAAAATCTCAGCACAAGGAAAAATGCTTTTGTTGTTTTCTGTGCCTCCACTTACTTCTGACTTTGAGTCCCTGTTCATTAAACTGGACAAAATTTAGTCTTTTCTTGGGGGTCCTGGCAAGTAAGGATGGACATCCCACCCAAAGCCAAGTCTGGTTGTCAGTGTTTGGTCCACACACATGCCACTGGGCAACTGCTGCTGCCTCCTGACAGCTGGACGCAGGAGTCTGGAGGGGCTGCTCAGAGCCCCTGTGTCCTTACACCCAGGCAGCCATTCCTGTCTAGGGAGCTGGATCTTGCACCTGCTCCCACGGTGCCACCAGGAAGTAGGACCCAGGCTGGCACTGTCCATCCTGCTCTGTCTGCACCTCCCCCCGGTGGCCTTCTATTGGGTGAGGAGATAGTCGTGGTCCCCAGAATCCCCCTCCTCCCCAGGGATCTCAGCCCACTCCCACAAATGCCTTCTCCTCATCAACACTCTCGGCTCTCCTGAGAACTTAGACTTTTGCAAACAAAATGCAGAAAGATTTCTAGGCTGATGTCTTTTCTGCCCCACCACATCCCTCGCATAGGTGGTGAACATGGGGCTGGCTACTGTTTGAGTGGAGAGGAGAGACAGGGCCAAAGACATGGAGAAAAATGCATTCATTGATTCTTCTGGCCACAGCTAGGACACACTATGCAATGGTGGTGTTTGCAGGCCGAGCACAGAGCTGGGTGGGGGACATGGTCTGGCCTGGAGGAAGGTGGGGGCATCTCTAAGAGATCACGGGCAAGAGTACATTTACAGGACTCAGTAGTGGGGCTGTATAAAAAGGTGAAATCAGGACACAATTCCAGTGTCTGGAAACATTGCAAACACAATGCTTAAGCGCACAACTTACAGGTAAATTTGCAAAGCCTTGATCACAAAATTCCAGTGAGCGTCAAGAGGGAAGGTTTGGGTTTGTGGTGTTTGTGCAAGGAAGTCTTGACGCTCCCACAGAGCACACCACGTAGACACCACCTAGTTCTTCTTCACCTGTCAGCAGCTAGGGAGCCTTCCAGTCACGTCTGAGGAGCTGTTCCAGGGAACTGCGTCATACGGGATCACAGGCAGCCCCACACCCTGTCCAGACCCACAGCTTCAGGCCTTCCCCTGGAAACCGCAGAAACCCAGTGAGGATCCTTGTTTCCGCTCATGCCAGGCCCTCTACAGGCTTGTGGGCAGTGATGGCAGAGGGGTGGAGGGTCTTGCTAAGACTCTCAGTGCCCGAAGAGCAAGTTATCCAAAGTCCTAGGAGAATCCTCATGGATTTTCCTGGACTCAATAAGCATATGTGCATGTAATTTAAAAATTATTTAAAAAATAAATTTTGTATTTTGGAGTAATGTTGGATTTACAGAAAAGTCACAGAGATTGCACGCAGAATTCCTGTGTGCTGCTAATCCAGTTTCCCTCCTGCTGTCCTTGTACATGGCCACTGGACACTTGTCAAAAGTAAGAAATTAAGTTTGGTCCATTGTCATTAACTAAATACCAGACTTTTTTGGATTTTATGAGTTTTTCCAGTGACGTCCTTTCTCTATTCCAGAACCCAACCTAGAATACCATATTGCATTTAGTACAATGTTTGGACTTGAGATTGTGCCCTGCACACTCCTGTATCTACCTTTTGCTCTCTACTGGCCCACTGTAAGTGGGGTGCCCAAGACCACCATCCTGGGTTACACATCTTGTCCTAGATAATCGTAAGTAGCATCCCCCCTCACTGTCAGAAATATCCTGGTTTGGACAATAAATAATATGCCATATGCATCTCTCCATGCCATTAAACATCACCTAAAACTTACTTAGTGGCTTAAAGCGACAATCATTTTTTGCTTCTCATGATTCTGTGGGCCAGCGGCTGGGGCTGGATGGTCTTGGATGGCTTCACTCCTGTGTCTGGAGCCCAGGCTGGGTTAGCTAAGGCCTCTCTCCAGTTGCTCTCCAGCCTACTCCAGGTTAATCCAGGCATAGGGGTGGTGGTGGTGGTAGCAGAACTCCTTACGACAAGAGAGGGCAAACAGAATGCACAAGCCCTTTCCAAGCCTCTTCTGTCATGTTTGCTGGTATCCCACTGGCCAAAGCAAATCACATGGCCAAGTCCAGATCCAGGGATGGAGAAGTAGACTCTACCTCCTGGTGGGAGGGGCTAACAATACTGATCACTTTTCAATCTGTCATACTCTTTTTAATGACTACGGAAGAGAATTCATGTACTTTATTTAGACAATTCCCAATTTATGAAGGTTGCTTATGATTTTGGGGGTGTTTATTAACAGGACTGTTAAGCAACTGCCTTAATGCATAAACTTTGTATGCATCTTATGTTCTTAGTTCTGATTAGGTTCCTTGAAGTGACTTCCTTGGTCAAGTGATATGAACCATTTGGATTTCTTTTGCAGTCGGAATATTTGGTTTTGCTTCCTAAGTAACGGGCACATTAATATTAGTAGACCTTTTCATGATGTATGTTTCTGGCACCCAGAGATCCCCACAAGTCACTTGTTTCTTCACTATTTACACAGATGCTACCCTGGACCTATGTTCCTTGAAGATGCTACCAATTTTGGCAAGTGACTGTTTTACTCAAGCATGGCTCACTTGTCCTATCTTCCTTCCCCAGTGACCTCCTGCCCCCCAATTACAGCAAAGCTCAGCTAATGGAATGGCGTTCTTCTCTCAACTCCCTGAATAAGCACCTCGGTAAGTGAGGTTGTGGGATCCCACTCAGTTCTCTCGGAAACTCTGTTCAGGTAGTAGCTTCATAGCAGCTTCAGTCTGTCGGCCAGTCATTTATATGACAGTCTGTTACAAATTCAGGAGGGAGTGGCGCATCCCTCCTGGGGAAGGAGGGATGGGGTGTGGAGGGAAGAGTAAACTCTGAGGGTTCATACTGGGCCCTAAGACCTTGCCTGGCAGAGCCCCCTCCTCCCTCCCACCACCTCCTGAGTCACTGCCCAGCCTGCAGCAATGCCAGCCCTGCACTCTGACCCCTGACCACAGCATAGAGCCAGAGGGATGGCTCCAAGGACACCTGCGAGGGCAGCGGGAGGGCCAGATCTTGGGCATGTGAGGTTAAGCACTTGGTCTTGCAGGCAGAGAGATGTGGGTTTGGTGCCCAGCTTTGCACTGTCCCCTCTCTGTGACTCGGGGGGATTCATGTCTTCTCTTGAACTCAAATTCCTCCTCCATAAAATAGGGATCTCAAGAGCAGAAATAAAGGTGCCTACTTTGTGGGGCTGATGTAAGAATCACGTGCTATCCTGCCGTCCAGTCATAGTTTAGTGTCTGGCTTACTCAGTGCTCAAGAATAAATGGTATGTTTAGAAATTCTCTATAACCAGGATTTTCAAACTCCAGCCCATGGGCCATTGACAGTAAATAAATTTCATTGGAACACAGCTCTACTCATTTGTTTTCATACTGTCTCTGGCTGCTTCTGCTTTGCAATAGTGGAAATGAGTGGTTGCAACAGAGACCACAGAGCCCTCAAAGATGGAAATATTACTGTCTAGCCTGTTATAGAAAAAGTTCGCCAAGTCTTGCTCTGGAAGATATATAATATTTCCATCTCCTTTAAGGGTCACAGCAACCCAGTGAGGTCAGTGGTGTCATTGTTGCCCTATGATAGAGGAGGTCTCAGAGGCACAGAGAGGTGAAGTACCCTGCCCAAGGTCACACAGCTAATGAAGTGTCACAGCTGGATTTGACCTGGGTACTTTGGTTAGTAGTACTCACCATTGCTCCCAGGGCTCTCAGGTTTATAATTCCAAAGGTATTATATTATAATACCAAGGGTAAGAACCCTGAGACTCCAAATAATACCCATGGTTACTGTTCACTGGGCACCTCCTAGGAACAAGCATGGTGCTGGGCCCTGGTAACCAGCAGGGCAGGTCTCCCCTTGGGTGCTTCCAGCCCAGAGCTGAAGTCAGACCATGCAGGATGTCACAGCAGAGTGGACAAGTGACCAGCTATGTGAATATGTATTTGGGAACTCAGCCTGGTTAAAGACCTTGCCAGGGAAGTGATTACCCAGTTGGGACCTGTAAGGCAAGTCTGAGTTAGCCAAGCCCAGGGCTCAAGGGAGCATTCCAAGCAGGAAGACCAGTATGTGGGGAGGCTGAAAGACCAGACCGAGCTGGGGCCTTCGGGAAAGGAGGTGGCAGGGGAGGCTGGAGGATGCCAAAGGGCCAGACTATGTTGGCCACATGGCCGTGTGTAAGAGGCTGAACTTTATCCTGAAGGCAGTGGGAACCCCGTGGAAGGTTCTGAGGTGGGAGTGATAAGGTTAGAGTGGGGAGCAGGTCACAGGGGTTCAGGAGCAGAAGCACAGAGACCCCTGGGGGCTTCATCACAGTGGCTTCACAGGAAGGGTAGGTTATACTAGCCTAGGAAGTGGTCCTGGGGATGGGAGAAACCAGCTTTAGAGCTTCTGCTCCCCAGCTCCCCTGCACATCTGCCCTCCCCAGTATTCTGACTGCCACCCAATCTGCCCTCCCCAGCCCTTGTCGAGGAACAATCACCACACAGTCTTTGTGTTATCTGCTGGGAACATTAAACTTCATTTGCTTATTTAGACACCAAGAGTCACACTGAGGTGACTAAAAATGAGAAACAGTGGGGAGGAGGAGAAAATCAGTCAGTCAGTCAGTCAATCAATCAATCAGCTTCTGACCGTTCTGCTAGTCCATTCCCTTCTTAAGGAATTCACCACAGACATGATCTGTAAACTCTCATTAATTTGCAACCCGGTTACTGTTTTATGACTTGGTACAACTCCCCAAAAAGAGTTTCACCAGCCTTGAAACTGAGTCAAGAGCAGAAGAGGGTGGCTCCTTATTTGAGGTCCGTATCTTGGGTAGGTATTGAGAACTTTGTGAGGAGGAAGATACCAGCCCCTGGTCTAAGTTATCTCCACCATCGAGGCACTTGGCTGGGGAGAAGTCACTTCCCTTAACGATGGGAAATTCCTCTCCTAACCTCCCCCCTACTTCCTACTGGAAGAGATGCTGACGTGTTTTTTTCCACCCGTGGAGATGCCTACCACGTAGACTGCATGATGCAGATCCGCTTGCAGTACGAGAAGACCTGGCAGGAGTGCCTGGCCCAAGTGCAGAAGTGTAAGGTGGGTGCCCTTCCCAGCCCATCTGAGGAGAGGAGCAAAGGACACAGGGCCTGATGTCCCCCGCACACCCCTGCCCCTCTCCAGCCTGCATCTCCTGCTTTCCTTCCTCACTGGCCTCTGGGCATTCTGAAGCTGCTCCTGCAGCCTGGACCCCCTCCTCCCCAGCTTTTCCCACCCACCCCTCAGTAGCCCCAACATGACCTCCTCCAGGAAGCCTTCCCTGACTCCACAGATAAAGTTTACACTGTCAGATCACCTCAGCCTTCACTCTTGACCCTCTATCACTTTTGGCACTTGACATTATTATTATTGTTTTTTAAAGTGACGTATAGTTGATTTACAGTGTTATGGTAGTTTCTGGTGTATAGCCTAGTGATTTGGTTTCATATATGTATTATATATATTATATAAAATATATATATATAATATACATATATATATATATTCTTTTTCATTATAGGCCATTACAAGATATTGAATCTAGTTCCCTGTGCTATACAGCGGGACCTTGTTGTTTGTCTATTTTATATATAGTATTTAGTATCTGTTAATCCCAAACTCGTAATTTATCCCTCTCCTCTCACTTCCCCACTGGTAACCATAAGTTTGTTTTCTATGTCTGTGAGTCTGTTTCTGTTTGGTAAATGAGTTCATTTGTGACAGTTGACATTATTTATTCGGTGGAGGTCATATCATGGGAGTTATCTCCATGCTTGCCTTTTATAAATAGTGTTGCCTCTGCCATCAGCCCCAACTTTACCCTCCACCTGCCTGCCTGTTAGAGGGTGAGACAGTGAGTTCACTCACAGACCCCTTCAATTACAGTGCCTGGTTTTCTGAGGCACAAGGACATACTTTGTCAAAATGCCCCCTCCCTGCCTCCTTGGTGAAACTGTTTAGATGAAAAACCCAGAAGAGGCTAATCATTTTGAAGATGGTCTAACCTGCCAGCTGTGGCAGTAGGAGTCCCCAAGCCATGAGGGTCCACCTGCTGCCCCCAAGAAGCTCCTGCTGCTCTACCCCTCATGTGTCAGTCTGTTGAGCTTTTGCTCTGCCTCCAGGACTCTGAGATGAGCAGTGTTCATGGGGAACAGAGCACTTTCCAGTACAATACATGGTGCAGGTACTGCGCTCCTGGGGGCTGTGCCACCCTCCTCCACCCACTTTCATTGAATCCTACAAGGTCCTGCAGAGTGAGTGTCGCTGGCTCCATCTGGAGATGAGAAGACCAAGTTTGCAGAACTCTGGGGGCCGCCGGAGCCCACAGGACTCTGCCCATTTGCTCCATGGCCTTAGGGCCAGTCACAGGCCTCTCACTTAGCCCTTTAGAGGGTGTCAGACCTTGGGAGTGAAGCCCGGAGGGTGAGCTGGGAGGGGAGCCTTGTGCCCTGGAGAGCCTTCCCAAGACCACACCCCTGGCACTCACCCCCTCCTCATTCACCCCTCCCCTTTGGCCCTGAGTGCTGACACCTGTGCCCATGCTCACTGCACTTTTTGGGTGCAAGCAAGGGATGAGTGCTGAAGTCATCACGTACCCCAAGAGCACTTTGAGCTTGACAGAGGGCACCTGGTTTCCTGTTCAGCAGCATTGGAAGTATACAACTGGAGAGAAATTCTTAATTTGGGGGAGGTTAATTTATATTAGATTCTGTGCAAAAGTCAAGGCTTTATTAATAGAGAGAGCTCACTTTTCATTTGTCATAGTTTCCAACAGGAGATGGGAGCCCTGTCTGGTTTGGAGCAACGCTGAGGCTATCTAGGGTGGTGGTTTATGCCTGTAGGGTCTGCAGTAGGACAGTTCTGAGTTCAGATCTGGGCTCACCACTTGTCAGATGTGTGGGCTCCAACGAGTTCCTTCACTTCTCTGAGCCTTAGTTTCCTTGCCTGCCAAACAAGGCTACTGAGAACACCTCTGGGGGAGTCAGTGAACAGGGGCAGCACCCAGCACCTGCACATAGTGGATGGAAAGCTGGACCATCTTCACTGCTGTGGGAGTTTCCTCCGGGGTTCTCAGGGATGGGTGGGAGGCAGTCTCAGGGGACAGGACCAGCCCTGAGCCAGGCTCTGCCTTGTCCCTCTCTAGCAGCAGCTGCTGGACTGGAAAGCCTTCACTGAGGAGGAGGCCGAGGGCCTGGTGAGCCTGTCCTTCTTCCAGATGGTGGGAAGTCTCCAGAGCAAGGTGGAGGAGGAGCTGGAGGTCTTGGACGTGCGTAGCTGGAGAGCAGGATTTGGGTGGGAGGGTTGCCCGGGGTGCTGGGCTGTGGGAGGAGTGGGAGTCCTTAGGCTTACAACTTCCCTGTCACTCGTGAGTCCATCCCCGGTCACGGCCGGCCCCTCTGGAACAGCACTCAGGCTCAGCCTGGCTCCCCAGCCACCCCGCTGTTGCCACCAGGACTCCAAGCGAACAGTCCCGGGCAGTGAGGACTTCCCGAGCCCTTGCTGAGTTTGGGTGCTGAAGGTCACGAGGAACAATAAGCCCCCATCCCAAGATACTTAGAGTCTCAAGCAGAGGGTCAGCAGACATTTTCTGTCAAGGGCCAGATAGTCAATATTTTAGGCTCTGTGTATTGTCAGGTTTCCGGCACAAATTCTTGCTCTGCTGTTGTCACACAAAAGCAGTCCTAGGCAATGCAGAAACGAATGGGGATGGCTGCATTTCAAGAAAACTTTGTTGACACTGAAATTTGAATTTCATATAATTTTTACATCATTACATATTTTATTTTGATTTTTTTCAGCCATTAAAAAAATGTAAAATCTGTGCTTAGCTCCCAAGGTTAAATAAAAAAGGCACAAGGCTACAATTAGCACAAAAGCCATAGTTTGCCAACCCCAGACCCCATGAGAGCATAAAACCCATATGAAAGGGGGAGAGGTGAGGATTTAACAGCAGGGTGTGGCGTGTGGCTCAGATGCTGAGTCAGGGAATTCCAGAGAAGGAAACGTACCCCAGGCCAAGGTGGGTGTGGCCCACCTGAGGGACCAGGCTCACGTCTGGGGTGGCTCCTTCTTCCTTCTTGGCCCCAAACTCTTCTTCCTGTCAGCGACTTCAGTGGACAGGGAACGGGTGTAGAAATGGGACTTCAGGTCAGTCAAAACAAGCGCATGGCCTTGGACAAAACAGAAATGCTGTCCTGGGGTGGGGTGGGGCATGAGCCAAGATGTGGCCCAGAAGACAACCTTGTGGGTAGTGCCCACGCAGTGATGGCCAGTCCCATGAGACTCAGGGCCTCCACAGGTCAGCGAGGGAGCCCCGCCAGCGGGCCCCTCCTGCTCACCCTGGGCTGGTGGGCACTTACGGCCCCTTCTCTGCGTTCTGCCACTGCAGAAATCCTTTGAGGCCGTGGCAAAGAAGGCAGAGTGGCAGAGCTCAAATCTCTTCAGCTACTTCCAGGAGGCTGTGCAGCTGTGGGAGGCACATCAGGGCATGCTGTTGATGCAGGAGCTGGAGCTCGAGAAGCGGATGGATCAGCAGAGGCGGAAGCACAGCCAGGAGAACCAGGTGGGACCCCCGCATCCAGGGCAGCCCCCACAGGGGATGAGTGAAGGGCCACACTCAGCTTGTCAGCGCCCAGTGGCGCTGCTCAGTGGCCTGTGAACTCAGCCAGCACTCAAATGTAAGAACAAAAGGACTTCAATCCCTACTTCCCACCATATTATACATACTATATTTTAACTTTTATATAAAAATTAACCCCAAGCATATCTTTGACTCAAGTGTAAAACCTCAAGCTATAAAACTTGAGCAGATGGGAGACTGAGGCTCACCTTGGTCATGGGACTGGATGGGAGGAGGGGAATTCTGCCTGAGTCAGGTCCAGGCCGTGCAATGGGTCCCAGATCCAGATGTGTCTGTGAGACAGACAGACTTGGAGGCATGGAGCATCTACCTCTGGCAGTCCTCCTGTCCCCACGGGACATGAGCTGGTCCCCACCTACCTGCCTTCACACCGTCTGGGGTGGAGGGGTACTCAGCATCTGACATCAAGTACAACAGATGAGGAGAGTGAGGACTAGGAGCCTCCGGAAGGTGGAGCGGGGGCCTGCCCTGGCGGGGTGGGTGGAGGAACCTGTCCTCGAGGAGTCCCATCTAAGCGAGGTCTCCAGGGATGTGAAGTAGACAGAGAAGAATATTCTAGGCAGAGAGAAGAGCTCAAAGGCTCAGAGCAGTGACAGTAAGGGTGTTGGCACATTCGGTGCCCCTTTTATAGAAAAGAGAGTCCTGGGCCTGCTCGGGGCACCTGGACCACAGCTCCAGGGACAGAGTCTCTGCAGGTCGCGTACAGTCTTTGAGCTCTGGTAACTCACATCTGCTTCCTCCTGTTTGGGGTGCGGCTGCCAGGCCCAGGAGGCTCACCTCGACAAGCTCTTGGACCAGCTGAGGCAGCAAAGCAATGAGAATACCCTGAAGTTTCACCTGGAAAAGGCCAAAGATCTTCTGAAGAATATGAAATACAGGTGGGCAGACCGGACCCTAAAACGCAGAAGGGGATGGCTTGGAATTCATATTCAAAGTCAGAGGCTGCCTGCTTAGGAGCCCAGGGGTGTGCCTAGCAAGCTCAAGATTAAAATGTTGTGTCCAACTTTGGAGAACATTTGCAGCTCTGCTCTCAGCCAACCCAAAAGCTTTCAGGGGGAATTTGATTGGAAAAGTCTATGGAGGGAGGTTACAAGGCCATGTAGTTTAAAGGTCAAGAGCATGGGTCCTCTCCCACTTTCTTAAATTTCAAAGCATACATGCTCTTTGTTAAAGAAAAAAAGTCAAGCAATGTAAACATATAGATAATTCCCCTCATTCCTACCCAACTCTTCCTTTTTAATGGACATAGACATTTGTATATGTTGTGTATGTGGAGATACATACATATATATGTATATATAATGCTTTTTAAAATAAAGGTTGCTAATTGTTCTATAACTGCAGATATATTTCGTTTTTAAATGAACGTGTAGCATTCATTGATATGGATGCTTCATACTGATTTAACCGTACTCAAGTTGATGAACTTTTTAAGATTGGTTCCAGCTTCTCAATATTAAAAACAAGTCCCTGTGATCTGCCTTGAACCTTGTGCTTTTGTACAACTAATTCCGTGAGGACAGTTCACAGAGATGAAACTTCACTGCCAATTGATTTCAGTACTTAGATTCAGAAGAATATTTTAAGGCAAATAAGTAACCCCCTGAACCTTGGTCTTCTTACCTAGGAAAGAGGTAAAAGTCTGGGCCTTGGCGCTTTGGAGGGTTTGATGGAATAATGTAGGTAAAGTTCAAGGACTGGGTTAGGACAGTGGATAGGAAACAGGAACCCATGTTACAACACGCAGAGAACTCATGTGTGTTTTCTAAACATTCTACAAAGAATATATGTTCTTTGTGAGATCAGAAAAATAGCAAAACAAACCAAGGACTATTATTGAAGCGAGGTGGCAGCTCTGTGTAGAACTAAATGCCAGATACTAGCCCACCTCCATGTGGTCCAGGACATGGCTCTTAGCTGAGGTGTCTCATGCCCAGCCAGCCCCACTTAGATGGTGGTCTCACCTACCAACCTCCCAGGTATGAGAGTTTCCATGGCCTCCTGATGAAGGAAGTGATGGAGTACCCAGCGGTCATACTGAAGGAACTCAACTCCTACAGCTCCGCCCTCAGCCAACACTTCTGCGTCCGTGAGATCTTTGAACAGGTATGGAAAGGGATACAGAAAAACCCAGCCACTCACCAAGAAGCAAAGGGGGGAAGATGACTTCTAGTTCTTATTTGACTCAATTTGAAAGGATCTCTAACCCGTGGGGAATTAGAATCTTTGTCAGGATACCAAGGAGTGCTGAAAGTGCGTCCTATAGAGATCATCTGTTTCTCAGATTTAAAGAGTTTGCAGGGCTCAGAATCCAGGCCTCAGAGCTCTCAGGAGGCTCCCAGGTCATGTAAATCCTGTTCATTCTGTGTGTTCACATCCAGCAATGGGTGCAGCAGATTCTCGCTCTTCTGTTTGCATACTTCAGTTTATACTTTGTTATTCTTTGCCCCAGATCACTATCAAAATGTGTCAGAACAAGATTTTATTCTGTGTGATGAAAGTTTTGCTAGCCTGCTTGGGGTTAAGGAAAACTGATTGGGAACACCCTGATTACCCCCATGAAATAAGAGGTCAAGGCCTGCACCAGATGTCAAGAGGGAGGGGCCGGTCCTTTTCCTTGAAAGGAAAGAGAGGCCCTCAGAAGTGGCACCCTGGAGGAAGGCAGCATTGCTCATTCAGTGTCCTGTGTTTTTTCCTTGTAGAACTTGAATGGGGAAGTCTTTTTCCAATTGAGGGAACCAGGTAACATTTTTACAAGTCAAGTCTGAGTCTCCCTGACTTCATTCTTGTGTATCTGGGGCCTGGGGAGGCCCAATCAGCCTGCACTGGTAACCTGTCTCTTCTTGTGCTTTGGGGTTGGTCATCAACAGAACCACATGCAAAGGACTTCCAGGAGAGAATGAGAAAACTGAGGAGAAAACAGAGAGCTAAAGCAGCCAGGAGCAAAGGTGAGGAGAGCGTAAGTAGGGGGACGAGTTCCCTGAGGCCAGCAGAAGAGACAGAAGAAGAAGATCAAGAAACTGAGTCCTCCACAACTCAAGACGCGGTAGTGAGACCACAGGAAAAGTCTGTCCTGAGTGAAGAGTTGGAGGAATCCAGGGAGGACTCTATTCTAGGATTAGAAGAAATGCAAGTTGAAAAAGACAGCTCCTTAAAACCAGCCCTGAGCCAGGAAAATGTGATGGTTCAAGAAGAAGAGAAAGAGGAGGAAGAGGAGCAAGAGGAGCAAGAGAAGAAGGAAAAGGTGGAGGAGAGAGAGGAGGAGGTGAATGAAGAGGAAGAGGAGCACGAGAAGGAGAAGGAGGAGGAAGAAGAAGAGGAGGAAAAGGAAGACCACGAAAGTTCACCTGTGGATGAGGTAGGCCAGCCATGGATTCACTCTCGGGTATGGAAAGTGTGCTCTGCTCACTCTGTGCATCCCTAATACAAGCTGGGGTCCCCAGTGGCCCAGGCTCCATTGAGGTTCATATGAGGAATTCCAAATGTATGCACACCTGTTATTTTTGTCCACAGGGATCCAATTCTGACTTACAGTATTGCTTTTAAAACTCACCCTCCTCACAACCCGTCTTGCAGCCTACTCTGAAGCCACCCCTCAACTTTCCTCATCCTTCCCTGGTCCTCTCTCTTTCCCAGCTCCTCTTTATTGTGTAGATCAACCTAGCCTCTCCATTCTCTCTCTCTTCCTGTTCTCTGGTTGTGTAACAAAATAGAGCCATATCCAGGTTAGCAGGCAGCTCTCCTTAGAGTGCAGGGAAGCGATCTCATATTTGTAAATCTTGTCCTCAGAACACATTCAAACTCACAGTATAGTAATTATGGCATTGCAAAAGACTTTTTCTTTATTTCTGTGAAAGAATTGGCATTTAGACCTCTTTTTGAACAGGGACCCCAAACTCAAACGCCCACAGGCATGTAATAGAAAAGAGGGCTGGACACCAAGTGTAAAATAGTGACAAGTGGTGGAGATTATTGTCTTAGTCCTGTCAGGCTGCTGTAACAGAATACCATAGACCGGGTGGCTTATAAACATTCTTTATCACAGTTCTGGAGGCTGGGAACTCAAGCACACTGGCAGCTTCAGTGTGCTTCTTGGTCCGTAAACAGCTGCCTTTTTGCTGTGTCCTTTACATGGTGGAAGGGGCAAGAGCTCTTTGCAGTCTTTTTTATAAGGGCACTAACCCCATTTATGAGGAAGGGCTCTGCCCACATGATCTAATGACCTTCCAGAGCCCACCTCCAAATACCAACACATTGGGGATACGAATTTTGGAGGGACACCAATATTCAGTCTATGACAACTTTGTAGCCATTGTTCAGTTCCAGCTAATGATGCCATGTGGGAATGTAGGCTCAGAATTGTCAGATTTTCTGATTTTTAAGAGAAATCAGAAACCCAGATCACTAGGTAGAATTTCCCAATTTTAAAAGCACTGTCTGGGAAAAAAAATATAGGCAAGATTTGGCCCACAGTTTTACAACCTCTGATGTCAAGAAACCTGTGATGGGGATCACCAAGCCTGTTTGATCATGTCAAGTCTAAAGTCCTATTTTCTGCCTAGGTCAAAGCCCAGGAAGAGAGTCTACAGGACATGGAGTCCTTCACAACCTCCAGTGGGAATACTTACTTTGTCTTCCTACCCCTGGAACAAGAAGACAGTAGCAAGAGACCCCATTCCACCCTTTCTGCCATTCTCTTCAGTGACGCTTCCAGTGCCGAGGCCCTAGGACAAGCAGTCATTCCGCCCAGACTAGTTTTAGAAATTAAGAAACAGTAAGTAAAAACCCCTTTTATTCTCATTCTCTTTGGGTTTTATTAACAAGGTGAAATATTATAACGAAAGATTGGACTGGTTTCAGCTGGAAAAGGAAACGTAAGTAACTGAGGCTAGAGATGAGACACACAATAAAAAGTAGCAAATGCCCAGGAATTTTTTGCAGTCACAGACATCCTCTGTGAGAGTGAGCCTTCTGCCTATCCCAGGACGCCTTGCTGGCCTGGGCCTTTTACATAAGAAATAATGTTTTCCCTACAAGGTATTTCTGGGTTCTCCCTTCTGGCATGTCTATAGTATTAGAGTTCTTTTTCTTTTCTTTTTTTAAGTATATAGATATAGACCATAGATATGAATATATCAGTATGGTATTTTGCTCTTATTATGTAACACATTTAGTGCAGAAAATTAGAAAATTTAAAAAAAGGGCAGTGAAGAATATAGAATAATTTTACCACTGAGCATTTAGCTATGCTACCCTAACGTGCAAGTTTCTGGGCCTTCACGTTTGAATTTGGAACAAATGTGGAAATTTGCATTTGGCTTTCGGATGATAGCATTTGCATTGCCATCCTGACACTACAATATCATAGCTAGGATTGATCAGCTAGAGATCACCTGGTTAGTCTACCTCCCATGTTTACACATGGACAGGTGACCAGAGTCAGGGAGCAGAAGCAGTAAGGTCAGGCCTTGGGACTCTGTTCTCCTTCACTTCAGTGTCATCTCACCTTGGAAATGTCTCCTGCTTTGAACCTCATCCTTCTCCTTCCTCTATCACAGGCCCTCACCATTGACCATGGGATGAAGAAAAGCAAGGACCAACACCAGAGCTAATATTTGTTGAAAGGGTTTAATACTCTCAATAACTATGAGAGGGGTGCTATAATTAGCCCATTTTACAGACGAAGAAACTGAAGCTCAGAGTTAATAAGTTGGACAAGATCTCTGAGATAGGAAGTGATTAAATTCAGGATATGAATTTAGACCCTGTAATGTCAGAGTCTTGAACCAAAAGCCATCTAGCCTTGGGACTAACCCCCAAAAATGGTTCTATGTTCAGCCAGTTGCATTTGCATATTGAAGAATAGCATACATACCAAAAAAGTATGGAAATCTTGAGTATATATAGCTCAAAGAATTGTCCAAAGGAAATACACCCAGTAATCAGTACCCACAAGAAAGAGAGCACGACCAACCATCCAGGAACCCTCGTAACATACCCGTCACAAGTCACTGCCCTCTCTTCCCCAAGGGTGACAAATATTCTAACTTCTGAATTAGTTTTGCTTGTTTTATTTGTTTTGGGGTTGTTTTTAACATTTTTTATTGATTTATAATCATGCTTGTTTTTGAACTTTATTTAAATGGAATCATATTGGATATATTATTTTATGTCAGGCTTCTTTCATTGTGTTTGTAAGATTCATATATATTTTTGAGTGTGCCTATAGCTCATCTTTTACTTCTGTATAATATTCTATTGTAAAAAAAAGATGACCCATTTTACGTATCCATTTTACAACTGATGCACATTTGGGTTGTTTCCCATTTGGGGCCATACCAGCAATGCCGCTCTGAACATTCTTGTACAAGTCTTTTGGTGAACATGTGCATATATGTTAGATATATAACTAAGAGTGGAATTGTTGAGACATTGACTTATATGTGCGTCCATCTTGAGGAGATACAACTAAGAGATACTACCAAAGAGCTTTTTTAAATGGTTTTGTTTTTAACAATTTACAGCAACGTATGAGAGTTCCAGTTGCTCCACATCCTCACCAACACTTGGTATTGTCAATGGTTTTTGGTTTTGATTTTAGCCATTCTGGTATGTGTATAGTGGTGTTTCATTGTGGTTTTAATTTGCATTTTCCTGATGAGTAATGATGTTGGGCATCTTGTCATATACTTGTTAACCATTTAGGAATTTTTTTAAGGAAATGCCTAGTCAATCTTTTGCCCATTTTTTTCTGGTATCTTTTTTCTTTTAGTTTATGGAAGTTAGTTATCTATCTTAGATATGATTTTTTTGTCAGTTAAATACATGGCAAATGTTCATCCTCTCTTTGTGCTTGCCTTTTTTACTTTCTGAAAGTTAACTTTTGATGAACAGAAATCCTTAGTTTTAATAAGGTCCTAGTCGTCAATTTTTTCATTAGGTTTAGTGTACTTTCTGTCTTATCTAAGAAATCTTTGCTTGCCCCAAGGTCATGAAAATATTCTGTGTTATCTACTACAAATGTTATAAACTTTCATAGTTGGGTGTATAATTCAAGTGGAATTGGTTTTGTTTATGTGTGAGGTAGGAGTCAGATTCATTTCTTTCACATATGGATAACCAGTTAACTCCAGGCCATTTGGGAAGACTCTCCTCTCTCCACGGCTCTGCTGAGCCTCTTCTGTTTCTGTAAGTGGCTATCCTTGTGTCACCATGTCCCCTGATTGATTACCATAGCTTTACACTAAGTCTTACTGTCTAGTTGTGTAAAGCCCTCCAACCTTGATGTTCTCCAAGATTGTCTTGACTATCCTTGGCCCTTTGTATTTCTATGTAAGTTTGAAATCAGCTCATCAGTTCCCATAAGAAGATAAACATCTGCTGAACTTTTAATGGTTATTGTATTGAATCTATAGACACATTTGGGGAGAACTGACATCTTAACAATACATAGCCAGGAAAATCACTGTACATTTTTAACAGGACAAAATAATAAACTGGGAAGAATATTTGTAACTCACATCTCAGTCAAAGGACTTCATGTTCTCAATATGTAAATATGTATAAGGAGCACCTAGAAAGTAATAAGGAAAAAAAGAGCTGCACACTAGATTAATGGGCAAAAGATATTAATGGGTAGTACACAGAAAAAGAAATTTAATTGCCTTAAGCACATGAAAATGTGCTCAGTCTCAGTCATAATATGACAAAATTATGAAATTCAAGAGTTTGACAGTACATTCTGATGCTACAGAGAAAAAGGAACTATTATTTATTGTTGATGGGAGTTCAGGTTGCCTTGTGACAGAAGCAGTTTGGCCGTATCTACCAGATTCGCAAATGTATTTTAGGCTTTGATTCAACAATTCCCTCTCAGGGAATTTATCCATAGAAATTATGCTACGCTTGACGTATGTACAGGGTTATTCATTGCAGCCTTCTTTGTAAGAACAAACCATTGGAAACCACCCAGTATCCCCCAGCAGGGTGTCTGGTTAAATGAATGATAGTCCAATGTAGTGGGGAATAAAATAAGAAAGAAGGAGTGGAAAATGGAAGCACTTTATGTATCAGTATGGAAAGGTCTCTCCATGATCGCCGTTGCTGACCCTCACACTTCTCTTCCTCAGGCTTCGAACTGGCTTCTTTGAACACTTAGAAAAGTGGTTTGACCAATGTGCTGTCAACACCCGTGTCATCGTGGCCACCAAGATTGATGAGCTGGATTCAGAACTGGAGCTGCGTTTGCACCTGCACCAGCCAAGAGCCCAGCAGATTGAAAAGGACATCCACAACGTCAGAGCAGGTACCCCAGGCCCCTGGTGTCTGTGCCACTGCGGCTCTGTGTTCATTAGCTGTCCCGGTTTGCACCCGCATGACACTTAGCATGTTGTCATCACACGTTGGAAGATGGTATTCAGAATCCTCACTTATGATTTCTTTTTTTATTAAAGAAGGTGTTAGATGAGGAAATGAGGAGTAATTGTCCTGTTTTAACTTTGTGGATCCCAGATCTGCTCACATACTTGTCAGACATACACCTGCATGGCTTATACTCTAGCGGCAAGCCTGTAGTTCAGGAATTAGAGCTAGCAGATTCAACCTCTCTAGCTGTGTGACTCTGGGCAGGTTACCTGACCTCTCTGATCCCTTCTTAACCTGTAGGGCATGTTGTACAGTGAGGAATCACATGCCTCTGGTACAAACCAGAGTCTCCAAAAGTGGTAGCCATTATTTTCAGCTTATAATTTTTAACACTGAAAGACATTTCTGCCATTTCTCTTTAAGGCAGTGGCCTCCAACAGTTTGGGAGAACACACTTTTAGTTGGTGTCTTCAATGACCCTTTGTCAGGTTTTGGCTCAAGTCACATTTCAAGCTTCATTATAGACCCTGAGAGCTCACAGACCCCACACAATGCCGGCCAACCTCCTATTGCCTGGAGCAGTGAGAGAGCATGGACTCAGATAACCGGTCCAGAGGCCCAATGCTTGTGGCTTTGGGAGACCTGCTTGACTTTTGGAACCTCATTGTCCTCATCTGAAAAATGTGTGCATTAAATAGAAATACAAACAAAGATGTTCCTGAAGGCCAGTTTTCTTCCCCTTTCCTTGCTCCTGATGTGAAAACTGAGGCCAGAGAAGCAAAACCTCAGAATTTATTTTTGGCAGAACTGAGACCCAGGCAGCAGGGGAGTCAGGTAAGATGATCTGGGGCTCTCTGCTAGCTCTAAAGGCCTATGATGGACTTCTTGAAGCCAAATCCTTTTTACTCCACCTTCAAAGTCCGTTGTAATTCAGGTTCACTGGAAATGAGTAGCCACAGATTTAAAGGGACAAACCGTGACTGCCCAGCTTTGTGCTGATTGTTTCCTCCCAGACCCTCTCGCCGGATCCCTGCCCTGCCAACACCCTCCACCCATCCCACCTGCTCCGGGGATGAGAGATGCTCTCTGTCTCCCAGGCTTTGTTCCCTTCTGCTGCAGGCAGGGCATCTCCACCAGCAGGGACCTCCCTGCTCACAGGTGGCCAGAGCCTCCTCTCCCAGTTAAAGACCTCTGGGCCATCTCAGAATGGCCTCCCTGAGATCTGCGTGCATTCCCAGGCCAACCCCTGGTGAGGGCAGCGGGGACAGGATAAGAGACCTTGGCCCGAATGATCCCTGCTCTGCAGCTGGCCCGGGAGAGGCACATCACTGTCCGGGAAAGCTTTGTCCCAGAGGGCCTCAGCTCCCCTCGTCCTTTTTCAGCTGAGCTCTTGCTTCATCAAGAGCGACTGGACACCCACTGTGCGGGAGTGATGGAGATGCTGAGGAAGGAGACGGTGATGTTCTGCCAGTTCCAAGAAGAGCAGAACACGAGGAGCAAAAACTTCCGCCGCAAGATTCATGACATGGAGCACATCTTCTTGAACGCCACAAAGAGCCAGAAGTAAGGGCCCTGGGAGTCTCCACCCTGGCCTCGTGGCCCTAGAATCCCAGCCAGGTAGCCGTTCTCAAAGGAGTGACCCCCTACCCATCCCCACCCACTGCCGGGGATAAAAGAAGAGTCAGGTGTTCCAGGCCCCCAGCAACGTTCTCCTTTCAGTTCACCCCTTCACAAGAGTAAGGGTCCAACTGTACAAAGCATCTGGCCAGGGCCTGGGTGCTGGGGATGGGGAAGCAGCCAGAGAGAGAAAAGGGTGCATGCAATCAGAATGTAGGGGTGCAAACGATGTGCCCTGAAGTGTTCATGGTGGGAGAGATCACTTCTATCAGGGGAAATCAGCAAGAGCTTCCAGAAAGAGGCCCTGGGACAAGGGATGAGGGGAGATGGGGAGGGGGCAGAATTCTCCCATCAGAGGAGAAGCACTGGCCCAGCCTTAGGTGGGGATGTGCTCAGGGCAGAGCAAGAGGTTCCAGGGAAGCTTTTCAGGGATTTGAGGTGGAGGCTCTCGTGTGCCCAGGGAGGCCTCTTTTCATGTGAGGAGCTTTCCGGGTGTCTGTACAGTGCTCAGGTATACAAGAGGCAGCCCGTTAGGAGGGACTTGGGTGTAAGGAAACTTGCAGGCACTCTTCCAGGAATGGGGCATAGGAGTCACGTTGCTAGGAGTTAGAAAGAGAGTGTGTGCTGGAAGGAGGACGCAGATCCAGTGGGACCTGGGGGTTCTTTTACCAATTTCGTGTCAGGGGCCAGCCAGAGGAGAGGGGTACCCTCTGATCAGCACCCTGAGAGTTCCACACGGTGTCCTGCACATGCTGGCATTGGAAGCTTCCTCCTGATGCCTCTTTTTCTACCTGGAGGAGACAGGCAGTGGCTCTGGTGGCCCCACAGCCGGGCCTCCCAGATTGCCTGCCGTCCGCACCCAGGTAACCCCCCTGCGCTCCCATATCCTGCAGGCTTATCTCACTCAGCAGCACCCTGCACCGGGAGCTGCTCAGCTACGTTGACGTCATCCAGTTGTCCCTGCGCAGCTTCCGCCAGTATCTGGAGGAGAGCCTGGGCAAGCTTCGCTTCAGCAACATTGAGTTTATCAAGCACTGCAGGTGGGAGTCAGCATCTGGGGCCTCTGTGGGCCACTGGGCTTCCTCTGTTGAGAGGTGGCCATGGTCCTGTTTGCCCCTTCATTCTTTAATTGTGATAAAATATTCATAACATAAAATTGTTCATTTTAACCATTTTAGGGGTTAAGTTCAGTGGCATTAAGTCCATTCACATTATTGTGCTACCATCACTGCCATCCATCTCCGAAACTTTTCATCTTCACAAACTGAAATTATATGAACATTAACTTAAACACTAACTGCCCGTTTCACCCTCCTCCAGCCCCTGGGAACCACCATTCTGTTTTTGGTCTCTATGAATCTGACTCCTCTAGGGACCGCCTATAGGTGAAATCACACAATATTCGTTTTTTTGACTGTCTGGCCTTTTCACTTAGCATAATGTCTTCGATTCTCATCTGTCTCATAGCATGTGTCAGAATCTCCTTTCTTTTTAGAGCTGAATTATATTCCATTGTGTAGACATAGCACATTTTATTTATCCATTCATCCCTTGAAGGACATTTGGGTGATTTCCCTGCTTCTTTCCTTCGACTCCCTGCATTTATTTTTCCACGGTCTTGTACTTCTAATCTAAAGCCTTGCCAATCACAGTGTTTGGACTGGGTCGAAAGTTTCAGGTCTGATCAGTGGCTTTTGTTTCTCCCAAATTATTTTCAGGTTGTTTTCAGAGGGAGGCAACTTTTCTTCTGAGGAAATCAACTCACTGTGTCATCGACTGGAGAAGGAAGCTGCCCGGATAGAGTTTGTTGAAAGTTTAATCATGATCAACATGGAGAAGATGGAGAGCGAATACCTGGACCAGGTGTGTGGACCCTGCCCCGACCTCCAGCCGGGCTCCCAGGATGCCTGGTTACAAGGTGGTCACCTTGCTCACTGCCTGATGGGCCAGTCATACCCTTTCCAACATTAATTGAGCCTGTCCCATCTGCTTCTAAAGTCCAAAAGTTCCAAATTATGGCCCCCCTTTTTAACTTTTTCTCTTTCTTTACAGGCTAATGAGGTCATCAGCAAGTTTGAAAGTAAATTCCACAACCTGACTGTGGACCTTATTTTCATAGAGAAAATCCAGCGGTTGCTGACCAATCTGCAAGTGAACATCAAGTGTGAGGTGGGACAGCTTTATCCTTCATCTGGTGAATGTTTACCACACACACTTGCATGCCAGGCACTGTCCCAGATGCTGGCAATACTGGTGTGGTCTCTGCCCCGTGGGACTTGCACTCCAGCCGGGCAGTCAGAGACTGATCGTAATAACTTCTAACATCCACTGAGTTATTATGCACCGTGCATCCTGCTAACTGAATTATTTTGATTAGCTATACGAGTCCTCACAAGAGCTGTGTGAGGCAAGTACTGTTCTTATCCCCGTTGCAGAGACTAAAAAAAAAACTGAGGCAGAGAGTCATTCAGTGACTGAGGCAAGAACACAGAGTTCTTAAATGATGGAGCCAAAATAAATGTGAACCAGATCTGCCTGACACCAGAATGAGGGCCTTAACCTTGCCAGGCCATCAGGGCTCCAGAGGGGAAGAGGGCCCTGTGAGGGGCGTGGGGATGGAGAGGGGAGGATTTCACCTGGGCTGGGAAAGGGGTGCTTCCCAAGGCTTGAGGGAGGAGTAGGAGCCAGCCAGGCAGGGAAGTGGGGAGCAGCGTCCTAGAGAGATCACGAAAAAAATCCCAGGGGCTGCAGCCCAGAGGAGAGAGAGCTCGAGCAAGAAAAAGTGGGGAGCAGGGAGGCTGGAGAGGTGACTGGGTCAGCAGAGCCAAGTGAGCTGGGCTCCCGGTGCTGAAGGGAGGGCCTGGGCAGCGGGGATTGGGGAAGGGTGCTATTTATTACAGTTTTTGTTTAAACTGTATAATCATTAAAAGTTTCTTCAAAAACATCATTTTGATGGCTTCCCTCTCCTCTGTGTGTTGCCCTTTTTACTTAACCATTCCATTTTGGAGGAACATTTGGTGGGTTTCACACAATGGTGTGATAGAGATGCTTGCAGTGGAAGCTCTGGTTACACCCATAGGGCATCTCCCAAAGCTAGAATTACTGGGTTACAGCATGAACGTTTTAAGGCTTTTCGTGCTTTCCTGATGACTTATACAGAAGTCCTTTAAATTTGCATTGATCTGGTTTCTAATAAGATTATACGTTTTCCCCCGATTTCATTTTTTTCAGTGCTTAATCCGTCTCCCGGATAATGTTTTGCTGAACATTTTCTTGATCAAAGTAAGTTTTCTAGAAACTAATCTCTGAACCTCTGGTTTTCCTAGGTGGCAAAATCTAACTTGCAAACAGATGGATTAAATTCTTCTCTGGAACAGCTTCAAAGCAAGATTCAAACATGCCGAATCTCAAAGGGAGATAAAACAGTAAGTACTCAGCAGATACCAAGTGATTAACAGTAAAGATACATCATGCTAGAATCATAAACTGGAAATAAACTTATATCAGTGGTCAAGATTTCTCCAGCACCAGAGGATCCTCTGAGCCTTCCTACTTAACCCCTGTTTTATTCAATGAAATTCAGGAAGAGAAGGGAAACCAGCCATTGCCCCCAATCCCCAGGGCCTCCCAGGCAGACATGTGGAGGCCAGTGAGTGAGAGCCTTGAGTCTGCCCTCACTCCCCACTGATGTCACCAGGCATCCCTCTGTGTTATTGGAACACAGCCCTGTTTGAATAACAGTAGTAGGACTCTACCCTCTGAGCAACTACATTTTGTTCGATTTTTTCCTCTGTTTTGACCTTTGCACATAAACTGGTTACTTCTGTTTTCTATGTATAAACTATGAAATGTCCAAATTGGTGCAAAGTCTGGGAGAAGCAAAGTTCTAAGTGCCTGCCAGGCCCTGATCTGCATAGCAGGTCTGTGGGTGTTCATGTTATTGACTTGCTTATTTTTCTGCCTCTGGTGCACGTCTCTGTCCCCTGTGCCACTTGCCTGCTGGTCACCCCAGTAATCTTTTCTCCACAGCTCAGCCAGGCACTCGAGAACTGCACGTTCCAGCCGGAGTTTCTGTCTTTTCTACTTCAGTGACTAAGTTGAGGTTGTGTTGTTAGCACTGAGAGCTAACATTGCTTTTTCTATCTTTATTGCTTTTTCTTGCATAGTTACATGTACTTGTTGAAAAAGGTTCAAACATCCACAAAACACAGAGTAGAGAATACTCTTCCCCACATGGGGCAGAGCCCGTGCAACCTCTGTGTTTTCATGCAGATGTTTCTACATATCCCCTGGGGAGCAGGGGGAAACCAGCTTGACCTGTTGTGACCCCTTCAGCAGGCCCTTTAGGGACAGCTCTGTCTGTTCAGAGCAGAAGCATTTGCTCTCCCACATTTCCTTGCTTCCTGCCCGCCCCTTCCCCTCCTGATGTGTCAGGGTGTTAGGCATGGTCCTGGGGGCTTGCACAGATTCCAGGCACAAGGTGGGAAGCATGAACTTGAACAGCTGGGCCATCCTGTGTTGATGGAGGACGCTGGTTGGGCACTTCTGCAGAGTGGTGACCAGGAGACGGAAGCGATGCCTCAGTTGCACAGTGAAGGTGGTAGGGACCAGGAAAAGGTACGACCAGGGCCGTGTGCTCAGTGCCACGTTAAGGAAGATCTTTCTGGCTCCTGGGTGCAAAAAAGCAGGGAGACGGGTAGGAATGAGGCAGGTTGTCAAGACTGAATAGTGACACTATTCAAGGTGCCAGCAGGAACATGTTCCAATCCCAGGGCTGGGTGGGACTCAGAGTGCATTGGAAATGAAGGAAATGGGAAGAGGCCAAGGCGCCACCTGGCCTAGGTCACCCACTAGGTCAGTGAGCCATTCAGGGAACAATGTGCGAGGACCGCTGAGTGATATGCAAGCTGTGTGGTGAAAGTGAATGCCCTCATGGAGCTTCCCTGACCCCTGTGGGGTATGGTCTGGGGGATCACTGCTCTGAGAGGTCATGTGTTTGATACATGTTGTTATGGAGATGGCAGATCACCGTCCAGAAAGACTGTGGCCATTTCACTCCTACATACCCTCGCCACCTTGGGCCACACCTTTCCTTCTATATGCAGAGTATTAGAGCTGGAAGAGATCCCTGAGAACATTCTGTGCCCCCTCACACAGATGTGCAGACTAAGTTAAGCAAATTTAGATCATTTTCCCAGAACTAACCCACAGAACGAGGAATAGAACTCCTGTTGCCCCATCAGTGCAGGAGCCGCTGCCCCAGTGCAGCCGCCCAAGAGAGCTGGCCCAGGGCTCCCCACTCCCCCAGGGCCCTCCCTCCAAGTGAAGGGCCGCCATGGAACCAAGAGGTGTCCTCACCAGCCAGCCTGTTCCTGCGGTTCAGACAGAGTCAGCCTGCCATCCCACAGCCTGCTTCCTTTGGCTTTTCCCCTCTGTGTTCTCACTAGATGGTAATCACAGAAGACCTCCTTGGCCTTGTTGGAACTTGGAAGGAAAAACTGAGCCAGCGGATTCAGTACCTCAACTGCAAGCTGGACCTGGTGTCCATGACTCAGATGGTCTTTACTGTAAGGAATGGGGTGGGGCTATGGGTGAGAAGGTGGGTGGGCTGTTAGGTCCAGGCTCCCAGAGACCCACAGGAAAGACCAGCAGAGCCTAAGGAAAGGCCTCCCAGGCCCCTGCTGGACATCAGGCCCACTGAGATGCCTGTGAAGTCAGATCTGGGTTTGCATCCCAGATGGACCACTTCCCTGCACTGGAAGACCCCTCATCTCCCGGCAGTGCCTCCTCATCCCATTAGGACCCTCGGCTCACCTCGTCCAGCTGCTCTCAGGGTGGCCTCACTTCTCAGCCTCTTCCTTCCCACCCGCACCTGTGAGCAGCCACTGCTTCCCCCTACCCCTCCCTTGGCCTCGTCCAAGTCCCCTGTCTCTTGCCCACGTGGCTGTGCTCATCCTCTCACTTCTCCCCATGACCGCATCCCTGAGCTGCAGCCAGTCTGCCCATATCACTCTGCTGCCCTCAGGATAAATCCAGCCCCTTTAACTGGACCTACACAGCCGCCTCCTTGGTCTGCCCTCTGTAGCCTCTTCATTTCTCTGGCCCCCCTAAGAGGTCACTTCCCCCAGATCTTCTCTCAACTCCTGGTCTGGGCCAGGGTCTCTGGGACCCCGTAGCATGTCCCACTTCCCCATGAGCCCACAGGCTGTGCTGTAAGGTTTCCATTTTGAGAGCTGCCTCCCTAGACTGTGTTCCCCAGAGGGCAGAGCCTGTCACTGCACACCCAGCCTCTCTCACTATCACAGGTGCTCAGCCCACTTCCAGGAGGACGTGTCATTGAGCCAATGGCAGCAGAAGTGGGCACCCCTCGAGCTCTGCTTTGGCCGCCCTCAGGCCCTGCCTCTTACTTCCATGGTTTGAACCAGCCCTTCCTTCTATTGGGAGGCGCTTCCCGCCATGCCACTGACTCGAAGCTTTCATTCACACCGTCAGTACTGCGCCTGACAGGACGGAACTCAGGAGTCCAGCTGGAGTCCTTCCCCTGTGGGGCTTACAGTCCCCCACTAAGCCAAGACTCAGAATAAAATAGGGAACAGTTCAACTGAGCTGTGGGCCACCCCTCAGACCCTTTCTCTAAGGTCCAGGTGGAGGTGGCCACGCGCTCATCCATGCACTCACTCGTTCCCCTGTCCACCGGTCAGAAACCCTGCCTGTGCACATCTGCAGGCAGCCTTACAGGTCCATGTCCCTCAGCCTCATAGAAGACGCTGGAACGTCTTCACAGCACTGGTCCCAGTGTTGACTGTTTGCAGAAGTCCATATTAAATGTCTGTCTCTCTTACTAGACTGTAAGCTCCATGCAGGTAAGGGTCACAGGTGGCCTCTTCACCCTGTGTCCCAGATCCAGGCAGAGCCTTGCAGAAAGCAGTCACTCAGGAAACATTTCTGAAGGCTGGCACATGCATAAATGAATGAATGAATGCATGCATGCTTGCATGAAAGAAAGGAAGCCCTCTAAGGCAGATATGATCACTGCTGCTTCACTGAAGAGGAAGGAGAGGCTCAGAGAGGTCAGGCAGCTGTCCTCCAGCCCCAGCTCCTGGGCAAGGTGGAGCTGGAACATGAACCCAGCCCACCTGCCTCCTTGGCACCTAGACTGGGTCCACACAATTGGGCCTTTCTCGTTGGCCTACAGGACATCTTGACCAACCTAGAGGTAGAGAGTGACATCCTGGTGTCTTCAGAAGCCCATGAAGAAGAGGCCAAGGTTGATGTGGTCAACCCCGAGTCCTTCACCCAGCCAAGCCGCATGGGGAAGTCCATGATTGAGGACCCAGCTGTGGAGGTGGTCAAGAGAATCCTACAGTGAGTGGCCCTGGGGTGTGCAGGGGGCCCCTGAGCCTTCGGGGCCAGCTCCCACGTGGGCCACCCCGACAGCTGTGACCTCATGCAGGGTCTTTTCCTCCAGAGCCTCAGCTTCCTTCTCTGAAACTGGGCTCCTGAAGGGCAGAGGCACATGGCATTCTGGGCCAATAGGGATGGTGCCCAGTGCCTGGCCTGAGCTGTCCTCATGGTCACTGGGGAAAAGCTTACATCCTTTCCTTTGGTTTCAGATTTCCTGACTCAAGATGTTTAACCCAGCATTGTGACAAAGATCGGTCCCAGACAGGTAGGGGCAGGCAGGGCAGTGGCGGTGGGTAAGCTGGTGGTGCCACTGGGCCTGTCCTTACCTTGGATCCTCTGTTCTTGTTCTGGGTGCTCATCACCCAAAGCCTTGAGGAGACACCGGAACTGGGGAGAATGCTCCGTGAAGAAGGACGTGTCCATCGCCAGTGCTGTGTCAGCAGCAAGGTAGAGATGCTGGGCTGCGTGCACAGGCCAGACCTGTTCCCCTAACAGAGGCCAGAGGCCACCCTTTACCATACTGTGTCCTCAGAGCACACCTCCTGTGCTCACAGCTCTGAGACTCCAGGGGACCCCGTGAGGGGCCAGCTCTGACACCAGCTTTAGACAGGCCTGTGCTCATTCTTGCTGAGCGACTCGGCTCACACGGACATAAGTGTGTTCCACCCTGAGAACCTCTCTGGGAGCTCAGTGGTTTTCCATGGTGCCAGTTGGTGGGTCTGAGCCCTGCTACCTCGCTCCCCACACACATTGTCCTGGTCAGAGAGAGTGACGTTGGAGATGGCTTCCCTTGGATGATGGAGCATCAGGAGTCCTGGGCCTCTGCATCCTGGTCATATGCTCCACCTATTATGCCCCATGGGAGTCATTAGACTCATGCCTCAGTGAGTATGAGCCCTGGCTGGCCCCTGGCACCAATTTTATAGAAGGTGGATAACAGAAGCCACGTGGCTGAGCTGACTTTTTGGATCTGCTGTGAGCCCTCGTTGACCTGGTTGAATTCTTGGTTGTGAGGAAGTGGCAGTGAAGAAATTCCTTCTTTGCATACATCCAGAAAGCCTTTTTGAACAGGCATGCCATCTGCAATGTGGAAATAAACAAAGACTAACCAATGAGAGAAGCAAAATCTATTTATTTAGAACTTACTACCACCAGGGAATCCACCACTCACTCCCACTTGCATTTTAACAGAGACTCAAAGGCAGGCAAGGGAATGGAAGCAGTATATAGTGGAGCAAAGGGAAGGCTTCAGATGTGCCTGATTGGAGGCTGCTGGCCTGAGGAAGCTGGAGTCAGGCCAGCCAGCAGCCACTGTCCTATGTAATTGGTTAGGGGTGCAATTTGGCTTTCTCTGTTGGAAACAGGGACAAAATTTAGGGTAGTGGTCAGTTACTAATCAAGTCCTGGCCATTTAGGGTTGATTGTTACGGGAGGTTTTGTTTATCTTCCTGATGGTCACTAGAGATGACAGTCTGTCCTCCTGCAAGTCTGACTTCCAGTGGGTTGGTTTCCTGAGTTGTTCGTTGTAGCTAAGTAGTTGGTTTCCTGGGCAGGTTGTTGCAGGTTATGGGCCTGAGTTCTCTATTCATATATGGCCCAGCCATTGCCCATTTGTATATTCAGTCTCTCAGTGGTTATCTATGAAGTCCACGTTGCTAGGGCTGCCGATAAAGAATTCAGGATGCCTAGTTAGATTTGAATTTCAGATGAACAACACATATTTTTAAACATAAGTATGTCCCAAATACTGCATGGGCCATAATGCTAAAAATTACCCATTGCTTACATGAAATTCAAGTTTAACTTGTATTTTTATTTGAAAAGTTGACAGCCCTCCATGTGGCTCAACCTGTTTTTCTTTGAGTCCTCACCAGAGGGAAGCAAGGATACACATTTCTGGGCCCAAGCACCTCTGTCCCTTGGCCCCTCTGATGGCCTTGTGTGGATTTTAGTGGTTAGGGCTTCATTCCCACGACAAGGTTGTCTCAAGAGCTGTTGAGGAGTAGGACGGGGCTCCCGCAGGCTCAGGTCTGCCTGTGTTTGTTCGTAGCCTCCAGAGCACTGACCCACCTTTGTCCCACAGCGTCTCACGGTACTCCAAGCCCAACCGACTGGACAGAAAGTACCAGGTGCTCGGGGACAAGCCACCTCCTCCGGCTGAGTAAGTGACAATGCCATTTCCTTTAACTCCACTTTAATCTGTCATCTTTGTCAGGGGGCAGCTTTGGCAGGGTTCTCCTAACTCACCTGAGGGCAAAATAAGAAGTGGGGGGCACAGCAGGAGAGGCTGGCAAGGGGACGGATAAGGGTCAAGGTCAGTTTGAGCCTATTTCACATACATTTTTTGATTGATATTTTTACCCCAAATTCACATTTTCTAAGCCAAGTATTTTGTGGTCACAGGGCAGCATACCTTGGGTGGGAGCTGGGGTTTTTTGTGATTTTTGCAATTTTTTAATGCTTCCCCCTTCCCCATTTCTCTCTTCCTTTATTTGAATTTCATTGATTAAAACAAAATCTGTTGCACTTAACATGGCTACATTTCAAGCAAACAAGCAAAATTTCCACTTCAGAAAATTGAAAGCACTCAGAGGAAGTTAGTTTTATTAACAGAGTCCCCTCACCCCTTCCTCAGGGAGCTGAGCCTCACAGCATCGACTCGTCAGTCATTTTACCCCACAGTCCTATCTCTGGGATTTTGTGAACTATACAAAGAAGGGCGGCTTTTACATCCAGTGACCCAGAAGTCTCATCCAAGTCAGCAGCTAGACACCTCCTTGTCCTACGCACAAAAAGACATTGCATTAAAACCTTGACTCTCACAATTTTGTATAGTTCTGTCATGTTATCACCTGTTTATATCCATGCAGCCATCACCAAATCAACAAGCAGAACTGGTCCATCACCAGTATCTCCCCCTTTTACTCCTTTATAGCCCCACCCACCCCCACTCCCTCACCATCCCTAACCCTGAGCAACCGCTAATCTCTTTTCCATCCCTACACTTTCGTCACTTTAGGCATATCCTATAAATGTTCTCATACAGTATATGACCTTTTCAGAGTGACTTTTTGCACTAAACAAAACAGACACACAGAGTTTTTGTCCTGGTGGACTTTACCGTCTGCTGGGAGAGGTGGAAGTTAATCGGGCAGTCACACAAATCCATCCCAAGTCCTCACAGCTGTGGGGAGAGCGACAAAGCTGAGAGCCACTCAGAGTATTGGAACGAGTCAGTAGGAATTGCCAGTGAGCCAAGAGGAAGAGCAGGAACAAATGTGACCAAGCAGAAAGTTTCTAGCATTCTTGGAGAGGAATCAGTGTAAGCAATGGGGCAGAAGTGAGTAATTACAAGGGGGTAATAAGGATAACGATGCTTGGAAGGGACCAAACTCAGCTTGTCACATACAAGTGGCATTAAACTAGACAGGTAGAAATATTAGGTGGGACTATGCTTTGGCCTCACGAGCTGTCCTGCTCCAGCTCAGGCTGAGCTGCTGAGTTCTCAGAATTTTCTGTCCATTTGTTTTGTCCACACCATTGGGTGTGATTAGAAAGGACTCCCAGGGATCTGTCTTGCGTGTGTTGCAGGGATTTTAAAGGCATCATCCTGAGCCTCCTCTGGGAGAGCAACGAGCACCTGCTGAACGTCGTGGAGGTGAGGGCTCTCCCTGCCCTCTGCCAGCCGCAGGCCACACGTGCCCAGTTGCCTCTGCCTCTTGTCTTCTGCTGAGAGTGGCCCTGTGGGTGAAACTGAGCAAAGGGTATTCCAGTCCCCATGCCCACAACTTCCCAGCCTCTCTCACCGTGTGGTGTTTTTCATCCTAGGAATTAAAACTCTTTCATTCATCTATCCATTTATGCAGCCACCAAATATTTCTCGGGTGCTAACCGTGTGGCAGATAGTGGTGTGCCAAGAGGAACAGGCCCCGTTCCCTGTCCCTGAGAGGCCAGCTTCCAGCGGAGGGCCATAGACCCTGTGGCACCACAGAGTGCTGGGTGGGGCCAGGAGACCTGCAGTGGGAGCTGCCCAGTGCCCTGGCCCAGCATACCACGACAGGGCTGTCTGTGTGCTTTCTGCTCTACCTTCCACCAGGCTGGGAGTCTTCAGAACAGAGCTCTGGGTCATCTGTAGTTGTGGCCCACAGCCTCCTGCTCTGCTTGGCGCTTCACAGAAACCTCTCAGCCTGGTTGTTAAAGTGAGATTCCATTTGGGTCTTGAAGGATCCATAGAATGTTGCCATTCCTCGCTCCTGGCTCCCATAGCCCTGGGAGACTGGCAGTGGTGACAAGGACAGACAGACAGGGAGGAGGAGCATCCTGGCACAGGGGACAGCAGTAGAGAAGGCGGGGAGGCGAGGAGAGTGAGTGGAGGATGTCCCAAGCTGTCACCTCTCTCCTGCAGGACTTTTACCGCAAAGAGAAGCGCCCAGTTGCCAGGCCTGACTTCATGTTCGATACTTTCGACCAGTGCGCAGAGAACATTGGCAGGAAGATCCTGGAGTACCACAGCCAGGCAGAGGAGTACCACAACTCCTGTCTCATAGGTGGGTGCAGCCCGCAGACCGAGGATGTGGCACAGAGCCACCTGGAGGTCACTGGGGAGGCACAGGAGCCTCCCTGGGAAAAGCTGACATCTTAGAACTAGGTAAAAATCTCGATCAGATTTAACTGGAGAGAAACAGCAATGCCCCCCTAAAAGTTCCCTTTTCTTGAGAAATGTGGTAATTTGCATTATCAAAAATATTTCACTCATTGCATAGGTATTTTTTACTGCTTTATTGAGAGATTCACTTACCATGTAATTTGCTCATGTAAAATGTACAATTTGGGAGATTTTAACATAGTCACAGAGTTTGTACAGCCATCACCACTGTGAATTTTGGAACCCCCTGTCCCTCCATCACTTCCCCAACCTGAAGCAACCACTAATCTACTTTCTGTCTCTATAGATTTTCCTATCAGGGCTTTCATATGAATGGAATCATGCAGTATGTGGTCTTTTGTGGCTGGCTTCTTTCACTTTGCATGTGTTCAAGGTTCAGTCACTTTGTATCAGGTGTCAGGACTTCACCCCTTTTTGTGGCTGAATCATATTCCATAGTATACATATACAGTAGTCTGTTTATTCGCTCAGTGACGGACATGTGGGCCGATATGAATGCTGCTGCCGCAAGCATTCATTACGTGTTGCGTGTGGATGTCTGTTTTCATCTCTCTTGGGTGAATAACTGGGAGTGGAATTGCTGGGTCATGTGGTGCCTCTGTGTTCCATCACTGAAGTCTCCTTCCACGGTGCCTACTGTATGCTGGCCTTGCTGGGCTGTGATGAGCTTGGTAGACACAGCCTCTTGGAGAGGAGGGACACGAAAGCAGGCAGGTAGAACACACCTTACCATTTACATTTATTATCAGGACAGAAAAGGAGCTGTGGAGACACACGCATGGGCCCCCATTTCTCTGTGTCCACGTGTGTTTTATGCAGTCGTAAGCCCTAATTATTCCTGCTTGTAAGGCAGGGAACCTGAGGGCCCATCACGGGCCTCTGTGCTGGCTGAGGCGCAGCAGGGGTAGAGAGGGAGAGGATTAGGGGACCCAGACCTGGTGTCAAGACCTGGCACTGCCATCTCCCAGCCGTGTAGCCTTGACCATCACGTCATCTCTGTGAGCCTTAACCTCCCTGCCTGTAAACTGGAGACAATGACAACAGCCACCATGCAAGGCTTTTTTTGGGGGGTCAGCCCCTCCCAGACGTGCCACGTCCAGGGAGCATCAGCGGCAGTGGCTCTCAATACTGTCGTTGGAGAACGACTGGAACTGAAGCTGTAGACCGCATTTCATTTCTCTAGCTCAGAATCTCCCCAGGTGAACTCTGTGGGACCCCATCCTGCGTGATCTTCCTCAAAAGAAGGGCTCCACGGTCAGATGGGCTTGGGAAATACTGAGGATTTTGTCCCTCTCTGGAAGGCTGGCAGTTCACATTAAATGGAGACTTCCGTTTCCCTCAGATTGGGAGCCCAGTATTCCCACTGAAAACGTGTAAAATCGCTGCATATAGCTTTTCTGTGATGAGCTCTCTTAAATGCGTGGATGAGCCAGCTGCAAAGGTGAAGTGAGAATAGGGACTCAGAGGGGTGAACTGAGCAGTAGCTCTGGCTCTCGCCCTAAGGGCTTTGCTGACTCCCTGGAGCACTTGAGCCTCTGTCTTCATGGTTTCAGGGCACTAGGAACAGAGACCGAGCCCCAGACCACCCAAGGTGGGCAGTCTGAAAGGGCGCAGCCACCTGAAACAGACTCCACGGGGCCCCATCTGCAGTGTAAGGGGAATGAGACAGACATGAACCCTCTCCGCCAGTGACTAGAAGGAAATTTGTCTCATTACAAGCCATGGTTCTGGGTAAAGAAGAAGAAAAACTCCAACGAGGATCCATAACTACAGGCCAGCCCTTATGTGGCTTTGAAACCTGAAGTCACACTTAGATAAACCTGAACTCAACATTGTCTTTGTGGATCACTCACAAGACCTCCAGCTGATACATTACCTTAAAATGATCTTGAGTTAGTCATGCCCAGATGCTTGTTTAGTAGAGATGCTACAGATCCTTTCCAGGATACACACACACACACACACACACACACACACACACACACACACACACACACACACACACACACACACACACACACACACAGAAAAAAGGCACCTTGAGCATGGGGCAGCAGAATGAGGCCAGCAAAGACTTCAGATACTGAACGTATCAGACACAGAATATAAAATAATGTATTTATTAGAGCTAAGTAAAAGAAGAAATTGGAAACATGAGTAAGGAGCAAGAGGCTATTAAAATGACCAAGTAAATATGAAAGAGGACCAAATCAAACTTCTATATTGGAAAAATAAATCATTGAAATTAAAAATTATGCATGCCTTTACTACTGAAGAAAATAACCAAAATTCAACTTAGGAAAACAAAGAGGTGGAACTATGGGAGAGAGGTGAAGAGGTATGGATGTAAGAGTGAGCCTGACAGGTCCGGAGGGAGAGTGGGAGTCCATGGTCAAGGCAGTATTTGAAGAGATAACAGATGAGACAGAACTGCTGAAAGACACTGTGCATTTTAAAAGTGCTGGAAAGTCCTGCAGAATATAGAAGAAAAGTTCTTTGAACTTGATTAATTCAGTATTTCTCTACTAGTTTGACCACAGGAACCCTTTCGAGAGAATAGCTATTACCACATTGTAGACCAAGCTTTCTCTCTCGGAAGCTGCTTTGAGCCATTGTTGGAGAGATCACCTTGGCAGCTTGGCTCTGCTCTGTTTTCTCCCCGGCCTCCCACCCCCGATTCCTACAGAATTACGGGCCCAGATGAGAAGATTTGAGGAGCTGCTGCCCCAGGTGTGTTGGCAGGTGATGGAGAATTTCAAGGAGCACCACTGGAAAAAATATTGTGCCTCCACCGAAGAGATCCGGGGACAGTTCCACAAGTATCAAGAACAGCTGGAGAAAAGGAAGGTGGGGATCCTGGGACCAGCCCTCCCTCTCCAGGACCAGGGGCCCTAGGATTCAGAAATGGAGGCAGAGTGTTAGCAGAACTGAGTCCCAGAGAAGGAGATGGGCCGGGCTTGGGATTCCTGGACACGAGGCACTGGAGAAACGAGAGCTGAGCCGGCAGCTCCTTCATAGGAGGCAATCGGCAAACTCCTTGTTGGATTTAATGGGTGGGTCCACTGGGTTCTCTGGGGCTGCAGTCATTGAGATCAACAGTGATTGTCCACATGGTCCTTAGAGCCATGGGACGTGAGTTCTGTTGATTTCATTGGGCTGAAGCCTTGATTGTTCTAGGGCGGATGCTCAGCCCTCTCACTGCCTAACCCTCAGAGTCAGCTCAAGCCACGCTCCTGTCTTGCCTTCTCTGCCACTCCTCTGCCCAACCACGGCCCTTTGCACACCCCAGCCAGCGCACACATCAGTCTGGCCGTGGCCATAATTGGCAGAGGGCATAGGCCAGTAGCCTTTTGGTCCCGACCTCAAGACCAGGTCAAAACTCTTGCTGATTTCTGGATTGTTTGAAGGATGAAAATGCCCAGAAGCTCCATCCAAATCTTGGACACCCCGCACATTTCCAAGAAATGAAGTCTCTATGTCAAGTGGAAGAGAAGAGGCAGAAAGAGTTGGACACTTTGATTGCAGCGACCAAGGAGAAGCTGGAGGTCAGTAGTGCCATCAAGCCCCACGTCTAGGTGCTGCTGTGCGCTGCCCTCCAGCGGTCACCCCAACTGACAGCCCACCAACAGCACAGAGCACAGCCCTCAGCTGGGAGCCTGGCCAAAGCAGGGCATGAAAGCAGACAGGTTTTATGGTCATTATTGGTAATTTTAACTTGGATTTTTAATTTCTAAATTAGTTAATTACAGAATTACTAATGAGAACTTTTTTGTCCCAAGATCCATGTCTAGCTTTATTTCCTCTTGGGTAAATTGGCCATTTTAGAATCATTTTTCTATCTTCAAAACAAGTCACCTCTTGGGAGAAGCTTCCTGGCCAAGGACCAGATGCCAGTTAACTCGGACACAGTTGACACATGGCCCTGGTCTTGTCTCACACACTGATCCCCAGACCCCGCCTCAGCCTGCCTTTGGAGGCAAGGTCCCCTCCCTGCAGCACCGTGCTTCCTCTGTTTCCTCCAGGAATTCACCAGGAGGTACGGCCGACTTTTCGTAGCCAGCTTGGCCACCTTCACCGAGAAGTTCCTGCTGCAGCTGGATGAGGTGGTCACCATTGACGATGTCAAGGCTGCAAGTAGGTACATCACCAGCCTTGTGCCCAGGCCTCAGCGGGTGGGTGAGGCACAGGGTGATGGGCTGGGGCTGGGGGACTCTGCTTTCTCCCAACACCACCAGGATGCAAACAAATTCTCCATTGAGGGGACTGGTGAATTTCTGTTTGTTTTTATTAAAAGTAACACCTTTTTAATGAAAAAAGCAAATCCCAAATAGGTCAATGATTGTATGTAAAAAATGAAACCCTAATAGTAAATATTTTCATAATATTGGAGTAGGGACAGCTTTCCTAAGTGTGAGATGCAAGTCAGAAGCCATAAAGGAAAGAGCTGGCACTTCTCTGTGGCCAAAACTAAAACAAAGAAAAATGTCAAAGGATGGAAAGAAACCACAAACTGGAACATATCTCTAGTAGCCTATGGGCCAAGCAGCCTGGCCCTGCCACCCCCACAGACCAGGGTGCAGAGGGCCACTCCTGCCTGCTGGCTCTCATTCCATGGACGGAGCCCCTTTCTCCCCACATCAAAGGACAGGTCAGTGAGCCAGGCACGAGAGGGACAACCTTAAATGTGTTCATTCCAGAAGAAATTCTTAGTTCAGGACCTATTTGAGCCAGTATAAGCCAAAGGAGGCTCTACAAAGCATATTCAGGGGCCTGTGTGGTCAGAGCATCACGCCCCAGGCTGTGGAGTTGGGGACAGCACCCAGACCACACCTCGCCTCCTCCAGCTGCATTCGGCCCCTCTGTGGGAGAGGGCTCCGTCTCCTGCCTGAGGCTCCAAGTCGGGAAGAGGGGAGTGAGCCCTTATTTCGCTAAATGTAAGGTCAGGGGGAAGACCCCTTGATCTCAGGCTGTGGGTGAGGCCACCATCAGTAACCTGTCTCTTGCCTGCCAGAGATGGACCCCCCCAAACAGAAAACATCGATCCTAATACGGAGGAAGCTCGCTGGGCTCTCCCTGGAGGAAAAGAGTGAGAAGCCCCTGATTGAACGGGGGAGCAGGTGAGAGCCGAGACCTGGGAGGAATACCATGCTTGGCTGTGCATGCTGGGGGCGGTGCAGTGGGATGGTCAGGGGCAGGAGCTCTGAAGTCAGACAGATCCGGTAACCTCAGAAAGCCATTACACCCAGAGCCTCAGTCTCCTCATCTGTGAAATGGGCATGGCACCCAACCTTACCTGGAATCATGAGGAGAACATTCAGTGAGATTGTACTGGGAGTGCCCTGGCACATGCTGAGAGCTCAGCAGCTATTTGTCCACGTGATAAGGACCCACAAGGGACCCCCAAGACAGGGAGGCCTGTCCCAGCATGGGGCACATTCTCAGATTGCTGGTGGCACTGTGAACCAATGCTGCTGTCTGTCACATATGATGAGGGCTACCAAAGTGCTTGTCCCCTGTGCCCCAAGAATGTGAGAATGTGACTCTAAGAAGTAAGGCAGCAATTTGCCCAGCTCAGTTGTCAGCAGTGGATTTTATAGCGCAATAGGAAACGTGGGCCAGGAACCAGGACTGCCCCAGGCCGGTGGGCTGATAGGGAAACTGAGGCCCAGAGAAGGGGAGCACATGGAGGTGTGGGATTCCCACCCCCATGCAGAACCCAAGCCTGTCGGTACACATGGATTTAAACAGTGAGAAAATACGAAAAATAATGAACATGAACACACTTAACGTGAAATACTCAGTAGGATTTTTCTTTTAATTAAGATGTTTAAAGCATGATAATTTTATTTAAAGAAATGCTAACATTTTCCACCAGGGTTGAAGAAGGTACTGCAAATGACGAAGACAAGCCTGTAGGAGTTTTCACTCATATTTGTTTGTAGGAAATGGCCGGGAATCAAACCCACTGAAGTCACTATCCAAAACAAGATTCTCCTCAAGAAAACATCATCGATCACGACCACCAAAACCACGCTGGGCCACCTGGCGTCCGTGGAAGCCCGAGATGCTGTCTACCTGGTGAGTGGAGAGATGCGGGTGGGGTAGGGGGTGTGTATCCCAGGGAGCACGGGGCAGCTCAGTGTGGCTGCCTTGGGCAGGAAGGGGCTTCCCGTCACCAGGTATCCTGACATTTGGCCCATGGAGCATATGACACGTGTCAGGATGCCCCAGGGCACAGTGTCAGTGCTCAGGACATCCAATGGTCTCAGGCACCAGGACATGAGCTGCAGGTCATGTCCAGTTCCAGCAACAGCGTGGGTCTGATGACGTGAGCCCCCGTGCTCCACACCCAGACCGGGGGGCGGAGGGGTGAAGGAAGGCTTTCCAAGGAACAGTTGAGACAGAATAGCCAGAGGCACAGAGGCCATGGGAGCAGCGGTGGCAATGGGCAGAATAAGGGACAGTTACTGCACCTGCTGCAGCTTCTGTACGTGACAGGAGGCTTCCCATTGGCTCCTTGTAACAACCCCTTGAGGAAGACAGAATTGTCCCCATGTTACTGCTGAGAACACTAAGCCTTAAAGAAATGTGTCCCCTCTGTGCCCCTGCAGAGTGGCTGAGTCAGAATTTGAACCCAGTGCCTGTTAGACCCCAGGGGGCCTACCTGAAGAGGAGGTGGCACCCAGAGGCCACCTGCAGGACCTCTCGACTCTAAGGATGTGTGGACCTTTGGTCTGAGTGTCCCAGAGAGAAACCTCGTCCTGCCTAGAGATATGCTGACCCCTGTATTAGGAGAGCCCTCAAGTGCCTGGGCAAGCCCTTCCCCAGCCACCATGCTAAGCTCCAGGCAGGGGACACCTCTGCCTGCTGAGTTCCGTGGGCATTAAAGGCCTGGAGGGTTCAGCCTCTCGGGGAAGCCAGGGCCCCAGGGCAGTGGTTAGGAAGGAGGGCAGAGTCCAGAATCAGGTAGTCCTGTGTCCTAGTCACTCCTCAGCCTCCTTCTAGCTGGATGACCCCAGGCAAGGCTGTGAGCCTCGGTTTCCCATCTATAAAATGAGGAAGACACGCACGCCTGCCTATTGGGCAAAGTACGTGAGAAATGACTTGTGGAGCTCTTGCCAGTGCTTGCAGCGGGGTCAAAGCTACCTCCCAGCAGGTTACAGTGTTCCTCTAGGGCACAGAGTCCAGAAGCCCTTCCTCATGTGGCCTCCTGCTGCTGCTTGCTCCCAGAAATATTTAGCATTATTTGAAGAGGAGCTGAAGAAGATCGAAGATGACAACACATTGCAGGTGAGGGAGGCTCAGTGTTGGAAGGACAGCTGGAAGCACTCCGTGCGCACCATCCATGGCCTGTACTTGTGACACCCTCAACCCTCCCCAAATAAAGGCTTATTTTGTGTGGACTCCTTCTACATCCGTCCGTCCATCCGTCTATCCATCCACCTGTGCTCTATGCTCAGCGCTGTAGCTTCATAGTGACTAGGACCCAGCCCACATGGAGGTCACTTCCAATGAGGAAGACAGAGGTGACGGGGGAGTTCCACACAGTCAGCTAGGATGGCAGATCACAGGGATGGGTAACTTAAAATAACCAATACTTCAGAGGAAATAACTCCCAAAAGGCATACTGAGCACTTCATCTTGAAAAATGAAATAATTAAAACTTATGAGAAAGAATCTATTTCACATTTAACAAACTGTGGTTATAATTGCAACTATGCACTGATTCCTAGAACCAACCAAGACTTCATCCTGTGTTGACTGGGTGTCTGGCCATTTGGCCAATTATAACATTTTGGCAGAAATCATCTAGGCCTCTTTAACTTTCCTAAGGACCTCTTTAGTCCCACAAGACTAAGATCATTCTCTTCGGCAATACCTGCATTCCACCGTCTTCCTCTTCGCCTTTCTCTTGGATTGAACACAGCCTTGCCATGCCAGGCCTCACTTGTCAGTGGCTCTTTGTGCCCTTTGGACAGAGGCTCCTGCTCCTTTCTCCACTTCCTGAGCTCCTGCTGCTTCTGCACAGTTTGCTTGTTGACGTGACCTCAGTTTGTGTTTCCACATGCTTTATCTCTCAACGACTCGATGAGGTAAGTTTTGCCCATTTTAAAGATGTGGAAACTCAAGTCCAGAAGGTCCAGACAGAACCTCAGCAGAGTTTGGGTTCCCTGCAAGCAGACAAGGACTTGGGGGAAAGTCGTTTGTTTTGGAGATGACCCCAAGAAGCCTGAGTGAGGACATGGGGATTGGGGCCTGGAAGAAGAAAAGCCACTGAAGGGGCTTTGACGAGTGGCCACTGCTGTGGGTGATGAGGCTCCGCCTCGCTGGAAAACGGCCTCCCACCAGGCCCAACACCATCTGTGAGGGTGGAGGGTTGCCTGAGCATTAGCACTGCCACACCCCCACTCGTGCCACTTGCAGGACAGGAACTTCCCATGATGCCAGACAGAGCCCTCAGGCAGGGGGTTCTCGTGGGATGCTGTCGGCCTGCTGGTGGACCCCGGTGGGCCAAGGAAATATTAGCACAGCATCAGCAATGTCTCCACCTCCGCTTTCCCGAATCTATCGCCAGGGCCCTTTGCACCACTCTGCACGCCACCCTCTTCCTCAAGGCAGCCAGTTGCTCCTGCACAGCCCCTTCCAACTTGTCACATGCTCTGCAGTTACACAAGCTAATTCAGTCCCGCCAGGGGCAGGGTGGCAGTCACCAGGTAACTCCTATTTTGTAAATGAACTGAAACTCAGAGAAATGAGGAACTCTCCAAATTTACTCAGCAGGAGAATGTTGTAGCCGCGGTTCCCCCCCAGCTCCAGCTGCCCCTGAAACTCAGCCTGGAGTGAATACACCTGGATGCTTTGTGAGTAGGAAAGCACCCAGCAAAATGAGGGGTGCTGCCTCTCCCCTCTGCCATCCTTGGAATCTCTGCACCTGCCACCCCTTCCTGCCAGGCACAGAACAGCCTGCAGTCAGTCAGTCTCTACCTCCTTCATGGGGAGGGGGGCGGCGAGGTCCCACTGGGTGGGGGAGGCTGGAGGAAGCACACCTGCTGCGGCAGGACAGGGTGAGGAGGGCACCTTCGATATGACCCCAGAGCCTGGCCCAGCTCAGAGCAGCTGGCTAGGGTGGCCAGGCCCTGAGGATGGGGGAGAAATCACCCGCTCTCTGCTTTTAGTGTGAGCCAGGGGCAAACTTCAATTTGTCAGGAATCTCACAAGATGGGCCATGGTTCCCCTATACTTTAGAGGGAAATTGAGCTGCCAGGATCCCTCTTGGCCAGTAATCATACTAATTTCAGGAACTTTCAGGGAAATTTTTATGCTGGTTTAGCAGATGAGAAATGACATCTAACTCATTGTCCTGTTTTTAGTTTTCTAACGATGAGTGAGGCTCGACTTTTCATCACTCAGTCATTTCTAAAGTGTGGCCACTTTTCCCAGCCGTGGGGCCAGCCTGCTGCGCACGCCTTCCTGGTGGCCACCGCCTGCGTTCCATGTCTGGCCAGGAAGCTCCATTCCTTGTGCAACTACTAAGTGGTTAGTGACTGGCTGGTGACCAACAGAATACAGCAAGAGTGACAGGAGGTCACTTCCAAGATGTAATGACAAAAAGTCTGTCACTTCCATCTCCTGTGTTCCCTCCCCTTCCTCACTCCCTCCCTCCCTCCTGCTCACTGCATATCTCTCTCTCTCAATTTGGTTCTTTTTTTTTTAAAAAATTCTATCTCTTTATTAATATTTTCACTTTGTTCATATATCATTTTCCTGACTTTTAGTTCTTTGTCCGTGGGTTCCTTTGTCTTATTGAACATACAAGACAGTTGAGTAAATATCTTTGACTAACAAATCCCATGTCTGGGCTTTCTCATATATGATTTCTGTCAAATTCCATACTTTCCTATTTCACTGCATGTTTTGTATTTTTATTGAGAACTAAACATTTTAAGTATCATTTTAGTAACTGGAAATCTAATTCTCTTGTTTCTCAAGGATTTCTGATTCTTACTTTTTCAGGGTTGGTGCCATCCATTTGTGACTTTAACAGACTATTTTTGCAAGGTGTATATTCTTTATTGTGTGTAGTCACTGATGCTCTGTTCCACTGTCTTTGCAGTCAGCCGGTAACAAAGATTTTCTTAAACATATGGCTCCCAAAGTGGGGAAAAACAAGCATTACCTCTTTAAATTCCCTGGAAACAGTGTCAGTCCCTGGGGGTTGAAACAATGGCTGTCAACCTCTGTGCTGGCCTTTCAGCAATCAAAAGCAGCAGTCAGGCAATCAGCACTCAGAACACACAACCCAGTATTGGAGGATAAGGTCCTTGTCTTCCACTCTGGCTCCAGCAAGTCACACCAGGAACTTGGCAGCTTGCTAGCTCCTTTCTTAGCCAATAGCTAGTCCCCAGGTGTTAAACATTTCTAATTGCAAATGAAAAACGTTCTGTTTTAAGGAAGTTGCTGCTGAGAGTAAGGGCTCCAGCTTTAAATTAAAAAGACTGAGTGTGAGGGGGTGAGAAGAGAACTGGGAGGAAGACCATCTTCTCTACTTATGGTGGGGGAGATATGACTTTGGGCTAAGTGAACTCCAGGAAGAACCCCCGAAAGAGTGGTTTTAGCGTCCTCAGCTGGTGGTGAGTGCCAGGGAATATTAGGTAACCTGGTGGTGGGGTGAGGCAGAACTCTAATAAATACATCCGTCCATCCCTATGTCTGTTGGAGTGAACAGGAATGTCTTGTTCAGCTTCTTTTTGTGTGGGATTGGCTGCTGAGGGGATTTCTAGAAGTAGCACTCAACCCTGTGTGAGTCTCATAACACATATTCTGTACCCCTCTCCTACTCTCCTGAAATGAAATTCACAGATAAGATAACCTGGAAAATTAATAGAATGAAACTGTGAAAAAATTATTTGTGTTTATATGTAAAGCAGAGTTTTTTCAATCTCCATGAATGACTGGCAAAGACATTCCCATGTTGGTTAAGATGAGGACACAGGGAAGGTCCTCTGATATGTGGGACTGTTCTGTGTACAGCAGGGCAATAAGCATCAGCGGGCCCACTAAATGCCAGGAGGTGCCCCTGATCATTGTGACAACTAAAAATAACCTTGTGAAAGTCCAAAGTGCCCCTGGGGAGAGACATTGCTCCTGTGGAGAACCACGGACGAATGGGAATTGACCAAACAGCCTCAAGAGAAGGCTCCTTTGCTATTTATTGGATTAACTTTGCCAATTAAGGGAATACAAGGGGAGAATAAAACACAGGTCTCTCAATTTAACAAAAGATCAAGCTCCGAATGATTTATCCAGAGTCAAACAACTCAGGAGCAATGGGACTTCCTCCCTGAATAGTACACTTTTAACCTGAACCCACTCTTTTTGAATACTGTCTGCTGCTTTGATTTCAGGGTCAGCTAACCTGTACTGTGCACCTCCTATATACGATGTGATTTCTTCTCTCTGTCTCCTCCCTTCCACATCCCTAGCATCCAGTACAGTATAAATGTTTGTACCAGCAGAATCAGTAATATTGTAGTCGGTTGCCTTGCTTACAGTATTAGTTACCCCAGCTCCAAGCCCTACCCAACTGGGCCCTTATCAGCTAGTAACTCAATATCTGCATCCTTGGAATCATCCTTATATCTGGGCCTTGTCCAAGGCTGAGCTGCATGAATAACCTGCAGCTCGAGAAGGGGCAGAGGCCACCTCTTAGATAGCCAAGACCCTCCCCTGCTGGTCTATGACCTTTCTCTACACGATACCACTGTAAGCTTTCATTGTCCCCTGTTTTCCAATGTTCTGTGCTTGTATGGCCTCTACAGCTTTAGCCATCAGTCCCTTCTGGGGATTAGCCTCTTTCAGCTGACTCACCTTGGAGGCCTTTGTGGGCAGATTAGGGAGTTTTGCTAGATCAGCACATCCTTAGCTTTACCAGAGCCTGGATTTTAGCTGGGCTCCGGGAATCTCTCCCTTTTGTTTTTTGTTTTGTTTCGTTTTGTTTCTCCTTACTCAGTTAAAACAAATGCAGTTGTCTAGAAATTTCTCTGCATTTGTTCATGAGGCAATAGCTGATGGGAGAGGGAGTGAACATGATGTTAATGATTAACCGAAAGTTGATCTGTCCAGAGATGCCTTTTGTCATGGATCTATTTTTCCTAACCTTATGTAAGCAAAAAGTACCCATGAGGCTGCGTTTCATCCACATACGAAACTGTGAACATATTGCTTAACTTAACGAAGGAGTTAAAATTATTATTACTAAAATTATTTGCACTTAACTCAAGGAAAAAAGATGAGTAAAATCTAAAGTCTTCAAGTTGTTCACAAGGGAGATGAGAGGCAGAATGATTTCCTACATCCTCCACTGTGAACATGTTGGGAGGACAAATAAGTGGCTCCAGGAGGC